TCAAACAGAACCCAAACATAGAACTTTCAGTCAGGATATTTTTGACACTGTTCCTAGGGGTTCCCAATTTACAATCCAAACCATTTGATCAATCTTGGCGGTTCTTTGCGGTCCGGTTCCTGAGGCTTGTTGTTCTTAGTTGCTGTGGTCAGGTTTTTCACTGTCACTTAATCCACTTTAAATTTATTCGACCTGTGGAACAGGTTTAGACATGCGACGGGTTCCTTGCAAACCCACTTTATCCCATTTAGTGTGCAGGTTTAGACATGCGACCTGAACAACAAAAAAGATGGGTGTCCTTGGACGGAAACCATACAACCCGTCTCAAACGCTGGGTTACGCATCTAAGCTAACTCGCAGAGGGCTCCAATTCGCCAAGCCTTGAGAGGCGAGCTCCCACATTCCCGGACCAATTCCTAGAAGACGCGAGTTAGACAAATGGCCATGGGTCAAAAGCCAAATCGTACCCCCAGTGAACATCCCATCCCCACTGAAATACCAGTACCTAAGTAACTCAGTTCAGGGACCCTTGAAAAAAACAGGGAACACTTGCCATTCTTAGTGGGGCAGCCACCAAAAAAAGGGGAAACAGGGTGCCGCTGGACAACTGAGGTAAACAGCTTAGAGAGCGCGAACCCCCGAAGGTCTGCATCGGACAGCACTTTCTCTCTGCGCGATCGGATTGGCAATGACCCCTCGGGGGTCGTTGCCTTTTCCGAGAGATCGGATCTGTCGGCATCTGGCCACTTGTTTTTGTGTAGTCTATTTTAAGTAGGGGAACCCTCCCGCCGAAAAAGTTGCTCAAAAGGACACCAATTGCTGGGGGACGTAGAAACTCTCAGAGACTTTCCCAACCAGCGTCGTGACAGGCCTGCGAGACCTTCAGGGGTTTTTGCGGGACCATCAGTTTGTTGAGCCCACTTCAAGTTGAGGCTTGTCGAAATGTGTCTGTGTTTGTTTGAGGATACCCCTGTACCCCGTTCCGGTTTCCCTTGGGCTGGATTTAAAAGGACAATGTGGAAAACCACCATTTTGGGGGGTTCCCTTGTACCCGTCTGGCTATAAACTATGATGGTTCGCCAACTAGTAGCTGGATGGCTCAGAACCGCCAGGTCGAATGGGGCGCCCAATTGATGGACCCCGTTTCACCCGGGTCGCCGAGACCGGGGGAAACGGCGAGGCGTTGGAGGGTTCGGCGGCTGCAAACACCTAAACAAGAAACCCGGCATATGTTGTTGTTCATAGAATTTGTGCGTGTAATAATTAATAATCACGAGAGGAATGGCCAAAAAAGTCCACACTGGTCGTCCACCAAAATGGTCCAAAACCCAAACAGTTTAGAGTCCGGACACTCAGGGAGTGAGAATTTAAAGCCGTGGGTGTACGAAGAAGAAATCGAAGAAACAAAAACCTATGCGGGCAAGCCGTGGTCTAAGCTACCCTCACCGGCCGAACTTCTGGCCCTCGGGTGATCAGGCGCCATCGAAAACGTCGATCAGCCTCGGCGGCTTGCCCGTCCCAACAGGAAGGTCCTCCCTAGGCTAGGACCCCAGAACGAAAAATGATCTTTTTTGCCTGGTGAGTGGAAAACAAAGGGACCCCCAAAAAAGCAAAACACACAAAAGGGGGGCTAATTCTGGGGAAGTTCCCTCCGAAAGTGGTCTGAACCTCCCACGAATTCAATTGGGATGGAGTTTCCATGAACCGCTTCCCTAAAAAGAAATACTCCTATTCGTTAGTTGGCTTTTGTTGGAGAGTCATCCCTCTACTCCAAGAACCTTAAAAAAAAGGATGCAAACGAAAAACCTGGTTTTGAGCTGTTGCTTACCGAAAACCGGGTTTTCCATCCGAAAGCCCGGTTTACTTTTAAACACCCATACAAAAACCATACAAAACCTGTACAAAGCCCATACAAAACCCGTACGTTTTTATGCTTTCATCAAACCGGGTTTTCCCGCGAAGAACCCGGTTATTGTCGAGAACCTTTAAAACAAAAGGTTCTTGGAGTAGAGCGATTAGTCCCACGTTGCAGGATCGGCTTTGTTGCCGATCCCGTCTTCCATGTTACTCCTACTGAACACTGATACCTCCTTACAAAGACAGAAATGGCATGGAAAGGAACAAATCACCTTTGAACTGACGCCTAAGTTGTTTGCTTGGCTCTATGAACTCAACCATGGCGCCCTCAGATCCCCTGCTAGAAGTGAATATGTGAATACCTTTTAGTGGTATTAAATGCGGAAACCCAACCACCAAACCAACTGAAAGCATCTAAAAGTCGAAGTTGAACCAGAGGGCTGGGGGCCACCAAGTGAACCATGGCGAACAGGGGTCACTTCGCAAAGTCGTGGATTGACCAAACAAAAAGCCACAACTCCCCTTTGGGCGTTCAAGGTCCCCAGCAACCTGGGGTACCCTTTTTCTGTAGTTTTTTTTGTTTGTTTTTAATCTTTGTATTTTTCTGTAGTCGATTCTAGTAAGGGAACCCTCCCCCAAAAAAGGGGTTTAAAAGCACACTCACTACTGGGCGACCTAGTCCATCTTCATTTCAAGAGGGGCCACCTTCGGATTTCGCCACATCAGTTGATCGGTGGTGTCGATTGAAACAATGGAACACCACTTTCGGAGGTGTCCTTGAATGGGAAGTGGCTCGGAAGCGCTTCCCGTTCACGGGGAGCTTAACAAAAACCCAAATGGGCCTGTTTGATAGAGTGACATGAACGCCCAGGGAGCTTTTACCGCCTTGTAGCGAACGGACAAATTACAATCTTGAAATGGTTCGAAAGGACCCCTTTGGGTTACCTGGGCGGGTGACATGGGTGTGTTTAATCGAGGGTACCCTTGTCGGGGTTGGGTTAAGCCGCTTGTTGGGGCCATCCCTAGTTGGGTTTGCAACTCCGCCCCAAAGTTGGTGGCTTGCCTGTACGTTTCCCATTTGTTACCCACCCAAAATGGGAACACATACACACCATTTGACACATAGATTCTGCCACATGCGTGTTTCTCAAAATAGGGATGCCCTAAAATGGTTGGCTTCCTGTTGGTCTCCCGTTAAGTACCAACCAGAAAGGGGTTCCAATGGGGGTTGATCAAAAGGTCCTGTACATGGGATGAGCATTGGTTGAAAAACCACTTAAGATGATATTTGCCACATGGGAAAACTTACTCATGGTGAAAACTGGGAGCCGTTCGCGGAATATTGATCAACCCCCGTATACACAATTTGTACCAAATGCGGGTATAGAGGCCATCTGAAACCCAACACCATCAAAGTCCCAAGTCCCCCCCCCCCCCAACCTCATGGTACGATAGAAAATGAGTGGATTCCTTGCAGTTTCATTTCTAAACCCCGAAACAAACCTTTAAACAACTCACCACACGTTCACCATACCCTACCTTTTACTCTGAAGCTTCCTCTCTCGAGTGCCGGACTCTGCTTTGGAGCTGCGGCCTCCGAAGGAAAACGCGTGCAAGAAAACCTATTAAAGATGGGCTCGTCTTTGTTTCAGGTAGTACCCCCGTTTTGGTTGGTTCTTAAAGGGCAAACCAAAGGAAAACGAGGCGTCGCCATTTTGGAAACCCGACAACCCAAAAAAAGACTGACCATGCCACCGGAACGCCTATGAGGGCCATGGCCATGGTTTGCGGCTTGCCGCAAGCCACCACGACTGGCCACGACTTCCCCAGACCGAAGCTGGGTCAAATTTGTTGCTAGTAAAGCATGGGCCACGACTGCTCCTGAATCCTGAACTTTCTGCCACTGCAATGGTCCAAACCCAAGCCTTTAAAGCTTATGAACTCAGGAAGGTTGAACCGAAAGACTTCAACTTCACGGTTAGTCACCGATTTCCTCCAAAACTCTTGTCACTATTTCCCCATTTGAGAGATCTCCATAAGGTCTCAACGCCATGCTTCCAAACTGTGTTGAGCCCAGGGGGATGAATCATGTCTGGCAATGGAATGAGGTAGAAAAAGAACCTGATTGGATACCACACACACTGGCCAAGAAAGGAGTTGCCCCGCATCCTGCATCAGATTGATAAGTCAGTTGTCAATATTTCCCGTAGGCACTGTCAACATAGTGTAACGTCGCCCTTTGGCCATTGCGCTTTTCGGCTCGAAACTACAGTGACACCCTTAGCATCGAAATCCTTTGAACGAACGGGCCCCTTGTAGTTTACATCAACAACTAGGTTTTTTAGTGGAGAGGTTGGAATAAGGGTACCCCTTTTTTCCGTAGTCTCTTTCAGTAGGGGAACCCTCCCCAAAAAAGGGCACTACTGGGGGACCTAGACAAGGAACATATTCTAAAGCCCTGAACGGAGGCGCACAACATGTTTTTTCTCTGAGGCATTGACCGGCTCCTTCGGAGGCCAAGGCAAATGGTCGCAGACGGATCCACAGACGCTGCGCTTCGCAGGTAAATCGATGCCCTCGCTGCAAGCAGCTTGCAGCTCAGGACAATACATTCGGCACTCGCCGCGCAAAGCGCGGAGAAAGTCATGAGATTTCATGAGTTTGTCTGAGCCAAGGGCCCCCGTTCGCAAAAGGCAGTGGACTGCGGATTGATGTTGACCCCGGATTAATAAACCCCGGCTTACTAATATGGGGGTGTTCCCCTCCAAAAGTGATGAACCCCCACTAAAACCAGGGTTTATTGATCTGGGGTCAACATTATGGGCATATCACTGCAAAACACTGGTTACATCAATGGGATCCCTTGGTCACAGACAACAGCCGCGCTGTTGGAAGTATTGGTCTGCTGTTCGACTCTCTTGGGGAACACCCCCGTGATTTCACTATCAACGTCACCCCCAAGCTTAATAAACTAGGTCCTCCAGTAGAGAGGACTTAGAATAAGGGTACCAACTTTTTGTTCTGTAGTCCATTTTAGTAGGGTAACCCTCCCCCCGAAAAGAGTAAAAGGGCACTAATGCGGGACCAAACCAAACCCAGGAACCGGACGATTCGCCGGTTGAACCGCGTGGATTCGCACGCAGTCACCAGCACTCATCCAAGACTTCGTCCAGCTTGTGGATCCTCTGATCCTCATTCACCTCAGCCTCTAACCTTGGCCAAGTCGAGAATGAAGCGCTGCATCCAACCGACTAAAGAACAGAAGCAACGAAGACGGCCCGAAGGACAAAGGCAGATGAACCAAACACACAGAAAGCATGAACAGAGCCAAGTAAAAATCAAGAGCCAAGAAAGCAAACAAATAAACGCGAACGACCAAAACCACGAAACAAAAAGAGACAAACGGAGTTGACAAACCAACTGACCAGCTAAAAACACATGAGCCGAACAATTAGCCAACACGGTCAGAACACGTAAAATGATCAAAACAAACCAACAAAACCAAAGAGTTCAACTAAAAACATGTGAACAAGCAACCAAACAATGAAGAACACATGGCCATGGGTCAAAATACCGTACCCCCAGTGAACATCCCAATCCCCACTAAAAAAGGTTCTAAAATGGGTGGTGCATCTACCCCCAAAACGGGATGCCATTGGCTTTGACCCACAGCCATGTTGAACCCAAGAAACTAAACACAACATGCACCAAGTGCGGTGAAGTGACTGTGGCGCAGTCACGGGCTCCTGAACTCTCTCTCTTTCCCTTGCTCAAAGTCTTTGCTACTGGGGAAGGTTGAGGTGACCAACCACAAACCTGGGCTGCCCGTCTTCCGATCTGCAGATCTGTGAGCCACTTTTCGTGGGCTAGATGCGGAAACCCACCCACTAAACCAACCAAAAGCAACTAAAAGTCTAACAAACCGGACGGCTGGGGGCCACCAAGCAACCCAACATTTCTATGTTGGTGTGTGTATTTGCAACCCGCATTTATTGGATATTGATCTGCTGTGTAATCCGCAGATGATCATATATGGGTGTGTCTTGAAATAGGAGGACTCCCAAAATGGCGGTTGGTGCAGTCAACAAAGGGGGTGGGCGTCTTGTTTTTAGGGGACACCCTGAAATGGGTGGTTTCTCCTTTGGGCTTTCCAGGGGTCCCCCCCCCCCCCGGCCCAAAAAAACACAAAAAAACCAAATCCTGCACCACGCAAGAAACCCTGGAATGATATCGATTCCCCTGTAAATGCCAACAAGCAACGGTTTCAACCATGGTATCAAAGTGGTGCGAAATGGATTCCGTCCATCCACAGTACTACTGTTAACCCCAGCTGTATCGACCCCAGCTTTGGTAATATGGGGATGTTCACCTCCAAAAGTGGTCTGATTCCACGCTAAACGGCCACTTCGCGGCAACTCGAACTCCGAACAAGTTCGCGCCCTTCGCTCGGGGTCGTGGACTTCCGTTTGTTTAAGCACCCTGGAAGAAAACACATTTGCAGTAGTGATAGATCCCCTTTACAACCACCACGCGAAAACAAAACATATCCTTAAGCAAGCTGAAGTGGACACAGGCCCACGAGGCGTGCACTTAGAACCCCCTGTTAAAGTGAAGAACTTTTGGCGGGTTCAATGGAAACCCCCACGCAACCAACTAAACCCAAACCAAAACCCAACAGGATGGTTGGGAACCGCCAAGTTGCATTTTGAGACTCGGCTCTAACTCAAAACGGACTTTGATTTCTGGGACTCTTCCGTGGACTGGCCGAAATGAACTTGTTCATGTACGTACCACGAAGCTTTAGTCCAGGAACAGGGCTGGGAATGGAATCCACGAATCTGTGATGCAACGAAAAGGGTTCTCAAAGAGTAACCCCAATTTGGCGGTGGCTTAAATAACTGTACTAACATGGCACCTTGGTAAGTGGAACTGAACACTAAAACCCGCGCAACCCATGGACACCTCTTTATTTTTGAGCCACACCCTTTTAAGAAGGGGATTCCCAAAGGTATCACAGAAGTGGTTGGATAAACCCCGAGTGATCAACCACAACCCTGTCCAGGAAATCGGTGAGGGGATGTCCAAACATGGCCGTTTCCTCCCCAATCCAGATCGAATCGATCTGTGACAACTTTGTTTGTCATATTTGGCCTTTGTTAGTCAAGGTTGAGTGTTTAGTTCCAGGTGTTTGCCAAGGAAGATGGTCTAAGGGCCTTGTCAAGAGAAAATGGAGTCTCGGTGCCCGGCCTCGAGAAGAGAACACTTCAAGCCCCGTGAAGCGTGAAGGTGAACAAAACAACTCAGGTCATATCCCCAACAGCCCCGGAAGTGCCTGGAACCCTCAAGGCCCCTCCCTGAAAGCTGCCCGAAACCAACCCAGAGCTTTTTTGGGCAGAGACCTACTGGGGATTAATCGTTAAAGCCCACCAGTTTGTCAGCCTCATGAACGCCATCCCATAGATGTACTTGTAACATGAAACAGGAAATGATGAATCAAAGAAAACCCTTGATTGCGATAGTCAATTTCCACGATGCGCCAGGTGGGTCAAGAGGCATATCATCAACATGTATTTCTGTCTTCCAACAATGATGTTTTTGAGGGTCTGTGACGCGCGACCCGCCACGAAACTTGTTACGGAGGTCTGACGGAGATCCTTGTTAGACAGGTATGTGACGGGAAGTTATTTCTTACAAGCAGTATCAGTAGCCCAATGTAGCGCAGGACAACGAAGAGCAGCAGCTCTGCTCGAAAGTCGTACAGTACAAGTGCAGTACGCAAAGCACGCCTCCTAGCTGGAAAAAAGGCGGCGCCTGTGTAACGAGGTCTGTAACGAGGCAACGCAAAGCGCAGTACACAAAGCGCGCCTCCGCAGCTCCAGCTTGATTGCAGCTCTAAAGAGGTTGGCTGGGAACCCTTGCTTCTCTCGGTTGGGGTCCTGGTTGACCTCGCTCGGACTAGGGCTTTCTTTTAGCTTTGGTGGCAGTTCAGAGTTGCTCGTTGCTAGATGGAAGCCCCCCCACTAAACCAACTAACAAGCTAAACACCAACGAGGATGGCCGGGAACCACCAAGAAAATCAAAGGCCGGTAGAGCCGCCATCTACAAGCCACCTGTCTTTCTGTGGGGGCTGCCTTTTGCTCAGGGAACCATTTCAGGGGATGCTAGGGGTACCATTCGATGGTCAATGGGGCATAAAACGCATCTAAACCAGTGGCCCACCCATCTATTTTTTACCAGCCCAGCCCGATCGAAAGGACACCTGTGGCTATTCAGCAAAGGAAGTTCTTCAAGAACTGTCCGGTATTGGCACCCCCTCTCACAAGCCCCCCAAGAAGAACCCCCACGAAAAGTACCAGTACCCGGAACTCTCCAATGAAACAAGGAAGGAAGGAAGGAAGGAAGGAAGGAAGGAAGGAAACTCCTCAACGAAACTCCCTGATAAAAGCGATCACCATTCAAGACCTCGGCGAAAAAATCGAGAAAACAAAAAACACCTATGGGAACACCCCCGCAACCTGCCTGCTTTCTCCACCATGCCCCAAATCCCACTGTCCAAAATCGCCGTTTTTTTGGGGGGGGTGCTGGTGGGAACACCCGCGGAAACGAGCCGTCAGGTCTAGACGATTCACCGATGCGCCGCTCAGCCCGCAGGCAAACTGCGATCGGAACCCAAGCCGTGGACCCAGCGAACCGCACCTAGGTCCTCCATTAGTTACCCAATAAGGGTACCAACTTTTTCTGTAGTCTGTTTTAGTAGAGAACCCTCCCAACCAAAAAAAAACGGTCAAAGGGCACCTAGCTGGGTGACCTAGCCAAACCGCTACACCACCAAAACAAACCACCACACACAGACCACCAAGACCACACCGCTACGTCACCGAACTCAAGCACCAAACCACTGAACTTTTTTCTGTAGTCTGTTTTAGTAGGGGAACCCTCCGGTGAGAAAGGGCACCAATTGCTGGTTGACCGAGAAAAAGGAGACCGGAAAACCAAGCCATTTTCTTCATGTACCACAAATGTTTAGGACCCAAAAGGGTGGATTTCATGGAGCACCCTCCCCTCCCCCTCCCCCTCCCCAAATCTCCCCCTCCCCTCCCTAGCTGGCAGACCGCACCGCACCGACGAACCGACGGAACCGACGGAACCGACGGATAGACGTCGAGCGAAACGCGTCGAAGACGCCGCTCCTGCGGCGCCATGGCGGCGGCGGCGGCGGAGATGGCGGCGGATGCCACCTGCGCGGCCGCCTCCAAGGCGTCCGCCGCCGTGACCTCCAGCGGGGCGGGGTAAGGGGAGGGGTAGGAGGGGGTGGGGGGGGGGGAAGATTTGGGTGGGTTTTGGTGGTGGGGGGTTTGGTGGCGGTGGGTATGGTGGCTGGGGGGGGGGGGGGGAGGTTTGGGGGTGAGGTGGTGGTGGGGTTTGGTGGGGGGGGTGAAGTGGGTGAAAGGCTTTGGAGTGGGTTTGAAGTGGTGTAACAAAGGGTATGGAGTGGTTGGTAAGGGTTTGGAGTGGTGTAAAAAGGTTTGGAGTGGTGCAAAAAAGTGTGGTTTTCAAGGAATTGCAGTGGTGTATGGGTTTGGAGGCTTTTAAGGGTTTGAAGTAGGGGTTGAACTGGGTTTGGATTGGCGTTGAAAGGAATGTGAAAGGTGATGCAAAGTTGCATTTGCTTGAACAAGTGTGTTACATGGTGAGTAATTCAAAGGTCTTCAACTATTTTGAAACAGTTTGCCCTGCTTTGGCATGGCTTCAAAAGGTACTTGTTAGATTGAACCGGTTTATTTATTGGCGGTCTTAAAGGGAGCTGCACAGCAGACAACACATAGTTATGATGTGAGTATCAACATTGTTTGTTTAGGTGAGACGCATGTCTAATTACACATGTTGAAATCAAACAAGTACCAAGACAAACCTAAAATAGTGTGAAGCACTCAAGCAAACGCAAACAACAAATAATACACACCGTGGCAACCAACACACACACACACACACACTGAAAAGGCAAAACCCCACACAACCACAAACACAACACGAAGCAATCAACGAAACGACACAAGCAGGGATGTGTTGCAAAACCCACAACAACAGGTAACAACACACACACACACAAGACAAGCGCGAACCAGACTGTCGCAAGACTTGGGTATGTCTCTTTTTGCGGCTTGGTACCCCTTTTCTTGCAAGGGAAACCAACCGCAAAACCGACCTCCGTTTCAGGGGCTGGGTAATAATGAGGCGCACCTGGACCCTGGAAATTCCAACCTAAAATGGGGCGATTACCCCAAACTCAGTGTGGGTGAATTTCACTTTTAATGGCAGTGTGCGGGTCCCCTAAAAAATGGGTTGCCCCAACATTACGGCTGGTGAAATCCTTCTGATGGCAGATTGAAGGCTCAAATAGCCTTAAAACTGGGCTCTTGCCCCAATATGCTCTGGGCTGCCCTCAGATTCCCTGCTACAAGTTTAGCTTCTAGTGAGTTATATTCGGGAACTACCACTAAACCAACTAAAAGCAACTAAAAGGTTAAGTTGAACCGCACGGCTGGGGGCCACCAAGTGATGTCCTCCAGTAGAGAGGTTAGAATAAGGGTACCCGATTTTCTTCTGTAGTCTATTTTAGTAGGTTGGACCCCTCCCAACCAATAAAGGAACGGTAAAAAGGGCAACACTATTGGGAATCTGCAGCGGGAGTAGCGCGGGGAGCGAATGGCGCCAAGCCTTGTTCCTTCTCAAGCCGCCTGTGCAGCTGACTATGGGGGTCGTGGCCAAATGTCTGGCTCGGCTACAAGCAAAAGGGCCCTTCAGCTGCGGAAGGGACATGACTGCAGTCTGGACAATCTACATGCATGGCATCAACTGATGAGCCTCTAAATGCCCGTGTTGCATGGGCACAAAATCATTCTCAGTTGATGACGTGATTGGCTTACTTCGGGATCGGGCCGTTGAGGTAGACGAGGGATTCTGCAGGGTCTGCAGCGCTGACTTGCCCGCCTTGACATTCTTGCGAGCGCTCTGGAAGCTGGGGTCGAAGGCTATAGACCACACTGAGGTCTTCAGAAACTGCAGTAACCCGGCTCTGCATGAAGGTGCCTTCTTGGTCAAGGCATCGCCCAAGTCATAGTCCGAGGCAGTCCAGCGAAGCTCGGTGTGGGTGCGTTCCAAACTTTCTCTCACTTGAAAGGCTTGAAGCGCGGCTCTCATGTTGGAGAGCCCAAGCATCGGGGACTCATGGCGAGTCACAGCATCGTATCCGCCTCGGGAGTCTGTAGTGACCACGCCCTTGACAAGCTTGACCACCTCTTCGCCGGCAGAGACCTTGTCGGTGTCGCGGTGCTGGTGGATGGACTGGCCATGAAGTTCGCACCAAAGAAGTCGCATCCGAAAGTTATTGTCCTCGGATTCGACCATGGCTTGTACCTCAGCGTCGTTCGAGCTGATGGCCTTGCGTTTGAGTTTCCAGCATCGCCAGGTCAAAAGACACATCTTGGTGGGTGCGCCAGTGATTGCTCGTGGGCCGGAAGCAACGGTGATCATGCCGCCAGTGCTATCTCCTTGAGGTCGGTTGGCGTGAGCTTGGTCGCCCATGGTGATGAACACGACGTCGGTCCAAAATTGGACTCCAGGCAGCTTGAAGAATTCCAGCTTGACGGGATTCCTGCGAACCTCACACACCATTTGTTGAATTTCTCTTGCAACGGAGGTCGAAGGAGTCACGGTCACCTCGGTGAGCAGGAGATTGCATCTCGCACTGAGCTGTGGTTGTTTGTACCGCAACCCACTGCAGGGCTCCCAGGGTAGCTCGGCAGTGTCCAACTTCGGTGGAATCCAGAACGGAGTCCACTTGACGAAGGCGTTCGGGAGGGATGTTCACGTCCTGGAGGGACTCGATGTAGTACTGTTGGTCGACGGTGATCGTGGTGTCACCGTTTTCATCCTTGCCGATGACGAGATCGGTGCCAGCGTGGCGATATTCTCCACGCTTGATGGTACCCCAAACGTAGGCACGGTCAACCTGCTGGCAGACCTCATTCCATTCAGGGTTGGCCTTGTCTCCGATCCGGTGGAGATCATCTACATGACCACCCATGGCACCAATGACGAGAGGTCGGCCTTGTTGGTCTTTCTGATGTTGCGAAAGCCATACCCACATGCATCTCTCCGAAGTCAGGGAGATGCCACCAAGACGTTTGAAGGTTGCATGGAGATCCTGCCAAAGTCCACGGGGTGCCGTGGTGGAGCCGTACACGTTCTTCAGGATGCGAAGAATGCCTTCGGAACCAACGCCTAGGGCTTCTCGAAGCTCTTCAGTTCCGTAGGTCCAGAGTTTCTTATCCTCCTCGGTCTTCTGGGTCTGCAAGAATGCCGTGGCAAGGTCAAGACCTTCAAGTTCCCAACCATGCTGGCAGGTCATGAGGTACAGGAGGTTCCTCCCGAGGTTGGTTTGAACCGGGCTCGAGGTGCGGAAGGAAGGGTCCAGTAGATCGGGGTGTTCAAATCCGAGCACCACGATGCGGGCCTTTGCTTTCTTGCGACCGTCAGGTGTGACCATGGTCTGCGCGTTGGACATGGCATCTCGGAGGGCTTCTGGATGTTCCTCATCTGGAACCAGTTTCCACGTGAGGACCCAGCGAGCACGCATGATGCGCCCAGAGTTGTAGGCCTCCTGGATCTCCTTGTTATCCAGGCACTTGCGAACTGCTTCATTTTTGAGGAAGCTGCTGACTTCCTTGGCCTTGGCACGGTGGAACAACTCGCGGAGTTGTGGTGTGAGCTTCTTGAGGTTGACTTCGCTGCTCCGCATCTGCTTGACGAGGAACAGGTGAGGATCGCGAATGAAGTTCTTCTTCTCACGGTTACTGGTAAACTCCAGGTTGAACTCCATCACCATCACTTGCTCGGTGTCCATAAGAGCTGTGTGAAGGTCGATGGTCTCCTCCTGCAAGGATTGAAGCCATAGAGCATCATCTGGAGTAATGCGGGCCTTCTTGAGTTCCCGACGAAGATCAGGATCCTCTTCATATTCATTGACCTCTCCGGCGGGTGGCGCTGAATGTGTGGGCATTGCTGTGGATGTAGATCTCGGAGCACTTGATGAAGGCTCAGGTTCTCCAGTGCGAGCGACCTTGGCCTTGGGCATCGGTACAGGTCGGATGTTCAAGGCACCCTTGGTCTTCATGCGATGAGTGGGCTTGATGATCGTGGATTTGTCGGGTTCGGGTGGTAAGTCAGGAAGTTCAAGCTCATCCGATTTGGGAGCTTGGTCGATCATGTCCACGAACTCACGTTTTGGTAGTACATCAGCGAGGGATCGCCATCGAGAGGGATCCTCTGCACCACCAATCTCGAAGACCAGGCGCTCCTTGTCGGTGACCAATCGCACACTATGTGGAGAGCATCGCATCAGCTGAGTGCCAATGAGAACCCAGACCACATGACGACGGTCATCATCTGCTTGCTGATGAGGTAGGACCTCATGGAAGATCACACGCCCAGGGCCGATCCAATGGGGCTTGCCAGACTTCTTGAGGCCTTGACGTGCTCCTCGATGAAGTTCAGCAGGCCAGACTCTTCTCCAAACCTTGACCAGGTCCATGGGTTTGAAGGTGCGTAGAGGTTGTCGCACTGTTGTGTTGACCAGCTTGGAGAGAACGCGCTTCGCACGTGTGGACCGGGCAATATCCTCCGCCTTTTGACGAGCTTGCACGAGCTGCTCGAATTCGCGGTGCCGTTGATCTTGAGGAAGATGTTCGAAGGTGCGTATGTCCTCCTCCGTGATGTTGTAGGCCTTGCCGTAGCACCACTGGAAGGAGCTGAAACCGCGTGTGTACTCGGTGGAGTTGAGAGCTGCCGCAGCCAAGTAGAGCGTGACCTCCGGGTTCTGCTCTGGACTGGACGTCTGGATGGCTGTGGCCGTCATCTTGACATCTTGGATTGCGGCTTCGACAATGCCATGTGCCCAGCTTTCCTTCTCTGGGGGAAAGGCTAGTTGAACACCGACAGAGTTGCAGAAGTCGTGCATGGACTTGGCCGTCATGGTTTTGCCGCAATCAGGGATCAGCACCTCAGGGCGAGGTTTGTCGGAGAGCCAACGTTCGGAGAAGGCCTTGATGAGCATCTCGGCATTCTCCGCTTTCATCTCGAGGAAGTTGTACTGCATGAGCGGGCAGACTACTCGCAGCTTGGTGGCCAGGTCGATGAACAGGGCAAACTTGACCTTGCGAGGTACTCCGGGAACATCCCACTCGCTGACATCCAGACCGACCGCCTGCCAAGCTTGGTATAGAGGATAGGTTGCCGCTGGAGGGACTTGTCCACTACTGAGTCCGCCAGGCCGAAGTGCCTCACATGCACTGCATTTGAACTCCTTGGCCTTGTCGATACGCCATCGTGGATGTCCGGCTTCTTGAAGGAGTCGAACCAGGTTGGAGTTCGTAGGGTGTCCAGCAGCCTTGTGGAAGTGAGCTAGCTTGGCTTCCCACCGTTGCACTTCTTCAGGACTGGGTGCATCCGGTGGAGGGTGTGGATTAGCTGGAGGATCTGGCTGTGGCTCATCAGGTGGAGGTGCATGAGGTTCGGGTCTTGCTGGAGCTTGGCCAGGTTCGGATGGTGGGTGTGCTGGTAGAGCATGAGGATCACCATCCTCTTGAGCTGCAAGTTCCAGGGCCAAGTGAGCACCATGGTTCTCATTCTTGGAGTGAGCCCAGCGATGGAAGCGAGGTGGTAGGAGCTGATCGCGCCAGCATCTGGCTATTGCCAAAACCATCCGCCAGGGATAGTAGGCTGACCTTGAGGTTTCGATTCCTTGGATGTAGGTGTGCTGGTGGTTCTTGGGGCATACCTTGGCGTGAAAGTGGCGGTGGAAGTCGCAATCGGTGGTGCGAATGGACCATTTCTTTGCCAGGAAGTTTTCCTCGAGGTGGTCCTTCATGCCGTAGGCGCAACCATCGATTCTACAGTGGAGCCACTCGATATCCCGACCTCCAAGTTCTGCCGAAAGATCTTGAAGAGGTCGTTGTTCCCACCCGTAGCAAGGATGAGGATGTCGCGAATCTCATCGACGGACTCCAGGATGAAGTCCCTCGCAAACCGGAGCATTTTCCGTTCGCGACGGCGGTCCTTTTCAAGCTTCTCCTTGCCCTCGGGTGTGGAGTAGTTGAGACTGGTCCATCGGCACCACTTCGTACAGGGAAGTGAAAACCACAGTTTTCGAGGTTTACGTGCACGACGAAGTTGCCGAAGACGGACCCAGGTTTCCTCCTTGTAGAGGTCGAAGCCGTTGTTGAGGTTGATGCGTTGGGCATCCATGCCGTGGTCCTGCACCGCTTGAGAGAGCCAGCTTTGTGGGGCACATGCGAATTCCCACAACACATCACGGTCGCCATAGTTGAGGCTCGGTGGTCATGAGGGCTTGCACGCCAATCACCATTTGCATGACCTTCGCACCGACGCTGACCGGCAGGGGGTGGATCATGCTACTTCTTGAAGTTCCTCCTCCTCCTCGGAGAATTGGTCCGCGACAGCTTGCTGACGTTCGGTGACCACTTCCATGAGCTTGGTCTGCTCCTCCGTGGAGAGGTACCGAAAGATGTCCATCGTGTCCATCTGAGGTTTTTTTTCAACTGTGACTGCTCGCCATGGACGGGCTCGGAGAAGTGTACCCTGCGGCAGTCTTTGATGTCCCCTTGTGGTTGGTGCGCTTGGGAGGAGCTGGACTTGTCTTGTTCGTGGAGGAGACTGGCTGATCCTTGACCTTGTGGATCATCACCAGGAGTTTCTCCTCGGCTACCAGCTTGTCCACCATGGCCTTGCAGATCTGGGCAGTGGGCATGCGGCCAGGTAGAAGTTGTTGTAGTTCCACCATGGCCCGGTTGACCATCACATGGTTGAGCACCATGGTAGACATGCTCGGGGATCCTTGTCTCGGGACGCACTGAAGCCTGAGATCGCATACCTGACAATGGATCCAGCGCCCGTGGGGGTTGCTTGCCCAGTTCCCCGGTTGGTGGCGGTCGAAGCACGGCCAGGTGTTCTGGGCCCGGATGTCCCGAGGGTCCATTTCCATGCTCCTTTCCGGATCGAAGGGCATGGGGGCCTTGGAGGTCTTCTTCTTCGCGGTGAGGTACTCGGGCAGCTCCGCCGTGGTCGGAGTGGTGTCCAAAGGGTTGGTCAGCTTTTTGGACATGGCTCGGAGGTGCCGGAGTCGAATTGGGAGAGAGCACACTACCCATGGACTCAGATGAGTCCAGCGCTGATATCAGCCAGGCCGGCACGGTTCGATGTTCTCTCATGAGCTTCCATGCATAAAGCTCGCAAACTCGGAATGGACCATGAGGTGTAGTGGTGTTCACAAGGGGGTCCAACTGAGAACAAGTGCCAACCTTGACATTCGTGTCGTACATCTCGCAAGGGAAAAGGGTGTGCATATCCCAGGGTTTGCCGGTAGATGATGTCGGGGTCCGGGATGTGACCTTCACCACTGGATGATCATCCGCGCTGGAGTTTTGGTTGCCGCCTGTAAGAAAGTGAACCAGATCAACCATGAAGTGACCCTTGTGGTTCTTATCCAGCTGGTAGGGACGCGGATCAGGTAAAAGGGCATCTATGGCAAACCAGTGGCCAAATCGACTACCATACCCACACCATCAGAACCTGCATGACTCATGCCAACCAGAATCGGGACAAGCATGTCGGTGGTGAACCATTGCTCGAAGAACTCGGGGGGGTTCGGAAGAGCATACACATGAAAGACTCGGGGGTGGCCAGATAGTTCTGACTGGAGGGTCACCCGGTACTGTGCTCGACCCCACCGACCACTCCCGTAGCGAAAGTATGGACGCTGATTGGGGTCCACAGTCACCGTGGCGGACTTGTCCTGCCGCAAAACTGCCTCAATGAGACGCTGTACTGAGGCTTCAGGGCCAGCACTTGCGGTGGCGCCACAATCCAGCATGCCTTGATGTGGAGCTACCTTTCCAGGGCTAACTGATGAGAGCTCCAAGGGATTGTGGGGTCCTTCGTGCATTTCCAAGCCATTGATGCCGTACATGTCCTGGACGTAGGCGTTGACAGTTGGGCGGTGATCACTCTTGCCCTTGCCCTTGGAGATCCAGGAGAGATCATGTTCGGCCCATGCGGCTGACTTGGAGCGCCCCTTCCAGCCCTTGCCTTTCTTGCCAGACTTGCCGGTGAAAAAGTGCTCGTTGTAGGGATCCGCAAGCATGAAGGCATGTTTGCCCTTACCCTTGGACGGATGTCGGCGATCGGGGCAATCTCGAGCATAGTGACGGCCACCACAGAGAAAGCAGCCGCTGCCCTTGCCGCCGGAACTGTTGCCTTTGCCAGAGTTGTTGAACGATGCACCGAAACCGCGGTCCTTGCGAACCAGTTGAGTTGCACGTTGAGCTTCGGTCCAGGTGCGTTGGGCATCCATGGCCATTTGTTCGGCTGCGCGTTCGGCTTGCATGGCATCCCGGAGTTTATCTTGCTCCTCGGCTGAAAGGGCTTCATCAGGTAGTTCTGGAACTGCGGGAGAAGACCATGATTCAGGATCTTCTTCCCAACCAGACTGGGTCCAGGCATTATCAAACCAACCCTCATCAGAAGGGTCCCAGGGTTCCCAATCTTGATCCCACGCGTCCTGGTAATTGAGGTCGGCCTCGTGGTAGTTCAGGTGCTGAGGAGGCCGTTGACGATTTCCAAGAAGTTGCTCATCCCAAAGCATCTGAAGAGCTTGGCTGATGGCCTCGTATTCCAGGGAGTTACGGGTTGTGCTTAGGATGTCACGCTTGTCCTCCGGACTGAGGGAAGCTGCCTGAAGAAGACGCCAGCCACGAAGAACACCCATGATGAAGCTGTCCGCCATGGAGAGCTCCGTGATGGTTCCCGGTGTGCCAGTGGTATCTGTCACACGCTGTGCTGGAGGGGAACCCACTTGTGCATCAGGGCTAGGCTCCTGGCTGGGAGCAGATCCAGGTGCGGCAGTTCCTGAGAGACCGGACACGTCTCCAGGTGCTTCGGGAGCTTGTTCTCCTTCGGAAGGGGGGATCTCTTCGGTGACGGGCTGATAGTCCCAATCTGACCAGGACTCGCCCCGTTCATCCCAACCAGAATCCATGTTCTTGGGGAGGCCAAAGTCCTTGCGGCTTTGGTCAACACCGGAAGACTCTTCGTGAAGGCGAAGAAGAGCCTCCACAAACTCCTCATAGCCGAGAGTCTCCCTCACCAGGAAGTTGCCGATGCCCTCGCCGGGATTCCTCTTGAAGGAGAAGTACTGTTGCATGATCGCTGCGGCATTCGGTAACGACTTCCTGACGAGGGGCGAGGCCGCCAGTCGTTGAAGCAGTTGAAGTACTCCATCGGCATGATCAAAGTCGGCCCTTGACCATGACATGGCTAGGAGCCTTGCGGGGCCCCGAAGTCGGCCTATGAGCTTTGCCGCCAGGTACCTGCGCTTGTGGGCTGGGGTTGACTGTGCGCACCAGGCCACTTCCTTGTAGTACCTGCGCCATGATCGCGCCTGACCATCCCAGGATGGAAGATGGTCAGACCTGAATTCATTGTCCATGACTACTTCGCCGTCCGGGAACGTGCCAATCTTGAAGTCCTGAGCGATGATCTTTTCCTGGGTCGTTCCAAAGGGCTCGACGCAGTCAAAGATCAGAGTCTCTTAGAGATTTAGGCTCAAGGCGATCAAGTAGCTGTGCACACGTTCCTGAACGTTCTTGGTGCACTTGATCGGGCTCAGCAGGAAGCACTGAATCGTTGCCTCCTGCTCCGCTACCAATGCAGCGGGAGTAGCGCGGGGAGCGAATGGCGCCAAGCCTTGTTCCTTCTCAAGCCGCCTGTGCAGCTGACTATGGGGGTCGTGGCCAAATGTCTGGCTCGGCTACAAGCAAAAGGGCCCTTCAGCTGCGGAAGGGACATGACTGCAGTCTGGACAATCTACATGCATGGCATCAACTGATGAGCCTCTAAATGCCCGTGTTGCAGAATCCTAGTCTGATGCTTGGTGAGTTTCCCATTTTGCATGGGTACAAACCCGCTGGTCTTTAACGCGGCGCGCGCCCCTTCTCCCGGCCCCCCCGTGCGGTGGCAGGGCACCAGACGGCCGTCCTTCAACGGGCAGGGCGCCGGAGACGGCTCCGGGGTGTTGAGCACGCTCAACGCGTACTCCTCCGGCTCCTCAAAGGAGAAACAAAACTCGGTTGGCCAAACCACCTTCCCTCGGTTGCTTCCTGCTCCCCGGCTCAAAGTTTTTTCTTTTTGTTTTAACTTTTAGTGGTTCATACCGAAAACCCACTAGTTGGCAAGAAGTTAAAGTCCCAACATCCGCGCAAAATGCACCAAAGAAAAGCAGCACAAAGTGCGGGATATGGGGGATATGGGGGGGATATGGGGGATATGAGAGAATGGAGGATATGGGAGATATCCCTTTCAGGGCTATATGAGCCATATGGGGTAATATGGGGGAATGGATATGAAAGAACCTGAAGTCACACATCTAAGGATGTTCCTCTTACACCCTGGAATTACACCCTGGGGAGGTTACCCAAAGAATCAAAAAAAAAAAACACAAAGTGCCTGAAGGGATATGGGGGAGATAAGGGATATGAGGGATAGCTCGTCTGTTTTGGAGGTACCCCCTGTTTTGGGTGGTTTTAAACAAAAGCCGCACAAATCTAAGGATTTTCTTACTACACCCTGGAATTACACCCTAGGGAAGTTACCCAAATAATCCCAAACAAGCAAGTTTATCTGGAAATAGGCTAGGATAGGATGATTCCCCAGAGGGCGTAGTCCCAGGGTGTAATAGGAAAACCCTCGGAACAAAGAACCTAAAGGGGGGATATGGGGGATATGGGTGGCTTGTCTTTTTTAACAGTATCCTTTTTTAGTGGTTTTGATGTCCGTTTCAGCGCTACATGGGCGATACGGGCGAATGGAGGATGTGGGGGAAATGGGGGATAGCTTGGCAGTTGGGACCCCCTTTCGTTGGGCGGCTTTAAAAGCAAACGATTGAGCTTCATTTCAACCCCCCCCCCAATACAGTGAACCTGGGCTCTCCGTTTTCAGATCAGCTAAAAGTGGGTGAAGTTCGAAACGCCCAACCGCTAAACCAACTGAAAAGCAAAAAACTTAAGGAACCATGGCCGGGAGCTACTAAGTTCAGCCTGGGAAGGATATTCGGATATTTTTCAGGCCGATACGGGGGACATGGGGGATCTGAAGAGTTGTTGGAATAGTTGATTCTCGTCGAATTGGTGAAATTTGGATTGGTTTCTGGGTCTCTCCGTTTTCAGATCCGCTAAACGTAAGCTTATCGTTTTGTGGGTTAAATTCGGAAACACAACCACTAAACCAATTAAACAGCAATAAATATAAGGGGATGGCTGGGAACCACCAAGCAACTCAATGCTTCAGGAACTGTCCTAAAAAACGGAGCCCCAAACTGGTGGTTCTCCTCTTGGCTTGGAATAGACACACCCATATACACCACACTTCGTACTGGTTGTTGAATTGATCATTGATGAATCAGCTTCGGAAGAATAAACCCATCCTAACAGGGGTGTCACCAACAAAAATGAAGGATTCCCAGGAATGTGGGACACCCCCTGTCCAGGTTGTGCAGTTCTTCAATTGATGTTCCCTCAACAGATTCGGGGATGGCAAAACTCACCAAGCTGAAGCAACGCACACTTGAAAGGCAGGTTCCTCATAAGTGCATGTTTTTCAGCCTAAAGGGTCAGCAATTTCCATAAATTCTCACAGCCGAACACCCAACCAGTCCTTCGGAAACAACCCTGCTTGCTTGGAAGGGATGAATTGCGAAGAGTTGACTGAAGAGTTAACTCCCCCACACCCGAATTTAATTGTTTATAACCTTATTGCTACAGGCTCCCTTGGAGAATCGGAACCCGGGCGGGCAGGGAATAGGAGTAAAAAGGTCATGAACCTCGGGAAATCACAATAATCATTGTGATAATCGATATTGGCAAATGAAGCTACTGTAGAAGGTTTCCAACCATGGCAGTGAATGATCACCTTTAGTGTTTCTATGCTTAAGTGGGATTCAAGTTCATTCATACGATCTTGCGACTACTTAAGGGCAAGTCCCCTTGTATCTCAGCGAAATATCCTCCTGTGTCTCGCCGCTAGTTTTGGGCCAATAGGGAATCCTGGCTGACTCATGGTGGATTCCCTTGAAACAACCCCGAAAAGGATGTAATAAAACAAAAAAAACAATAGAAATACGTCCAATATAATCAATTTTTGCCAGCCATGACCACCAATCTAACTGGGCTCGTTCTCGACCCTCTGCAAAGAGTTAAACCTTTCCTGTGCCTCTCGTTCATTTTCCAACCAAAAGTTGAGTACAATCAACACCGATCGGCATTAAAATGGTCTACCCAAAAACCATCTAAAGAATTGAAAAGGCGGCACCTGCTTCTGGCTAAGATTATCCCTTACCCTCCAACTACCAGTGCTTTGATTGTGACTCAGTGGAAGTTGGCAAGTCCAGCCAACAGCAGAGCAAGTGCCCCACTAATCCAACTCGCCCACCTCCAGGAGAAAATTTTACACCAAGAAGCTGACGAAAAAGAGTTTTGGCTGTGGCTTTTCTTTGGGAATTGGAACCCCAAAAACGGTTGGTTTCCTTTTGGTTTCCCTCTAAACAACCACCGAGCAAGGAGTACCCTCAAAAAAAAAAAAAATGCAACTGGAGGTCTGGTAGAGAAAGGCAACCCCTTATTGGGGTGAAACCCAGCATGGGGCAAACAAACAGCACCATGCGCGATCCTCACTGGACATGGGACAGTAGGAAATATGACCCTTTCTGTGAGTCGCCAAAGTGGACCATTCCTAGAAATCACTTCCAACAAGGGGCATTCCAATATATTTCCAACAGCCAGGCTCTCTGTCAGGGGCAGAACAGGCTTTCCCACGAATCCCGGCTCTCCAACTCTCCGCTGTCAGACATTCGGAAACCCAACCACTAAACCACCAACAAATTCCTCTAAAACCCGAAGTTGAAAGAGGCCGATTCGCTGTTTGAACCACCCATCTCCCGGAAGAGTTTGAACATTTCCAATAAAGTTCCAACCTAAACGACCATTCCAACCATGCTCTCCTTCAGGTTGGAAGAACCGGGGTTTCCCACCAATCCCATCTCTCTCACTCGCCTGGAAGAGTTTGAACTCCTGCGCCGTGCCGTTCACCAGCGCCGACTGCGACGGCAGCGGCACCGGCGGATCCCGCGGATCCCGCGGATCCGGCGCCGCCGCCCGCGCGGAGCCGGCGGCGCTGGGCGCGCCCGAGCCGGTGCCTGCGGCAAGCGCCTGCTGCCCGTACCTCGGGCACAAGGAAAACCTGAATCTCGGTTGCGAAATCTGCGAAGCCCTGCGAAAAGCTGTTTTCTTTTAGTGGTTTAATACGGAAAACCCTTAAAGTTGGCAAAAAGTTCTCAAGTCCTAACATCCCTTGGCAAAATGCAGCCAAGTGAAGATGGGGTGCATCTCAGCTGCCCCGGATGGGACACAGAAAGGTGATCACCTTTTTGGGACGTCTACAAAAAATGGGAATCTCAAAAGGTTGGCTTGGGGCAAGTGAGGCATTCTTCCATTTGCGAAAAGATGGGCTTTTCTGGCACATGGATGTCAATAAGGCCAATCTAAACCAGTGGAACCCAAATTCTGTCCCAAACTAACCGATCAAAAGGACACCAATGTGCATAGGTAGTCTTCCAGTTGCTTCTTCGCCCCCCTAAGAAAAAAAACATGAGAACATATATATGTCCAGTAGTTATAGATTCCCTTCAGAACCAACAAGGGCAAATAACACATATGCTTGGCAACTTAAGCAAATGGAAGCATTCGTTTGAGGGTGCCCAAGGGTTACCTTCCTGTCCATTAACATGGAACCTGACGTTTCGGGATCCGTTTCGGTTTGGACCATTTTGCTTTAAAATGGATCCTCTCGCAGGTTCCATGGTATCTTAGGTTAACCTTTTGGGAAACAAATACTTCCATTTGCTTGCTTGAATTTATAAGAAGATGTGCTATGTTCCCTTGCTGGTTTTCACGAGAATCGATTTCCCTGTTCCATGTTCATCTCACTGGCTGAGTGGATGGCCCAAAAAAAGTCCAAACTTTATATTTACCACTAAAATGGTCCAAACCAAAAAAAAATCAAAGTTCATGAACTCAGGAAGTGAGTCATGGACAGGAGGTAGGAAACCAAACGGAAGCCGCAACTCCGGATCCCCGACTCCGACCCCGAACTCCGAAGCCGAATCCAAGGCGCATGCGGGCGGTGTTCCCGTGGTGATCCCGCAGCTCCGCTACCTTGCCCGCGCGCGCCGAGAGCCAGCTGAGCACCTCGAAACGGGATGAAACGGGGGTGCAAAGAGACACCCGGAAAATGTATTGCCCCCATTAAGAGCATATCAAAGGGTTGGGTTACCGAAAACGGCCTATTACGGGTGTTTTGGGGCCATTTCGTAACCAAACCCTTTGAGAATAGCAAGGAGCCAATTTGCAATTTGGATGGTGGTCATATGAGCCCAACTCAGCGAATTGAACTTGGGGCAACAAAACGAAATATATCGCTGAAATGATGATTCAGGTAGCCCTTGGATATCACCCGGAGACCAAAAGTTGACACAACTCCACACACCCGTTGAAAAAAAAAAACGGGGCGGCCGCTGCCTGAAGCCCCAGGCCAACCCAACTCAAGCCTTGCTTGGTCTGGATCTTGGTGATGGGGAAGCCACACCAATCCACCCAGCCAATGGAAGGGAAGCCGACCAAACACATCTGGGACTCCAACAAAAGGCGTGCCGGATTCTGAGGCCCAGCCAACTTGCAGGGATATGTCTCTTTCCTGGTTTACAAAGCTGCAATTCAACCAAGTGTAGTGTCTGAAACACAAGTTGAACATAGTTTATTCTGTGCAAGTTCGAATGAGAATACGTGCACAAAATGCAGCAACTAATACGGAAACTGAACGTGCAGAAGTCTCCAATTCAGATTGTGGGAGGGCCCAGTTCTGAATCCCTCACATCCTCGACCCTTTTTTCAGTCAAGCTGAGACAGGTGGTCTCAAACAAACTCACTTCCTGAGTGGATTTGCCAAAAACCGGATCCAAACTGCTTCTTTTGCCGCGCTGAAATGGTATTTCCGAAAAGTGACTCAAGTCCAACTCCGGGAGAGCATCCGTTTCATTCTGGCCCTTGGGGATCTCGAAGTTCAGGTGTTGGAATTGTAAGAAAAACAGGGGTCCAGCAATAGACGTGGCTTTAGGTCAGTCCGGCATAGCGAATCTGGGCTGTCCATTTTCTGATCCCCTGCCAAAAGTGAATAACTTGTGGGTTCAATGGAACCCAATCACTCAACCAAAAAAACAAAAAAAACTCTGGGGAACCGGACGATTCGCTGAAAAACCTAAGGGAACCGCCCAAACCAAAACGGCTGAACCTTATGAGAACCTAAACAGACCGCCCAGGGGACAGCCTGAGATCCTCAGCGAGACTTCTGGGGATCAAGCTTTACAGTTCGGACAGGTGGTCTTTGTCGGATCCTCAGAAGCCCATTAAATTTGCTTCAGTCTGGAAGCAATATATCTAGAACAATGAACAAGTAACATCCAGTACTGATAGATTCTCTTTAAACCCAACAGGATAATATACAATACTTGAAGCAACATATTCTTAAGCAAATGGACGAAGCAGGATGAACAGGGCTTACCCTGGAAAGATCCAGAGCTCAGTGAAACACAAAACACAAACTAGCAAAGGAGCGTCTAAGTATCAGCAGCCAACATGCGCTTTGCCTGCCGGTCTGGGCACTCGGGTCTTTGGACAGGGTCAAGGCTTGGGTGACGGCCTCAAAGTCCGACCTTATGCCATCCCGACACTGCCGTGCGAGGTTGAGGTCCTTGTGTAGCAGGCCGGCGAAGCTTCTCGGCGCCACATCGTGTACAGACATTGACCAGGCTCGTTTGCAAGCAGCTCGAACCACCAATCGGTAGAAGCTCTTGGCGCGCTGCTGTGCTGCAGTTGAAGCAGGCTCTTCGTGGCTGCCACGGCCGAGCTTCAGCTTGCTAAGGGCATCCCCGAGCATTGCAAGTGCAAACACGTGCGCAGTGGGGCAACATTCCTCACAGCTCCCGATATTTCCCTTTAAAACAGCACCCCACGCAACAGAAACTCACTTCAATTAGCCCACTCTGTTGTTCAGCGACCCTGGAAAAAAAGGGAACCCTCTTTGGGGAAGATCATTTTTAGCGGGGCAGCCACCAAACAAAAGGGAGGCTAAGGGTGCCACTGAACAACAAAAGGACCCCCCCCCAGGAGATGGCCATGGCCGTAAAAGACGGCATCAGGCCATACCAGAACACACAACAAAAATGGGTCCTCCAGTAGAGAGGTTAGAATCAGAGAATAAGGCTACCCTTTCTTTTTCTGTAGTAGGGGAACCCTCCCCCCAAAAAAGGGTAAGAAAGGGCACACTGGGGGTCCTAGCAAAAGAATAGCAAGGACCCAATTTGGCGGATGGTGGTCATATGAGCCCAACTTGGGGCAACAAAAGGATTTGCTGAAATGACTATTCAGGTTTTCCCCTGCATATCACCCAAGGCCAAAAAGGAAACCCAGCCCCGAAAAACGGACCAACGTCAGCGAACCCTTTTTTTCTCTCCCCCCGCGCAGGATCCGTGCGCCGCCTCGTGGAAGCCGGCGCGGCCGGCGAGGTGCAGCGGCGTCTGGCCCTTGCGGTTCAGCGCGCCCACGTCGGCGCGGCGCTCCACCAGCAGGCCTCGGTGGTCGGCGCGTGCGCCAGATTTGAGAGGTTGGAAGAAGTCGGTACCTTTTTTTTCCGTAGTCTATTTTACTAGGGGAAGCCTCCCCCCAAAAAGTTGGTAAAAGGGTACTACTGGGGGCCGCGCAATCACTCCCTTGTGGGGCCGCCAGAGAATGAGAAGCCAAAGAAGAGAAATCGTCGACTCGTGCCTCGATCTTGTGCTCCAAGTCCTACTTTTTACGTCTGAAACAAATCAACATCGCCGGCCGCCGGGTTAGTAAATCAAGTGCAACTACTTACTTGGTCACTTAGGGTACTACGCACGGTATGAGAAAAATGGCCCATCCCAGTTCCCCCAAATCTACCCCAGCTATTGCCCCGACCAAGGATAATACATAGGTTCGATTCTGGTCATGTACCTTAAAACTGGGGCGCCTGAAAGGCGTTTTGGGAATGAAATTGTTAGGACCTGCCAGGAATGTAACCAGGATGGCTCAGAGGCCATTCCCTCAACCCTGAGGACCAGCAAGGTTTACGTGAATACATGGGTTTAGGGTATGTGCCCATTCAAAACTGATCTTGGAAGTGACCCTTTTAGGTGAAGTGACCAAGGGTCCAGGTCCCACTCTTTGGGTGAAGTAGCCTGGGAAGTGACCTTTTTAAGGTGATGAAGTAGTCATGTCATGGCCCATGGCCCACTTTCTCCGATGTCCATCCGATGTCCATGGCCCGGCTTTCTCCGATTTCTTGATCGCAGGCGCGGCAGATCTCTTTGGCCGGGGCGAAGAAGAGCGGGGTCTGGCCGTGGCGGTCGGTGGCCTCCACGTCCGCGCGGGCCAAGAGCAAGGTCTTGCACAGCTCCATGTTCCTCAAGAGCCAGAGGGGGTGGAGGGGGTGGGGGGAACGCGGGGGAGCCATGGGAGAAGTGAGGGGGGGAGGGGAGGTAATGCTGGGGGGAAGGGGGGAAGGGGGGCGCCTGAAGAAAATTAAAAACCAAAGGAGGGGGAGGGGGACGCGGTGGCCTTTGCCACGGGAGATCGCCTTTTTAGTGGCTCAGTTGTTCAAAGCGAATCGACCTTTTGACCTTGTGGGGTTGCGGGTTTGGTCCGTTTTTAGTCCCTTGGCACACGTGGGTGCGCGTTTGAACATAGGGGATCCGCAAAATGGATTTCGTGGTTGCCTCATGGTTTGTCTTCATCTATCGACCAACAAAGGGAAAAGCAAAACAAACTCAAGCTTCTTAGAAGGCGCCGGCTGGCTCCCCAAAATGGGCGTGTCTTTTTGAACTTGGTCCCCTCAGAAATGGATTTCGCCCCCTTTTTGTTCCGGTTGATTTTCCCTTTCCACCAAAACAGGGGTACCCTCAAAAACACAGACCCACTTGGATGTCGGTTTTCCCTCTTGGTTGTGTTTTTGAACACGAAGGGTCAGCCTCCCTCTAATTGGTGGTCTGGATTAGTAGTTTGGGAGTTGAACCTGTGGTTTTGGTTTGGCAGGTACATGGGAAACCCCTCCCCAACCACCAAGCCACCGGGCTCCAAACCACAAATTAGAGAAAAGCTGAAAGGGTAGCCTCGAGGTAAAACAACCAGGCCCATGTATCTTCGAAGAAATTCATTGGTTCAGCCAAGATGTTTCGTTGAAAGGCCCCCTGCACCAGAGGCGCCTTCCCCTGCACCAGGGGCGCCTTCCCCACTAAAATGGTCCAAACCCAAAAGTGACTGAAGTCCGCAATTGAACGCAGGAAGTAAGGTAGAACCTCTCCAGAGTCCTTTTTGCTTCTCAGGCAATCCCTGGATCTTTTCAGGCAGTCAACAAGAAAAAGTGGCCCTAGAAACAGGTTGTCAAAAACTAAGAGGTCGCCACGGCATTGATGTCAATCTGCAGAGTATCGGCTCCTTTTTGGTTCCTTTGTCAAAACCTTGTAACCCGGGTTACGCCTATCTCTTGAATCATCTTGATGCAACTAAAGGGGGACTGGGGGTCCGTTTAGACACATTCGCCCAGCCCTTCTTTCAACCCCTCATTTTGGGTCTTTCTGTTCAGACGCCCGGTTGGGCTCAATGCTAATCCAGTGTGAAGTTGGGGTTGTTAAATGGGATACAGGCCTGACATCGCAAACTGGGGTGTCGATTTTCAGATCCCCTGCCGAAAAATGTGTCCCTTTTAGTGGGATATAAATCGGAAACCCAACCACTAAACTACGACTTTTAGTGGGTTAAACTCGGAAACCCAACCACCAAATCCTCAAAACGAACCCACACAGCAGCTGGGAACCGAGAAACGGGGAGGCTGATTCCACTAGCCCGTGGAAATCTGCGGCTGGTTCCTATGAAGGACATTGATGATCAAGCAAGCAAGGCTTCGCACCGTTCGTAGGTTGAAACACTTCAGCCTTTGAAAGGAGACACCCAAGGAAACAAATCTGTCCTTTAGCAACCAGGGGGTACGCTCGAAAAGAAAGACACACCCACATGGTTTCTCCAACAATGACATTCCCGATCTAGTCGAGTAGCTTCTCGCGTGAGCGGTGTTCCCCGTGTCTTTTTGTTGCACATACGTGAGCGGGTTTAACCTCAAGGTCCGCATGCCTGCATACGTGTACGTCCGTACGTGTACGTCTTTTTCGAGGGTACCCTTTTTGGGTTGGTTTGAAAGAGAAACCTAAAAGGGAAACCACCAATGTGGGGGGGGGGGGGGTGAGTGTGTGTCTGTGTTCGCCCCGGCCCATCTGATCTTCTTGGCCTTCCATATTGGCCTCCGCGTCTTGTATATGTAATATATGTTTTCTTTTGATTTACAGCTCCCTTTTGCCGTCAAGCTGCCCCTCGAAGACAGCGATGTGCAATGCTGTAACCCCCTTGGCGTCCGCGTCATTCACCTCAAGGCAAGCACCAAGTTAAGGCAAGCCTCGAAGAACTATGGCTGCAAAAGGGTGAAGGCCAGGTGTTGGCTGTGTCTTAAAACATGGGATCCCGAAGATGATGTTGCTTCCTTTCGTTTCGGAAAACGACCCAAGGCGCAACAGAACTCTTCAGGCCATCCGAAGGGTGTGCCTCATTCTGGGAGACAGGCCATTTTTCACCCAGCATGACCGCTCCCGATGCAGCAAGCTACTCCCAAAAGTCTTGGTCCTTTCAATAGAAACAAAAAGCGGGTGTCCAGAGGTCAAAATTTGAACATCCACCTCTGAAAGTCAAAGCAAAACACTGAACCCTGGGAGGCTTTCGATGTTCAACCAGGAAAAATGTGTCTGACGGACACTAACCACCGACTTCTGTTCAACCAACGTGGGTCTTTTGCTTTTCCTTCAACGGGCTCGGACAGGCCCAAGCCCATGTGGTTTCCCTCTCGCTGCTTCTCAGGCAATTTGCTGGTCTTGGGAATGTTCTGGGGATCCCCAGATCCAAAGGGTGAGCAACTTCAGAACCCCGCGAGAGCCACGGGATGGCACCATTTGAGTCGCAATCAAAACCGATCGCTACTAAAATGGTCGTAATCCCACCATGTACAGGATTAAGAAGGCGGCCGCAGCTATTTCTGGTTGGGATCGTCCCTTACCTTCATCTACCCGGGTTTTGAGCAAGTGGCTCATTTGGTGGCGAGCCGAAAACCAAAAGGGAGCCAGCCCATGAAGGGACCCCACCCAAGAACTCTTGCCATAAGATGGTTCGGCTCAAGCCCCTAGTGTTAACTCTTGCAAGCGGGAAGCAACGTGTCAAAGGTTAAAGTCCAAAGATCCCACCAAATGGGCTTGTTATTCTGTTAACCCCCCAAAATGGAAAGGGTTTCCCTTTACCCACCAAACAGAGGTCCCCTCACACCAAAGACAAAGCCAAATGGGCATGAATACTTATTGGGGACATCATTTAGGTGTGGCTTTGTGTCCACCAACCACTTTCCAGGGGGTTCCTTACTTAAAATCATGGCCAAATCGCACCGCCGGGGGCCCCCGGGTGGGGCGTGACCCGCGTCGTTGGGTTCGAACCGAGTCACGTTGGCGCGGCCGCGCAGCAAGAGGCGCACCAGGTCGCAGCGGCCCAAGCGCGCCACCGCGATGAGCGGGCCCCCGGGGCCTTCCCATCGGCCTCAATGAGCTTCCGCGATGGGGCCTTTTCTTTACCAGGGATCCTTACATCATGTGTTTTTTGTTTTTGTTTTCTTTTGTGGAGATCTCCACTTTCCCTCCCTCCCCCTCAAATTCCAGGGGTCACCCCCTCCCCCAATTCCGCTTTTAACAGGGAACCTTACATGAAAAACACCTGAACATTGCAACTCGTAAATGGTGGTTGCCCTATTTTGGTGTTGAAAAAGCAACATGTTTCAATTGGTGGCAAAGTGGGGATCTTTTAAGGAGCCGTGTTTAGGGGTAACCCTTTTCACCCTTCCTCCACTAACATGGCACCTGTGGGAGGGTAGCTTGGGCTGTGGGATGCGATGGGTGGGCCTTTTCTTTACTTGGTTGCTGTTGACCCCCCTGCAAACAGTTCAACTTTTTGGCCGGTGTAGTGGAAAACCCAACTTGATTTCCCAAAAAGTTAAAGTCTGAAGATCCAACTCAATAGCAGTCAAGATTCAGGGTGACCCTGTTACCCAACCGCTGCAAGCTCAGGAAAATCAAGCCAACAGTGGAAGCAAGAGACCCCAAACAGCGTTGGGGAAGGCATAAAAACAATGTTGACCCCGGAGTCATAAATCTGTTTATCAAGATGGGGGTGGTTTTTGGCCGACACCCTCATATTCATAAACAGGGGTTGATTAATCTGGTGTCAACATTACTTGGGTGTGCGATTCGCCAAGTTAGCAATAGCCCAGGTTAGAACCCACTTATTTGCCCCCGAAGTGGGGTTACCGCTGTTATTAGTGGGTTAGAACCCAAGTGGCCAACCAATTACTAACCTGGCCGAACATCCAAGTACACCTTTTTTTGGTGGTTCTAAAGGGAAACCAACCGGAAAACTGAAATCCATTTTGGGGGGTCCCCTTAAGAAGACACACCCCACTGCTCAGCAAGGACGGAGGGCATGACACCCAACTCAACCATCATGAACCATCCAACTGCTGGTTTCCTAGAAGATCCCCCTTCCTGTTCCTTCTCAGCCCGTTTGATTCCCTGAGAACCAGCAAGAAACAAAAGTCCCAACATCCCCCGTGGTCTGTCAAGCCGAATCGGCCCAAGAATCAAGGCTTCGAAGCCAAGGTGGGCTTCGGATTCATCCGGATTAGTGACTCCCGGGTGAGGTTGGTCGCTCCAACAGCAACCCATGCCGGAGCCTAGCTGGGAGGCCAAATAATTACAAGTTGACAGTTGAGGAAAGCCGACCCAAAAGCAAGGCTGCTCAGGAAAAGGGGAAAGGGGTTGCAAGTGGAAATGGTTTTACCAGGACGAGGTTGCTATAACCTCGAAAGGTAGCACCAGCTACAAAAACTGCCACGTGACTTTTCCTTTTTCCTTGCGCTGCGCACTCGTCCCACCCCGATCGCCACCAGCAAGGTGACTTCGATCAATTCCCCCCCCCCCCACCCGCCCCGCCCTGCCCCGTGGTAATAGGGGCCTGCAAAAAGGCGCCAATGCCCTTTGCCTCGTTGGGTACAACTTGAGTTTAAATCCACCCCCCAGGGAGGAAGCAAACAACTATTGATGCCCTTCTGAGCATCAGGAAGATGTGGGGTGGGAGTGTCGCATCAGGAAGATGTGGGGTGGGAGTGTCTTTTTTGTTGGGGACCCGAAATGAAATTTGGTTGTCCCCTTGTGTTGTCCTTTTCAAACCACGAGAATGGGGGGGGGAGGGCGACGCCCTTCTCCTCAAAAAAGGAATCACTCCCTTTTGTCTGACCCCAGAAAATCAACAAACTAAAACTGATTCCTAACACGATGAATTTGGAGATATCTGTAAGGAAGGCAACTGTTTGAAGGATCACACAATAGATTAGTCTCAACTACGGGTTGCAACTACACACAAATCAACCTATTCACGGTGTTGGTGTTGTGGTTGGTCACCTCAAAACTTAAGTGTTAACTTCCATTTGGGAATAGGTGTCCGGGCTGCCCTCGGATCGCTGCTAAAAGTGAATACCTGTTAGTGGGTTAAAATCCGAAACCCACCCACTAAACCCACTAAAAAGCGCTAAAAGGCCAAGTTGAACTGATTCGCTGGGGGGCACCAAGCCGTATCACAGGAGCCACCTCAACCCTTCTGGTCGAAACCCGAAAAATCCATCCATGCAGCGGCCGTGACGCCGAGCTGCCCATGGGGTCGGGCGCTTTCAGCAGCCGCTGCAGGTTCCGCATGGCCCGCTGCTCGTCTTTCCCTTCGAAAGCCTCAAGGACCTGGGAAAACGGGGCTCGAGACCGGACAGAGACGAGTTGTTGGAACAAGCCGATGATTCTTATCCTCTGGTTGCTGGGCTGCTCTCAGATTTTTCTGCTAAAATTCAATTTGTGGTGGGTTGAATGGAAACTAAGACTAAACCCCACAAGCCTAAAAGGCTAAGGAACCGGACGGCTGGGGGCCGCGAAGGTTGCGAATACGTTTCTGAGGGTCTCCTTATATTTTTGGTGGACTTGGTGACCCGGTGTTTTCTTTGTCCTCAATTTGGGGGAAGCTGAAAAGAAGGGGAAGTACCCTTAAACACCTCCAGTGGCGCATACCTGCGCTGGACAAATGAGAACATCTTTCCAGTGAAGTCGATTCCCTTCAATACATATTCATTTTTTCAGCAAACAAAGTGACCGAACCCCATTCGGGAGGGTGGTCCGTGGGGGCTCCCTAAGGCTCCCTAAAGAACCCGTTCAGGGGAACACTACAGAACCCGTCACACACCCTGTGACATACCTACCCTCCGGACGTCCATAAGGTTTGTGGAATTGGTGATGTTGATTGGTTTGGTGGCGAGGTTAGGCTTCTGAAGTCCAGGGGAAACATGAAAATTAATCTTCAATAGTACATATATTCTTACGCAAATGGAAGGTAGTTGTCAGGTTAAGGCAAAATAAACGTTGGAACAGCTCCTCCAGATCCAGGAAAAGGCCCTTGATTCAGCTTCCGCGATTTGGATTGGTGAGGCTAGGGAGCTTCCCAGTGCAAACCCCCCGAGCCACCACTGGGCTGCCCTAAGATCCCCTGCTAAAAGTGAATACCTTTTAGTGGGTTAAATTCGGAAACCCACCCACTAAACCAGCCAAACACAAGCCCCAAAAGGCTAAGTTGAACTGGACGATTCGCTGGCCACCAAGACCAATGACCCAGAACGGAGAAACAACTCAAAGCCGCAGGGTGACGACGCAGACGCAGTTCCCCTGTTTAATCATACTGTAAACAGGGCTGTGGGAAATGGAATCCACTTCTGTGATACAACCAAAAGGGCCTCTCAAAGACTAACCCCCAATACAAAGAGGGGATTCCCTTGTATCACAGAAGTGGGGATAAACCCCTTGATCCCGCAACCCTGTACTGTAATCAAAGGGAGAGGCGTCAGAGAGGATGAGTGCCGAAATTGCGCCATCTACCGTCAACCCATTGTAGCCAAAACCAAATTCCTAAAGATTTCTCGCCCAAGAGGTCTCTTGAGGCTATCCATTTCAGCTCCATGTTGGGTGAATCGGACAAACACTTTCAAGTTGGCATTTTCAGGTCTGGAACGTTTGGAGGCGTGCGGCCTACCAATACAAGCTTAGGCAGTATATGCTCCTTGGTATATAACCTCACCTCCAAAACCCGAGGCTCCGAAACCGTTTGGCGCCCTTTGGGTGAAGCCAAAAAGGAAAACTACGGAATTTCCATTTTGTGGAGATCATATCCGATAAAACAACATCACCCATATTTCACAGGACAACTCGAGACCGCGCCTCTGAAGGTGCCATCCGCGAAAAATGAAGAAGAACAAAACCACGAAGCCGCATCTGGGCTGCCCTCGGATGCTAAAGCGAATACCTTTCAGGGTTAAATGCGGAAACCCTACCACTCAACCAACTAAAAAGCCAACTAAAAGGCCGGACGGCTGGGGGCCACGGGTTTCGTATCAGAGGAGTCGCCGGTTGGGCCACCTCAACCCTTCTTTTCGAAACCCGAATCGATCCATTTCGCCATGCCTGGAGCTGGTGATGGATGTCAGGTGGTTTGTGGCTCCAGACGGTAAGTTGAAAGGAAGCCACCCTCTGAGCCGGGTAAATGGAAGAATTCAAACCAATGTAAACCTTTCTATTTCTAACCAAACTACCCCACCAACTAACATGGAAGTGCAAAGACCTCCTTTGGGACCTAAAAAACGGCCCCTATCTTGGAAGGTCGTTGATCTCTTCAACCCATCTGCCCCCCGCACCCTGCAACCCCCCTGACAACCCCCGCCTGATTTAAGGTCTGCCCATCGTCGTCCTCTGGACTGTCCTGCGCGGTCATTGACAGCTCATCATGATCCAGCAGGTTGAACAAAACCTGTATGGGTCAAAATTCAACCAGGGGACCGCAGGCTTTAGTCTATGTTACCACTTACCAGGGTTCAATTGTGGGTACCAATTTTGACCCGCAGCTACCTGCTACTCCTGCTACCAACAAAAACTCACCTTCAGGAGCCCAAAAGGTGACGTTCCACACCACCAAGATCACTCTTGGAAAGAACTGGACCTGGCTTCCGGGGATCTGCTTTTGCACTTCGACTGCTTCTACTCCTACTACTTCTACCCGCTTCGCTTAAACCCTCCCTGTCTGATGGGTTCCAGAATGTTAACACCTTGATGTGGTTGGATGCATGATTGTGTCTTGCCTCTTTAGGGGTTTCAAAGTAAACCAACACCATGCTTAGTTTGGGGGCTCCCTCGATTGGGAGTGTCCGTCTTTTAGGCTTTAAAACCACCAAACAATTGGTACCGAGCCTCAACAAAAGGAAGCACACCACCCATTTAGACACAAACCCAAACCCAATCATAGGTGATCTGTTGGACAACATACATGTCTCTAAATCATAGGTTGGACAACATACATGTCTCTGGTAAATCGAAAACATCAGGAGGTGAGGCCTTTCGGAGAAGCCAAACCTCTCCAGGCATAAAACTCATCTGAAGATCCTGAAAGGCACCTAACCAAATGTCTCAAAGCATGCTACCCTTAAACCAAAAACGCACCAAACGGAAACCCACCCTAAACCTACCCTACACCCGCCCTAAACCAACAGACAAAGCAGAAACCACGCGACGACTCCGCTGCAGTCCTCCATCCGCTCAGAGCGCCGACCCCCCATGAGCACGGGCCGCCGGGGGCTGGCGCCGCGATCCTCGGCATGGTGAGGCAATGCGTGTCGTGGAAAAAACGGGGGACGTGCGACTTGTAGGTCTTAGGGGTTGGTTCGATATTGGAATTCAACAGGTGGTGGTGATTGAAGTCAAAAGAATGGTGGTGGTGGTGGTGGTGGTGGCGGTGGTGGTGGGTGCAAAGGGCTTCAGATCCAAATCCGGTTCCCACCGACCCAAGCCAATTGAGGGACCTGACCGAGGAAAAGGGGTGCTGCTCTTTTGCTCCACGGGGGTCAAAGCAGGTGAGATTGGGACTGGCGGTAATTAGCCCCCGCCCGCCGCAAAGAAAAGAGGCAACTACGACCAAAAAGCAAAAAACACACAAACACACAAACACATCCTCCGCCCCCCTCCCCCCCAAAAAAACAAAAACAAAAACAAAACACAAAAACAAAACAAACAAAACAACTAACAACAACACAAAACAAAAAGCGAGAAAAACCGGGGATCCACTGGCCTTCCAGCCGGGTTTCCAGCTGTGTCCAGCTCCCCCGCTCGCTGCACTCCGTGCGGCTGTTCCGGGGGCTCACCGCCCGCCGGTCCCTCGGCCGCACCGGGGATGGGGCGCTGGGCGTGCGCGACGGGGTGCGCGAAGCGACCTGACCAAAAGGCGAGGTGTGCGGCTCCTCTTTTTCTAGATGAAGCCCGATTTTCGGTTGGTTTGAAAGGAAAAGCCAAAGGAAAATCAGAGTTGATTTGGGGGGGGAGAGGTCCTTTTTTCACGCAACCTGCGTTTTGTTTGTTCCCCGCCCGACAGGAAGGGGTTGTTAGAACTTATGTTGGAATCCGCGTTTGCGATGCTTCTACACCACGCCCCCACCCAGAATCCCGCCAGAGCAGCTCGCCAGCGGATCCCGCCCAGTATCCCACCAGAGCTGCTCGCCAGTGGATCCCGCCGAGTATCCCGCCAGGATCCTGCCAAGTATCCTGCCAGAGCCACTCGCCAGCGGATCCCGCCCAGTATCCCGCCAGAGCTGCCCGCCAATAAACCCGCCAAGTATCCGAGCGGCTTGTCAGTGGATCCCGCCGAGTATCTCACCAGAGCAGCCCGCCAGTGGATCCCGCCGTGTCGCGCTGAGTATCCCAGAGTGGCTCGCCGAGTATCCCGCCAGAGCGGCTCGCCAGTGGATCCCGCCGAGTATCCCACCAGAGCAGTGGACCGAGTATCGCGCTGAGTATCCCAGAGTAGCTCGCCAGTGGAGAGTAGCTCGCCAGTGGATCCTGCCGAGTATCCTGCTGAATCCCAGAGTAGCTCGCCAATGAATCCCGCCAAGTATCCCGCTGAGAATCCCTTGCCGGTGGATCCTCACGAGTATCCGGCGAGTATCGAGCCGGAGCGGCTCGACAGCATTCGCCAATGGATCCCGCCAGTATCCCGCCAGAGCAGCTCGCCAGTCTGGTTTTGATTAATGTCCCGCCCGTTCGTGTTTTGAGTGTGCCCTGAGGCTTGGAAAGGGTGATGCTTTTGTGTTGCTGGGTTGTGAATAAGCAACTTCGTTTAATCCCTCGTCGGTTTTTTTTGGAAGGGGCTTGGCTTTTGTTAACGGAACCGATGTTTGAGTTCTCGAGATCGGCTCGCAGACAAGTGGAGTTTGACACACAAACAGGTGGATACGGCTCTCAATGCAAAGCTTGTTGAGCTAGCCGATGGGAATTTGGAGTCGAAGCCTCTAGGATGCGGAGGAATTTGTTGTAACGGTCGCAAGCTCGTGAGTGTGGAGGGTGGGGATTGCTCGAAGCGAAGTTGTTGTTTTTTTTGGGGGGGGCTGGTTCGAACAAGGGGACAATCGAGAAAACACAAAAATATGGGGGGGGGGGGTCCCCTAAACACGACACACCCATGTTGACCGCTGATGCAGAAACACACTCATGCTATCTTAGTTATTTAATTAGTTTTAGACCCCGCCTTGGACTTGTTTTGGTGGTTCCCCCGGGTCATATTTGGTTCTACTGAAAATATATGGGTGTGCTGGTTTTGAGGCTCAGTACCCTTCGTAGGTTGGTTCAAAGGAAGCCAAAAGGAAACCGAACTCCATTTTGGGACACACACACACACACTTATTTTGGTGAGTGGGACGCCCGGAGGGACCTGGTTTTATGGAGCAAACTCACCTATTATTTGCATTCGAATCCCTCTATGCTCAATTTGATTTTCGTGAGGTTGCAAAACGCGTGCGACCTTGCTACCCCAAAACACGCGACTGAAATATGACACTTTAGCCACACTATAGCTGTGACACTTCTATATCACGCTTGGCATTCTAATAGAATGCATCCCTGGGCCGCGTCATTACGTAAATACAGACTGTGAACAGACTATCACATGTCATGTAGACAGCAATTTGCACAAACCTGACATGCCCTTGGCACGCATTGAGACGGGAACGCGCCCCTTGCATTTTTAGGGGGCCCTCGTTCTGGTTTCTTTCTTGGGGACCACTGATCAATAACTTGGGGGTCACCCTTGGATTGCCCTGCCCAAAAGTTGATCAATTTACTGCTTTGCATTGGAACGATCGAAAACCACTTTTGGAGCTAGGTCCTCCAGTAGAGAGGTTAGAATAAGGGTACCCAGTTTCTTCTGTAGTCTATTTTAGTAGGTTGGACCCCTCCCCAAAAAAGGAGAGAGAAGGGCACTAAGACTACTGGGACCTAGGGAGGTTCCCAAAAGCGAAGGGAGGACTGGGCTCGGATCCCCTGAAAGTGAATAACTTCTGGGTATAAATTCGGAAACCCACCCACTAAACCAGCCAAAAGCAACTAGCTAAGTTGAACCGGACGATTCGCTGGCCACCAAGAGGAAGGAGCTCAAAATTTTTGAATCCTGGAGACGTGCCGAAGCCTCCCGCATCTCCCGCACAGGCTGCGGATGCGGCAGCTGCGTCGGCTGCCTCGGTCGCAAAGCGCCGCCATGCAAATTGGCTTGGCTCCGTTTGGGCCCTGGAACCTGGCGAAAAAGGCCTTGCAACGTGTCCCTGGGATTCTGCTTGACTTAGCTGGGAGCAGCCTTGATTGATCTTAAGCAACTGGAAACCCCCAACCCAATATGGGTGTGTCGTCAAAGACAGACCCATATGGGTGTCTTTTATAGCTTATACCCTTTCTTTTGTTGGCTTAAAGGGACACCACAAGCAAAAACGCTATTTCAGATGACCCCAAACCCCAAAACCAAAAGAATCCCCACCAAATCACCACAAAAGGGGTACCCGACCTCCCAAAAAACCAACAAAACCAGCTAAACCCAACTACACCTAGCCATTAAACCATATTAACCCAACTAAAACCCAACTAAAACCAACTAAACCCAACCATTAAATCAACTAAACCCAACCAATAAACTAACTAAAACCGGCTAAACCCAACTAAACCCAACTAAAACCAACTATCAATCCAACTAAAAACCAGCCAACACCAACTAAACCCAACCAACTAAAACCAGCCAACCCCAACTAAAACCAACTATCAAACCAACTAAAAACCAGCCAACACCAACTAAACCCAACCAACTAAAACCAGCCAACCCCAACTAAAACCAACTATCAAACCAACTAAAAACCAGCCAACACCAACTAAACCCAACCATAAAACCAACTAAAACCAGCCAAACCCAACTAAAACCAACTAGAATCCCACCATTGAACCAACTAAACCCCACCATGAAACCAACAAAAACTAGCTAAACCCCACCAAAAACCCAACCCGCTTGCACCCGAAAATGGCGATTGGCCCCCCAAAGAACCCCACTCTCGGTTCCCCGACCCAAAAAAGGACACCACCAACATGGATAAACCAACTAAAACTCAACCATTAAACCACCCAAAACCAGCTAAACCCACTAAACCCCACCCCTCCTTTTCTGCACCCCGAGGAAAAAAAAAAACACGGCCATTGGCCATTGGGCGATTCGTTCAGAGCGGCATCTCCCGCTCCAACTCCGCCAGCGCGGCGGAGCGCTGCTTCGCCGCCAGCGCCAACTGGGAGGCGCCGCCCGCGCCCGGGGTCGGGGGCCGCACCTCGTCGGCCTCCAAGGCGGCGCCCGCATGCCGCAGCTCCTGGAAACGCCAAGAAAAAGACCTGGGGACCCGGCTTTTTGGGGGTACCCCATTTTAACCCGATTTCTTGCGGAAGGTAGGGGCCCGACTTTTCAGAGTTTCTAACCCACCTGTTTGACCCCATCTTAACTGGGTGAAAAAACATCTCTCACCAGCCTGAAATAGGGTGGTCGTTTGGCATATTCCCAACATAATCCACCATTTGGGGTGAGGTCGTGTGAGGTCGTTATAATTCACCCAGATCTTAACCAGAGTCTAGGTGGTGTTGCACCGGATGGCTTTGAGTGAGCTCAGGGTTTGGAGGGGTAATACATGTTAACCCGATTTTTTGCGGAAGATACGGGGTGCCCAACTTTAAGACACGCCCGTCTCCTTCTTCTTTGTCCCTTAGTAAGTTGTTCTCAAATAGGACCCCTCTGTGAAAAGAAGCCAAAAGGAGACCCGCCCGTTGCGGAAGACAGGGGGTGTAGCGCTGGCTTGGGGGTTTAGGCTTGGTAACAAGTTTGCTTAGGTGTTACACCAAATGGCCTTGACTCAACTTGAGTGAATTCAGGGTTGGTTGGGGGTACCCTATTCTAAGACTTTCCCTTTTCTTTGTCCCTTAGCAATGTTGGCTAATCCCGATAAGCCATGTAGAAAAAAATACCCGCTGTTCAGTCCAAATATTGGTTCTGTTATCTACATGCGGATTCACGAAGCCCTGGTTGAGTTCACTTGGAGGATGCTCCCAATGGCAAAGGGCCAAACCTCTCTGAGGCAAACTCCCTCAGAACATCCAGCTTTGTCCACACATGAGTCATAATCAAAACCCGGTACACAAATGGTCTACCCAGAACCATGAAAAGAATTAAGAAGGTGGCCGCAGCTATTTATTGTTGGGATCGTCCCTTACTAACCTTCATCTACCCGGGTTTTGATTGTGGCTCACATGGAGAATAACTAAACATGAACATGGTGGCAACACAGGGAGAATTTCTCTGACAGGTCCTGGACCTTGCTTCTTTGATTTGTGCAAAGATCAAAGGTTTCCCACCAAACATGTATTCTCATTGGCCAGGCTTTTGGGGGGCGGGGGGACTTAACGTCTGATAAAAAGATGGTCGCTGGAGATGCAACGCGGAACAAAAGGACACTTGGACCCAAACGCACACGTGTGTGCATCGTCCAAGGCAAGCAGAGTAATCTGAGAGGCTGACGAATTACTAGATGTTCCTATCATCATGGCTTGGGTTGGTTTTGCCGTCTGTTTCCTTTTGGTTCGATTTGCTTTAAGTTGTCAAGGCTTTGCTTTGAACCACAAGAATCCCGCATTTTAGCAGGTCCTGCTTTGGTGTATGTCGAAAGGCTCCAATGCAAAAAACACTTGATACCCAGAAATCAACAACAAGTCAACAAGTCAAACGCAAGTGCTAGCTTGCTAGCTTAACTGGGCTTTCTTCAGATCCCCTGCTGAAAGTACATAACTGTTTGTGGGTCAAATGGAAACCCAACCACTAAACTCTAAACACCGAAAAACCTAAGGGGACGGCGGTTCCCAGCCAAGCTAGATGAAAACACAAACAGGCAACTTGTTTGTCTGACCTTGATAACCTCAAAACTAAGAGGATCAAAATTAAGAGGATCCCCCACCCACCAGCAACGCCCACCTCAATGCCCTGTAAGGCTTTTGATGTCCCCCCCCCAACAAACGACGAAACCAGTGGTATGTTGCAAGGTGTCTCAAGGTTTTCCTTTTGAGGGGAAACCAGGCCAAGAGCAACGAGCACATCCCACTACCCATTTTTTGATTTTCGAATCCTCACCCCCGCCCCATCTGCAACTGCTTCCGCCCGTTCCACACCACCCCCATCGAGTTCTGACCAAACTAACCAATCAAAAGCACACCGAATCTCTACGGGGGGTAGAAAAAAAAGGGGCTGGGTAGTTGAGAATTCTGGGGTTTCCCTAGGATTCCCTAGAGAGTTCCTTCGGAAGCCCCACCCCCTCGGACCCCACTGCACCGCATCGATTGGCTCCTGCTCCAAATCCTGCGCCGGCAGCAGGCCCGCGCGGTCCAGACACCGGCGAAGCGCCTAAGGTCAGGTTAGTTGGAGGGTTCCAGGTAGGCTTCCTCTTTTTAGTGGGGATGCATTTCAGCCAAATGAATCACCCAAATACCAGATGTGTACTGTTGAACCGTTATGAATAAGTTTAATAAACCCCCAAGTAACAAAATTTGGGTGGTCTGCCTGGAAGAAAGGACATGTCCTCTAAAAAGGGACCCCCATGATTAAAACAGGGGGGTTATGAATCAGGGCAAGTGCAAGTGTTGCTTAAGAACAATGGGATGTTGTATTCGTTTCAGAAAACGCCCAGCCGTGGGTTCTCGAGAACACCGGGCTGGAGAGACCACTTCACGGCCGTTTCTAGGGCCGAATTGGATCGGATGGGAGTCCGTCCCGTTGTTTGTCGCGGATGTCAAGTAATCTGGAAACAACAAACTTGCCATCCGCGGTTGGTTTCCTTTACACCCGGAAACATGGCATTGCGGATTTCACAAGGAACATGAGAAAATAATGCCCATCTGCTGGTTTCCAAGAACAAATAAGTAATGTGAATTGTGTGGTTGCCAGTGATTCTTTTTTGATGGCTGCTGGTGTAACAGAACGGGAAAGTAACATCCCTTTTGAGGTGGGATTCGGAAATGTGGCTCCTATGGCTCCTGTGTTTTTCGGTTTCCTGGATTAAAGCAATAGGGGGCTAAGTAATTACAAACAGTAACCTCCTATCATAACTAAATTTGTTTTCTCAAAGTACCCCGAACTAAAATCTAACTATCTTGGCTTTTTTGGAGGAGGGGGGACAGTTTCCTTTCTGTTTCCATGCTTAGCCATCCTGGGTGCCAGCAAAATTCATGACATCATGACGCCCTTCAACCCCCGAGAAACTATCATGAAACCCGAAAAGGGGTCCTGCCAACAGGTCGAGGTGACAACCATATAATGCTCCCCTAGCAAGGCCAGGGGTTCAAACTCGAACCATCAACAAGGGTTGCGTGGATAGCAGCACGTTCCGGCAAATGACACCACAATCCAGTGCGCCTGCCTGAATTGGAAGACCTGCCCCCCGCCGTTTGGTCATTGAGAAACGAAGGTCGAGCAACTCTGGCTGGCTATTGCTCCCTTGCAGTGCCCTTTTTGGGCTTGGTTCTTTCGGGGAAACCCAAGGAAACCGTGGCCATTTTGGGCGGCCAACCTTAAAAAGATATCTCCCCCCCGCAATTCCTCTAATGATGTCTTTTGGGGTTAAACCGTTGCCAAACTTGGAGCCCTAGGTGAAAAAAACAAACACCCCTCAAGATGTCGCTTCGGGGTTCCTTCCGTTCATCTGTCCGGAAAGCGAATGCTTGGCGAGGCCTGGCTCTCCAACTTCAGCATCTCGTGCTCCTGCCGCAACGCCTGCCAGATGAAACGAAAAAAATCGAAAAAATCCGAGGCGGCGGGGTTCCTTGTTGGCCCTGGAACCGCCCAAATCGAGGCTCGAGGCGGTTTTCATATGGAACCCTCCTGGAAGCCCGTGTTCGGCGGTTTTCGTTTTCGTTGGATCTGGGCTTTTGTCACTTGGTGTTTTTTGGGGGGTACCAGGTCGGCGGAGCGCGAAGTGGACAACTTTATTCACTTTAGGCCTAGTGGTTTGGTTTGGCGGTTTGGACGTTTGGTTTGGTACTTTCCCCAAAGGAGCTAGGGTTCAAATCCCCTAACCACAAATCCAAACCACCAAATAAGGGGTAGGTGATAAGTTTTGGTCTCCCTCGGGCTTCCGTTTGGATTGTGGGATGTGTCTTGGTTGAGACCCTCCAGTTGCGACATAAAACAAGGGGTTCCCAACGAAGAACAGATTGTTTGGGGAAACCCCAACCAGGCATCACTGAAACAAGCCAAACACAAACAAATCAGACATGGGCACCATTCCACCCCTACGATGTGCTCCGAATGCCCCTTGAACATCACCGAGACTTAACAAATAAAAATTGGGCCAAAAGGCCGATGCAAAAAAAGCAAGCCTTTCCAAGGAAACGGTGAGGAATCTTGGCAGCCGCTTGCAGGTTTATTTGCTTCCATCAGACTCTTGGGTATCACATCCTGTCTGGTGGTTTGGGTTGGTTGGAGGTTCGGGAGTGGGAAACCCCATTCACCCTCAAGGACCAAGGGTTCAAATCCCAAACCTTCTGGCAACCTCTCAGGACCCCGGACGGTTGAGGCCTTTTTAATGGCCCCCCCCTTTCCGGGGAAAAAGGGTGGGTCCCAATTCCGGGGGTCCCTTCCCCGAAAGGGAAAATGGAAAATCAGAAATGGAATTCTAGAGGTTACCCCCTCCATTCCATTTTTCCGGATGCCCTTATCACCTTGACGAACAACTGGACCAACCATGAAGATGAGCACGTGCAACAGGTGATTCATTTTGGATAGACAAACTTGCAAAGGGACAGTGAAGGAACTAGTTTGGTTTGGCTGTGGCTCAAAGAACCGGAATTCCAAAACGGGTTGCCCTGGTGAGTGGAAACATGGACCAAGACCTGCGGTTTGCCCCTCCTGCTTGATTTTGAGCCACACCCAAATGCACAATTAAGACCCCCCCAAAAAAAAAGAAGCCAACAGCAGTTCATCAGCTACACCTTGGGTCTGAGACCTGGGTGTGTCTATTGTTAGGGGTACCCCCCTTTTTTGTGGCTTTTAAGGGAAACCAGCAGCACAACCACTATTTTGGACCTAAACATGTAGAAACCAGGAGGAAAACCCAAAACCAGGAGGAAAACCACAAACCAGAAGAAAAGCCAAAAACCCGGAGGAACACAAAAAAAAAAAAAAAAACAGGAGGAAGACCAAGAACCAGGAGGAAGACCACAAACCAGAAGAAAAGCCAAAAACCCGGAGGAACACACAAAAAAAAAAACAGGAGGAAGACCAAGAACCAGGAGGAAGACCAGCTATTCTGCTCCAAACCCTCTTCAAAACGGGGCCATGTTCGCCCGCTCGGACCTCGCTGGAGCTTTTCTCTCGCCTGCAACTGGCCCTCCATGGCGCTGGAGCTGGTCACCAACTGGGCCCACATGTTCTCCTCGCCGGAATCCGCGTCGTTTTCAGCTTCCACTTGCTGGGTTTGCGCAAACCCGGAGCAAGCGGAAACTCTGCCATGGAAGACTTTGGGGCCCTTTGGGGGTCCTGCACAAGGAGTGTCCTCCAAGAATGATGGCTTTCATCAGTTTCCCTCTAGTTCACGGCTTGGAAGTCAGGGGTGGCTTCCCGGTGTTCCATGAACCCTCTGCAAGAACCACTCACTTCTCGAGTGGATGGCCCCAAACGTCCGAACTTGCTACTTACCCCTAAATTTGACTTCCCAAAAAGCATAAAATCCAGGGACTCAGCAAGTGAGACCAGGGGTTCAATCCAAACCACCAATCCAAACCACCAAATGGGGGGTACCTGGTACCTGAGCCACGAAAAAACCTCACGCGGGAACATATGCAAGGCATCTTCAAAAAACCATGGCCCAAGGCACAAGGATAGAAAACACCAAGCTACCCCAGCGTCAACTGGAAGGCCGCTTTCCAAACATATTCTTAAGCAAATGGAAGAATACCAAACCTTCCCGCGACCAAGAGCGACAGCTTTGTGGTCAATCCGATGGGTTGGCGCCTTCAATTGATCCCCTCAAAGTCTACCTTTGAGTGGGTTAAATGGACGCCCAACCACCAATCCAACGAAAGAACAAAACTCAAACCTCAGGAACCGCATGGCTGGGAACCAAGAAAAGGTCTCCCCTCCCTCTCCCATGTCTCCTGCTCCCGCGCCAGCGAAAGCAGCCGCATCAGCGGCTTCGCTTGCGCGGCGCCGCTCCCCGCCGGACTCGAGGACCGCGCCGGGCGCGGCCCCAGGCCGCCGTGGACGCCGTTCACGCCGACGCCGTTGACGCCGCGGGTGGTCCACCAGTCCACCCGCGGGGGCACCATGGCGCGCGCTCCAAGCGCGCGCTTGGAGCGTTTTTCACGCGCCGAGCGAAGCGGGAGGGAAAAAATCGGGCGGAGGAAGGTGGGGACAGAAGCGGAAGACACTCTCACAGCTGGAGCCCAGATGTTCGCAGGTGACCCTGGGTGTGAAGCCAAAGGAATAAACGGCTAGGTTTTGGAAGGCAGCAGGCCTGAAAACACCTCCAGGCGAAAATGACTGGTGCAACCACAGCGCAAACATCACACACGGACTGCAAGATACCCCCCATGTTCGGCGCTGATGGCTTGAGGGGCTGACTCGCTGGGCAGCACCAAACTCCATTGACTTTGGGTGGCAAAACATATAGCAAGCTTTGGCGGCCTTCAATTCCCCATCAAAAGTCTAACTTTAAGAGCCACCTCTCAAAGTACTCCTCGGATCAAACATGGACCCCAAAATGCCACAAGCGACAAGATGGTTGGAAAGGGTAGTGAAATATATCATTTTGGATTCTTCCCATGACTGCTGGGGCGTGGGCCCACTTGAAACGAACTCATAGTTCAGCGCAGATTCCGCGGATCGCTCCGAAATAGATACACGCGCCTGTCGGATGGTCAACATGGAGTAGTTCACCTACGGTCGAGGCGGGTATGCGTTCACCGTGGAAGACCTGCCTTTGCTCAGAAAGCCTAGAATCCAGGTATGGCCCTAGATTTTACCCGACCATCTCGGAGGTCCCGCTGTTTTGGCACCCACCCGAGCCATGTGAAAAACTATGTTTATTTTTGTCGAAACTATGTTGTGTTTTTCTTTTTGAAAGCTCCGTTTGTTTGGTGAAACCTATTTTGTTTGCTGGTCAAAATTCCGCTTGTTTGGTCAAAACTCCGTTTTGTCGGCCAAACTCCGTGTTTTTGTTTGGCCGATTGGGTCATGGTTGCCCTAAAAGGAATCATGATTCTAAGGGCCAACTGGCATGCCCCAACTGGACACACCCCAAAATTAGTGGTTCCACATCGCGCATCAAGGGTACATACCCCAAGAACCAATCCCTACATAAGGCCTACCCCCCATTCAATCAAAGGTTGACTCAATTTGGATGATGACGATCCTTCGGAAAATAATGGTGTGTATATGAACCCTCATTGGTTTACAGGTGGTTTCAACACTAAAGCGGCCTTTTGGCCATTGCACACATGAGCAAATCTCATGGACATCCGAATTCGGGTCCCGATTCGCTTGAGTTTTGGTGGTTCCTTGTGGTCAGAAAGAGTTCACAGTTTATGGCCATGCGCACCTTTGCCATTCGAGGTTTTGCCTATATGTTTTGGACACCCTACACACAATAGACACTTTTGTCAGGGTACTGGTCCATGGGCCAATGGATGTTAAACCTTCACCCGGTCCAATTCCTTTGGCACGAAGCCCAACAGGCGGGGTCCCCCCAAAATGGGGATTTCGGTTTTGCTATTGGTTTCGCTTATAAACCACCCACAAAGGGGTCTTTTAGGGTACTACACTCTTTTTTGTGGTTTTAAAGGGAAATTGAAGGACACCCGCTAGTCAGTAGATGGACAAAATCATCAACCCCCTGTATAACTGTACACTGTCACCGCTTTTGCGGGCGCGGCACAAGGGTTTGAATATTTCGTCCATCTATGGTAGTTTGGGGGAGGGTACCCCAGTTAAAAAACACACACCCAGTTGATTCTTGGGCACCCGTTTGCAGTCTTCGCAGGGTTCCGGCTACGTAGAGCTTGGACTTGAAGGATGAATTGGCAAAGGTCCGAAGGAAACAACAGAAGTCAACAACAACTTGCATCGTGACCCCATATGGGTGTGGGTCAAAATTCAGCCACCAGGGGACCGCAGGTTTTAGTCTTTGGTTCCATTTACCAGGGTTCCATTTTGGGTACCTATTATTGACCCACACCCATATGTTTCCATATTTTGAATTAACAAATGTCATATCGTCACGAATTGAATTTTGATCTGTACCATGTGTATGGCAATCGGAAAGTCTGCTGGTAACAAGGGTAGAAAGTTGGCCACTAAAAGTGAAACAAAGGATCTACCACCAATTTCCTAACAGAAAGGGGAGACACACTTATAACTTTGTTGCTCCAATAACCATCGCCGGTTCCAAAAACAAGTGCCGAGCAATACCGGCGGCTTTCCGGCTCACAACCCCAGGCGAACGTTTGGATCCAGGGGCCAAGGTCCACTGCTGATGCGCCATCGCGGAGTGGTCCATCACCTCAGGGACTCGGAGGTTGACTTCTGTTTTTGGTTTTAGGTTTTTCGGCTTTTTGTGGTTGACTTTTTTGTGACCAGGTCCTCCAGTGGAGAGGTTAGAATAAGCTGGTACGCCTTTTTTCTCTTGTGTATTTTCGTAGGGGAACCCTCCCCCAAACAAGTTGGTAAAAAGGAACTGCTGGGGTGTGGTGTGTTCAGGGGGGGGGGTCTTTTCGCCACCTTTTGTGGAACAATGATCGACCCCCTCGTAGTGAAGGATTCCTTTTCGAGGGGATCCCCAACTTTCTCACGAAAGGTTGCAAAAAGACACCCCTGGGTGTACTTTTTTAGGTCGGATCCGGCAAAGTGGATTCGGCTCTCCTGTTGGTCGCCCTTTCGAAGCCACGAGAAAACTAGGCTGGAATTAGGACCCCAGCAAACAAATATCTAGTGGAAAACAAAAGGAACCCCAAAAAAGCAAAAAGGTAAAAAGGGGAGCTAATTCTGGGGAAGAAAAAAAAGGAGTCCCAAGTTGCCCGTGCCTCAAAAAGAGCCAAACTCAATGGAGTTCGGAAACTTGGAACGTGGCTAGTCAGGGAATACTCTGCTGGGTGAAAAGTAACGACCCCTCTGCAAAAAAAATGTGGGCCCAATGGAAAAACCAACCTGATTCAACCAAAAAGTTAAAGTCCAAAGATCCGTTACCAAATAGCCGTAAAGTGTTGATTGACATGGAACCAAAACAACTATCATGCTGAGAAGCTCAATCAAGTTTGCGGCTCCTGCGGCGCCATGTCAGTCTTGGTTAGTAGTCCATTTGGGCAAGCCCGAAACTGGTGCCCTCTGCGTTTAGGGGTCGCTGTTTTTTTTTCAAAATCAACAGGTGATCAATTTACTGGTGGTTTCCATTGAAACGAGAAAGCCACTTTGGAGGTCCCAAAAAGAGAAATGGCTAGGAAGCCCTGTTGGTTGGTATTTGGTTCTTCCTAAAACTGCATTGGTCATAGGCGCAACCCAAAACCCCCCCAACCACCCAACCCCACAAACCACCCGGCTCCGAGCATCCCAAGCGGCCACCAGGCAGACAGCCACTTCCGCCACCCCGAAGAGGTTGAAAAACCTGGGCTGCCTCGGCTCGGATTCGGGACTCGAAAGCACTCAGGTTCCGACGACCAAGCGGTCCTAACTCGGCACCATGAGAGTTAGGCCAAGTAGAAAATATATTTTATGGTTTGCTCCACTTTGCTTCACTTGTAAAGGGAAAAAAAGAATCGGCATTATGCTTTTTGTTGGTTGAGTTTCAAAGGGAACCCGTTCCCAGAAAAAAAGGAAAAAAAAAAACAAGGAAGAAAGGGGCGGAATCCACTGGGAAACTGGGCTAAGGTTCCGAGGGATTGATGACCCAGGAGTCATTTGGCTGTGGTGGTCAAAGCCGTTTTGGTATCGATCCCATTTTGGGGCTTGAGGTGAATTCACCACGAATTTTGTTTTTTCTTTCAGTGGGGATTGGGATGTTCACTGGGGGTACGATTTAAATTTGGACCCATGGCCGTTTGAACACGGCGCATGCTGGGCTGCCCTTTTTCAGATTTCCCGTTTTTCCCTGTGAGTTGAGCAGTTTTAGTGGGGTATATTCGGAAGACCAACCACCAAAGCAACTAAAACGAACTAAAAGCCTAAGGAACTTGGGAGCCGCGGCTTGGCAGGGAAGAAGCTTTTGACCTTACGAAGGCTTCGTCGCTAACTTGAGAGACAAAGCTTCCAGAAGCCAGCCCGAATGTACACATATATATTTGTATAATTATAGCGAGGGGCCAAACGGTCTGCAAGCGGTGTGGGGAGGGCATCTGGCATCTCCCATGGACAACTTTTATGGGCCTCATGTGACTTCATCCCACACAAAGAAGCAGCCAAGCTTCGCACAGCGGCAAGGTACTGCGGTATCCAGCACACTAAAAACTGGGTTGGCCTTTGCTCCCAGGAAACAATTTCGCAATCTGCTTGGACACGCATCTCTCATTCAGCCAAAGGCGGATTAATACACCCGCCCTGTGAATAGGGTGGGGGGGACCCTCCAAAAGTGGTCTTGAAGCCTCACTAAAAGGGGACATGCCTTGAGGTGCGGGGTGCCCACTCTCGAAGCCGATCGAGACTGGCCAAGAACAGCTCCCGAACTTTTTGCACTGGCCACCGAACTGGCCCTCCCAAAACTTGGTTGCTGTTCATCCCCCCGAAAAAAAAACTAGACCACGGTTGGCCCGAAAGCATAACATCGCAAGCGAGGTCGGCCCAACGCTGCAGGATGCGTTCTTTTTCCCTACACGAAGCATTCGTGAAGCAAGCGCGAGACAGCACCAGGCAAGGTGCTCTGCGCAAACTGGTCGGTGCAAGTTGGTCTGCGCAAGTTGCTCTACGCAAGTTGCACTGTGCAAGTTGCTTGGCGCAAGTTGCTCCGCGCAAGTTGCAAGTTGGTCCCTGCAAGTGGCTCCCTGCAAGTTGCTCTGTGCAAATTGCTCCGTGCAAGTTGCTCCGCGCAAGTTGCTCTGCGTAAGTTGCTCTGCGCAAGTTGCTCTAGGCAAGGCGCTCTGCGCAAACTGGTCGGCGCAAGTTGGTCTGCGCAAGTTGCTCTGTGCAACTTGCTCTGCGCAAGTTGCTCTGCGCAAGTTGCTTTATGCAAGTTGCATCTTGCGACGCCCGCCCGCGGACCAGGGAGGAATCGAACCCGCCGGTCCCGGGAGCAGGCGCGCGAACCACGAGACAACTCCCGAGGACCAGTTCGAACAACAAAAGTCGCAAAACCTCAAGTTTTTGCACCTCGACCACGCCGATTCCCGCAGAGGGTTGCGCGAGCACCACAGAAATCGCAAAAACCCCCACGCCGATCCCCGCAGAGGGTCGCGCGGGAACTTTAGAAATCGCCAAAAACCTTGAGTTGTTGCACCTCGACCACGCCGATCCGCGCAGAGGGTCGCGCGAGCATGTTAAAAATCGCAAAAAACCTTGAGTTTTTGCACCTCGACCACGCCGATCCCCGCACAGGGTCGCGCGGGAACTTTAGAAATCGCAAAAAACCTCGAGTTTTTGCACCTCGACCACGCCGATCCGCGCAGAGGGTCGCGCGAGCATGTTAAAAATCGCAAAAACAACATCGAGTTTTTGCACCTCGACCACGCCGATCCCCGCAGAGGGTCGCGCGAGCATGTTAAAAATCGCAAAAAAACTTGAGTTTTTGCACCTCGACCACGCCGATCCCCGCAGAGGGTCGATTTTCGTGTAGTGTCGTCGGCACTACCCCGCCGCCCTAAGAAGAGATTTTAACTCCTTGCAAGTCAATTGCACTTGACTCCTTGCACTTGCAACTTGCACTTGGCTCCATGCGCTTGCAACTTGCACTTGACTCCTTGCACTTGCAACTTGCACTTGACTCCTTGCACTTGCAACTTGCACTTGACTTCATGCACTTGCAACTTGCACTTGACTTCATGCACTTGGCTCCTTGCAACTTGCAATGACTCTCATGACTCCTTGCAATGACTCCTTGCAATGACTCCTTGCAATGACTCCTTGCAATGACTCCTTGCAATGACTCCTTGCAATGACTCCTTGCAATGACTCCTTGCAATGACTCCTTGCAATGACTCCTTGCAATGACTCCTTGCAATGACTCCTTGCAATGACTCCTTGCAATGACTCCTTGCAATGACTCCTTGCAATGACTCCTTGCAATGACTCCTTGCAATGACTCCTTGCAATGACTCCTTGCAATGACTCCTTGCAATGACTCCTTGCAATGACTCCTTGCAATGACTCCTTGCAATGACTCCTTGCAATGACTCCTTGCAATGACTCCTTGCAATGACTCCTTGCAATGACTCCTTGCAATGACTCCTTGCAATGACTCCTTGCAATGACTCCTTGCAATGACTCCTTGCAATGACTCCTTGCAATGACTCCTTGCAATGACTCCTTGCAATGACTCCTTGCAATGACTCCTTGCAATGACTCCTTGCAATGACTCCTTGCAATGACTCCTTGCAATGACTCCTTGCAATGACTTTCATGATGATTCCTTGCAATGACTCCTTGCAATGACTCCTTAATGACAATGACTCCTTGCAATGACTTTCATGATGATGATTCCTTGCAACGACACCTTGTAATGACGCTCATGAGAACAACTCAAGTGAACCCAGCGGAAGAACCCTTCGCCATGCTTTCGGGAAAAAAACTTTTGGGGGGGTTTAGTGGAACACCCAACTTTTCATTTCAACCAAAAAGTTAAAGTCTAAAGATCCGGTGCCCAATAGCAGTCAAGAAAAAGTGACTCAAGTCCAGGAGCTCAGGGGGTGAGCTACTGGAAGTGGACAGGGAACAATCCTACCCCCAACGAGAAACACTCCCACCCCAAACCATGCCTCCTCCAAAAGTGGAGTCTGAAGCCCCACTAAAAGGGGATAGTAATCGACCAGGGGTGTAGAAAAACCTGGGGCTGGCTTTAAGCCTCTGTAGAGGGGCTAGCATGGGCCCAACATCCAGGGCTCCGCTTTCTACCGCGCTTGAGATAAAAAACTCGGTCGCGACTCACTCGCGCGTCACTCGCGTGACTCGCTCCAAAGCGAGCCGCGGCTGGATCTGCTGCGTCTGCTCCTTGCTGTGCAGCGGGACTCGATGGCAGCGCCCGCAGCGGAACTGCCCGCTGATCAGCTTGTGCGGCAGCGCCTGCCGGCTTTCGCAGCACCAACCACCTGAACCACTTGGTCTGCAGGCTTAACCCCCACCAATTTAGCACGAAACCGGACGGGGGCCCAGCCCCTTTAACAGGAAAACGGTCCAAAGTAGGACCCCGCGAACGTCAGGTTCCATGTTAATTAGTGGGAGTGTACTCCCCCACCCACCTTAGAAGTCCCCGAACGCTGAATGGCATACAACTCTTACCAAATGGCTAGTCATCTAGGTCGCTTTACGACCCTTAACCCTTTCCATTCGGGTTACCGGATCCACCAATCGAAATGCCCAAAATGATAGTAATCACATACACTGATCCAATCCTTCTGTTGCGTTTTGAACCTTGGGCCACGTTTAATTCAGGTTCTGGGTGGGGTGATGCTTCAACTACAAATGCCTCACCCATTCCGCCAAAGGCAAGCTTACCAAGTGGCTGGGACGATTTTGCGGGTGACCGCAACCCTTGTAGCCACGCCCCATAGAAATCACCAGCTTGGCGTGGTCACAAGAGGAACTGCACACGTTTGTACTGGGTCATACATTTGTCCAATAAGGTAGTCTGACAAGTCCCACGAAGGAACCTCTTTCTGGGTGGTGTAGGGAAGAACAAAAGGATGCGACTAGTCCAGTGACTGGACACCGCGGCAACGTGAATGTGTTCCGCTTTGCCGATGTTTGGTGGTCTGAAAAGCTTTTCCGATATCTAGTATTCGATGAGCTGAAAAACCCCACCAACGCAACTCATACTTGCCCAACGTGAACAACCCATCTGCGTCAACCAAAAAACAACACATGTATCCGAGGGCTGTTTTTGGACTATCAGGAAAGCACTAGGAAACTGAATCGCAAATTCTTGTAGAGTAAATGAGAAGCTACGTCTTGATTTCCAAACCACCCAATTGGGGGAAGCTGATAAATAACCACCAGGATATGTTTCCACTTACCAGGAAAACCCATTTTCCGATGTTTAACCCCACAACAGTGGAAATACCATCAAACAGGGGTCACTGAATTTGCTCTTCAAAAGTAGATCAAGCTGATAAATGGGTATGGGGCAAAAATAAACCACCTGGGTATGGACCGCAGGGTGTCGTCCATTTGCTTCGGCCACCTGGAAAAATAATCCAGTGATGATAGATTTCCTTTAAAACCAACAGGGGATTTTATTTTTATTAACAACACAACACAACTTAAGCTGTAAAGGAAAATACAAAACAAACAAGGGACCCCGAGCAAAGGACCTTCTCACGGCTTGAAGCTCGCCATACCTCGCTCTAAACTCGGCAGATCTCCGTCACGAAACTCGTCTGACGGCAGATCTCCGTCCGTCCTCGCTGGGCTTGAGCCTCTGTTGCCGCAGCAGCCCGGTGTCCACCTGGAGAAAGGGAAGGAAAGACGCAGGTTAAGGGGAAAAAACCTCGGGGTATCCCCCCTGCCATAAATGCCATAAGGGGGAGGGGGGTGGGGGGTCCCCAATTCCAGTGATCTAGTCTTCCCCGTACAAAGGAAATGGAACCATAAATGGAATTCCAGGGGTCACCCCCGTCCCCCAATTCCGTGTTTAAGGGGGTGGGGATCTCGGCGTCCCGCCCACTGTTTTTTGAAGTTGGTACCCCTTTCTTTTGCAGTTGAGGGAAAACCGGTTTGGTGGGTTGGTCGACAATGTTTTGGAGATGGTACCCCTTTTCTTTGTGGTTTTAAAGGGAAACGGAAAGGAATTCCAGGTTTTGGTGGGCCCAACCTCAAGGAAAGACACACCCAAATTTGGCTTCCCTGTAGTTCCGCTTCCCTGCAGTTCAATAATTCGGGAACGCTTTTTACACCACAAATGATACAACTTATCATCTATCGGGTCAAGTTGGCGGATTTCGTGATTTATGAAACTGGGATTGAATGCTGCGGGGGAAATGTGGAGAATACCGTCAAGTCAATTTGCACCCGCAAAGTTGGGGAGAAACCAGGGCCAACCGATGGTCAACCAAAGGAAGCCCGTTGGTGAACTTCAGCTTGGAGTCATTCCAACTCATCTCACTGGCCAAACACTGGAGTGGACTGAGAACATATTTTAAGCTTTTTAGTATGCCACTATGCTCCAAACCCGAAAAGTGACTCATACAAGTAACAGGCAAGGGCGCTTACTGATATGAAGTCCAAGTCCATGAACCCAGGCTCGGCTCCACTCCCAAAAGCGGCAGTCCAACTGAGTCATCTTCGAATCCCAACATGGTCTACCCAGACCAAAAGTAAAGAACTGGGATTGAAATTCTCCCTGACTTCCCACGATTTTTTTTTCGGAGCTTGGGAAAAAAATCACTCAACTCAGGAAGTGAGTCATTGCCTCTCGCGCCCGGTGTTGCGAGCGATCTTTCGATCGGTTCCGCCGAGCCTGGACCAAGTACCCGGCGCACTGCCCGTAGCGCTTTCGCCCCGCCCAGGGCTCCTGGAGTTCGATCCAACTTCGGGCGCGAGCAGAATCTCAGAAGGCGGATCTGTGGCTTTCGAGTCGTAGGGCCTGGGTATGGGTCAAAATGAAAAAAGGAGATGGAGATATTGGAGTCCTTTCCATTTATTAGGACTCACGTTGGAGACCAGTTGTCTGTTGAATGCTCAACTTCAAGTTGGTTAGTTGCGTTCCACCACCCCACCACCCCCCGCATTCTTCCCAGGAATCTTTTGTGCTCCCAGGTACGTGATAAAATTCCCGGAAATTCATCTTCCCCCACCCCACCCAAAAAATACATTCCCAGGAATCTTTTGTGCTCCCAGAAACGTGATACAACTCCCGGGAATTCATCTTCACACGCGGGAATTGTGGGCTTTCTGAACAGCTAGGCATGAGCTGTGCGCCAGGGCGAGCCTGCAGAGTCCTGACAAAAAACACAAAGAAAACCAACCCGAAAAACTTGGGTGCTGTAGATCCCCTGGCAACAAGCTTAACTTTTTGCTGTCTCTCTCAATCGCCACGTGCGGAAACACAGCTAGGCTAAGCCTAACTTTTGGCTGGTTAAAAGGACATGTGAAGGGAATCCCAAAAGTTGAAGTCTAAAGATCCAGCCCAATAGGGTAGAGAAAACACCGGAGGAGCGATGCTCTGTTTGCTCCCCTGAAACCAAGAAACCAAGCTCCCTTGCTTCAACTGTATCTCGCGTTCAAAGGTTTGAAGGCATGGTATGTTTTGATGTGCCCAACGTGCCATCGAGCAGAAAATGACCTAGAGCCTTGCCAGACTCTTGCACGCCTTGTATCACATGACACACCTTCAGATTTTGGCATGTCCTTCCTTGAAGCAACCACCTGGTTGCTGACTACATTGACCCCGCGTTGCAACTCTGGTGACATTTTGGGCTGCCTTGTGAGGGAGCCCCCCACAAGGGCGTGTTGGCCTTGCATTGCTTCTGATTAATCGAAGGTCGCAAACTTGAACCTGTACAGCAACTCAAACAACTTGAGGAAGTAGATTTGAATCCGCAAGTAGCACAGGAACAAACACATACTACTGGTCAGCAAAAAACATAAGCAAGGTAACATCTCTGAAGAAGAATCATCCTTTGTCAAGAAGCGACCCCTGAGCATCCCGTTCACCAAGCAGGATCCACGCATGATTAGAAGGGGGCATTCAAGTCCGTGTTCATCAACAGGAGATCCAGGTTGGAGCACTTTGACCAGAGCTGGGTTTCTCTAAAAATGACGGGGACCAAACAACATATTCGTTTCCTGTTGGTTTGCATCGAACACCGACCAAACGGGAGCGCCCTCAACGAGTCAATTCGCCCAATTCAAGCCGATCTTGTTTGAATCAAAGGCAGATTGTGCAGGCCCCTTGGTGGCTGGCGTTCTACCATTAATCATTGATTGTGTTGGCAAATCAAAACCAGGGATTCATGTATGGGGGTTGATCAAAAGGTGCTTTGCGGGATGACCATTGAGACAAAACCACTAACATGATAAGATTGCATACTGAATGGGACAATTTACCCATGGTCATTTGTGGGCCGAACGGAATAGTGATCAACCCCCATATGTGTTCATCTATGGGTTCCATGTACAACCGCTGTTTGGTTCCCCCCGCTGCCGCGACGCCTTTGAATCCCTCCTCCTTCGCTGTCTTCACCAACCGGCTGGGAAAGCGGAAGCACGCCTGTGAATGTGACGGTGCCTCTGTCGTTTTTGAGCGATGCATTCCGCAACTCTTTGAAGCGCTGAAAGCAAAACGACATTTAGGCACCCTCATGAGGAAAACAAGAAAATAAATTGACAGGTTGTCCCTTTGGCTGTCACTTTGAAGTAACCCCCAAGCGAGAAACAATACGCAAAAAGTACAATGGCTAGAAACCGTAACTTGATTTCAATTCGGATTTCATCAAAACTTTGTGGCTTCAACCAAATCCCAGTGTAAACAGCATGTCCAGCATGTCCAGTATGTAAGTCCAACGGGTGACCTGTTTCGAGGATTCTCAATTCCAGCAACAAACCTCAACAAATTCACAGATAGGGGTTGATCAAACCGTGCTTTGCATGGGATGACCATTGGGAAACACAGAAATGTTTTGAGGTAGTTGAAAACAATGCCATTTTTGCGGCACGACCTTTCTTATGCCATTTGTTGTTTAATGCTAAATGACTTTTGTGCTATGCTTTTGGGGAAATAGTTCAAACAAAAACAATGCCCTTTTGGGGGGATGACCATTTTCCATGTCATTGTTTGTATAATGTTGACTAGGTCCTTCAGTAGAGAGGTTAGAATAAGTTGGCACCCTATTTTTTTCTGTAGTCGATTTTAGTAGGTTGGAACCCTGCCAACCCAAAAAAAGAAACGGAAAAAAGGGCGCCTAGCTAGGGGGCCTGAACGAATGTTACTTTGGTTGCTGTTGACCCGCTTGCAAAAAGTTTAACTTTTTGGGGGTTTAGTGGAAAACACCTTTATTCCCCAAAAAGTTAAAGTCTAAAGATCCAACCCAATAGCAGTCGAGTTTGCAGCACCGACGAAAAAGACAAAAAAATCGATCGCCTCCAAGGTCTGGTGCGGCTGGAGCTCCAAGTTGGAGCCCAAGAAGAGCACCAAAGGCTCGTCGGAGCGAAAGAGCAGCGCCTGACGGCGCGGAAAAGGGACCCATGCGAGATAGGCAAGACCCGGCATCAGGGTTCCACTTTTCGAGTTCAGGGTAGACTTAAACTAGGGGTGGTTCATTCCCCCCAAAAGGAGAACCCCTGGGTTTGGAACCTTGGGTATTCGAAGCCTGGGGTTCAGTTACCGTTAAAACACTGGCTGGGTTCATATAAAACCACCATTGTTTTCGTAAGGATTGTCATCCACAACTTGGGTCAATTTTCCTGGGGTTCAGTTACCACCATTCAAACTGTTCGACTGCCGCTTTTGATCAGACTTTAGAAGAGGAAAAAGGAAGCGCGGCCTCAATCCGTGCGACATGCAAACCATGGGGGTTCATAGAACCACCATGGTTTTCCTTCAGGATTGTCATCATCCAAATTGGGTCAACCTTTCTTTTCATGGGGGTTGAACCCTAGGGCAAATGGTCTACCCAAAAAAGGCATGCTTCAAGAATTAAAGAGGCGGATAGTCGCGCACATGTATGGCTGGGATTGTCCCTTTGGCTTCAAGTGCGTTCAATTTTGGTGCCATCAAATGTAGGCTTGTGTCCGGTAAAACAACCAGGTCTCTTTCAAAACGGGGACAAACCGAGCGATCCCTTGAAAGTTGGTCTAATGAGTTCGACCTTGCATGTTGGACCTGAAGTGAAGCAAATGAACCTCAACGTCCTCCCCACCTCCCCACCTCTCCCCCCCAGCCCAACTGCCCGCCTCCATCTCCGGAAAGCCGAGGCGTTTTGCCACTTCTGGCACCTGCCCCTGCGGGATGAGGAAGGGCAGGCCGTCCAACAGCAGCAGCTGACCTGTCGAAAGGTTCCCTTGGAGTCGATTTTTTTCATGGCCCCCGGAGAAAGCAGACGGGGTGTCCGTGGGTTTTGTGGACACTTGGAGTCGACTTGGGCGTGTCCTTTTTTTGGGGAACCCCGAAATATTGCAACGGCTTGCCTTTTGGTTTATCTTTGAAACAACAGTGAGTTCGAGGGTTGATGTCAAGTCTGGTTCGGCAGGGCGCGAAATTATCAATTCAATGCAAATGAAAAACCTGCGCAACGCAATCCTTCGGCCCATCACGGAGTTCTGGAAATGGATGCTGAGCACGAAACTAAACTTGGTGTCTTGGGCAAAATGGTCGTGTGTGCTCTGAGGGTAGCCTTTGCACCTGGTTGTTTAAAGGGAAACTAAAAGGAACACCACCATTTTGGGCCGCCCGCGAATTTGGCACGGAGGTGCGAAGTAGATGGCAGCCAAGGGAGGGAAGCATGAACTGGGTGAAGATCGGCTGAGAGGAAGAACAATGGACGCAGTCATAGACAAAACCTGGTATTAAGATGCTCTACCCAGAACCAGGTAAAGAAGTAAAATGGCGGCTGCACCATGTTGGGCCTACCCTTGACCAACCTTAATCTACCCTGGATTTGAGTGTGGCTCACAAGGTCCCATTTCGTGACTACCCTCAAGTAGACGCAAACCCTGGTGTCTCCTGTTGGAGGTAATCAGAAAACGAAACCCTGTCTTGCACGTGCTAAGTATCAAAGGCTGAATCTTTCGCTGGATGAAGGAACCCCCCCACCCGCCTCCCCAATTTGCCGGATTTTGCAGTTGGGCTGGAGACATCAAACCAGTTTTGTTTTTGCGCGAAAAATCAGGAGCACGAGTCCACCCCCTTTTGTGTTTCCGCCGCCGAAAGGCAACATCACGTGGAATTTAGCACCCAAAGGCAGCGGAGTCGCGAAGTTCTGTTTTGACTTTAAGTTGGTTTCCCTCAGCTTCCTTGGCTTGGAGATGGTTCCCCCCTCCTGCACTTTTAAGCTATCAGTCTCAAGAAACCGCCTTGTCCCAAAGGCGGGCAAGGATAAAGGCCTGCCTTCCTCCACAATCCATGTCTGAAAATGCCCGAGCAAGCTTTGGCATGGACATCAGCGGCCAGCCTCATTTCGTCAGGACGTCCGTCAGCAACAACAAGGTGGACAGATTAGCAGATTGGCGCTCTTCCAGTAGGGCTAGCTCCAGGCAAAGTATGTGTGGTTCGTCCTTTGCTCCGTTGTCCTACGCGGGCCATGGTCATGGTTTCCTCAATCGCAACACGTTCGAAAGGGACCCTCCAGTGGCACAACGTCCCCCTCACATGGCGCATCACAGCCAACCTGCCTTCGTTGTCTCCATCATCTTCTTCGGCTAGCCTCATTGCACATCGCCCAACGGAAGCGCCATCATGTCATAAACTGCTCCTACCACCCCCCAACACACTGGACAAACAAACAAGCAATCAATCAAACAAACAAACAACGCCCCCTTGACTGTTGACCTGTTCACGAACGGAGCCACAAACAAACAAACAAACAAACAAACAACGCACCCTCGACCTGTTCACAAACAAACAAACAAACAAACAAACAACGCCCCCTCGACCTGTTCACAAACGGAGCCACAAACAAACGCGCGCGCACACGCACACACGCCCACGCACGCACGCACGCACGCACGTACGCACGTACGCACGCGCGCACGCTACACCTCCAGTTGCGATCTATGTGTGTTTTCCCCTGTGTCCCCCCGAAGGAGTTGCGAGCTTTGGGTGACCTTCTGAGCAGGCGCGACTGCCACCCAAGTTTTGGCGGTCTCGCCTCGAAGGCTTGCTGGCTACTCAAAAAGATATGAGAGGGGGCATTTACCCTGTACACACCAAACATCTTTGTTCTCTTCAAGCTCACCGTCCATACTTTGCATTCAGCCGGATCTGAAAGCAGAATTTGTCGGACCCTACCCAGCATTATCAGCATCAACGTCAAGGGAACACTTTAATTTAGAACTGGGACCATATGAATGCTCCCCCAAAACAAAAAGGCAAAACAACACAGACCAAAACAATAATCATAAATGAATTATCATAAGAATAGTAATTATGGTCTAGGTCATCCAATAGAGAGGTTAGAATGAGGGTACCCTTTTTTGCTGTAGTCTCTTCTAGTAGGTTGGAACCCTCCCAACCAAAAAAGGAACGGTTAAAAGTTGGCACGACTCGCTGGACCTAGTGGTGCTGGTTGCCCTTCTCAAGGCCCAACCGCCCCCAGCGCCCCAACACGTCCAAGCCGCTCCGCCAGGCATTCCAACGCCTCCTCGCGCTTCGCCTTCGCCGCACTCGCCCAGCGCACGACTTCCCCGGCGTCGCCGCGGGGGAAGTGGCGGCGCCCCAGGCGCAAGGCGCCTAGCACGTGGCACGCGGAACTACTTGGTTGACGTTGGAAGGGGAGCAAAAAATAAATATGCTAGCAGTTAAGTGGCTGGATTTCAACCACTAAACCACAATAAGCAAAAATGTAAAATGCTTCCCAACAACAACCATGACTAGGGGGAAGCTCGAGTCCAGGTGGGAAGGAACTGGAAGGGGGTTCCTGAAGAAAGGAAACCGTAGGGGGATGGTGTTTTTAAGGGGTCTGTCCAACTCATTCCTTGGAACCTCAGTTTTTGGATAAGAAATCCGGGAGGTTCATTTGGGCTCAACTGGATCACGATGAACGGCTTTTGAAGAAACCAACAAAAAGGCCCTCTCACAGAGGGGAGTTATACCATTGGCTTCCTTTTCAAGCACACCCGATCGGGGCCCCTCTCAAAGAGGGGAGCTATAACAAAGCTACTCATCCTCAGATGTGCTATGGTCATGGTTCAATCACTATGAGTAATGCTGACCCAGGATTAATTAACCCGTCCCATTATTAGGGGGGTGTTCCCTCCAAAAGTGATGAATCCCCACTAAAAGGGGACACCCCCTATTAATCAACCAGGGGTTTATTGATCCGGGGTTAACATTGTAAAGGATCTTTGCCAGGTGGATGACCATTAGTCAGGCACTCCATCTTCGCGCCCATGAGCTATTGGCATTTGTTGTAAGCGACGCCAGTCAAAAAACAAAATACGCAGACGAAGGATTCACAGGGCGGTTGGTACCGCGCGAGGCCCAACTCCGAATCGAGCGTAAGCCAATCGACGCTTCTGGGAGCTGGGAAAAAAAAGAGACGACGAAACAAATACACCTGGAACTCAGCCACTGAGGTTTTGCGCATTGGACAAGGGGCCACGGTCGACGTCTATGCAAATGAAAATCAATAGTTGCAGACCATCCATCGAGCAACATAGTGTGAGATCCTGGGGTGCGAGACTCAGTAGCCCCAGTATTTGTTGCTTTCCGTACTTTTCGTTTGCAAAGAATATCGGGTTGGTGCACACTCCATGGGCGCATAGTCACTTCCCTTGAACCTATGCAAATAAAACATTTAGGGAAACCTGGACCCTTTTGCACGGTGAAAAGGAAGCCAACTCGATGCAAATCCAAATGATCTGCTGGATCCAATTCCTTGTTTTCGATAGCACCTGATGGGCCTAGGGGCTATTCGCGGGCCTTTTCAAACACAGAGAGAGACCCGGTCAGTCCACAAAAAATCATCTTCCACAAAAGGGCGATTGTTTCGGGGGTGCAACCAAGGTGGTGACACAAACTAGCCACAATGGAGAATCCTTTGCGTACTTTCTCCCGGGCGTTTGACAAATTGAGGCGTTTTGAGCCATGCTGGCATTTTGTGTGGATGTTCGCTCTTGTGCTGGCATTGTGCGGCTTTTTGTGGGCGTTCTGCGGCCATGTGCAGATGTTTTCGCTGCTGAGGCGTTTCTGGAAAGTTGTGCGTGTTTGCGCTGAAAACTAAGCCAAACACAGAAACTACAAAATCAAAGTATTAGCTGGAATGTCCAGGCATGCAAAAGTCTGGAGGGGGGGGGGGTAGACTGAGCCCTAAAGCTCAATTCTTCAGTGACCCTGGAAAAAAAAGGGAACCCTTTTTGGCGAAGCCCATTTTTAGTGGAGCGGCCACCAAAAAAAAGGGAGACAGGGTGCCACTGAACAATTGAGAAAGCGTCCGTGCGCCAAACTCACCGCAGCGCCCAATGCAACGCTAAGCGTCGCTGCAGGCGATCTGTCGCGAAGTCGTCTGGCAGCTGGAGCAGCGCATCCAGCGCACTGGCCTCCAAAAAGCAGAAAGGAGCCTTCTGAGGGGAAAGGAATCGATGATCAGATCCAATTGGAATCATCTAATCAGGTAAGCCTTGAGGTTCCTTTGGATTGGTGATGATTAATGGCTTGGGGATTAGAAGCCCTGGCTCTTGGATGAGAAAAGAAACCCGGGAACACCGCCAAGCCAGCAATCCAAGCCAGCAATTGGAGGGAAGCAGATCGAAAGAAGAAGCTAAATTTACATTCACTGAGATTACACCCTGGGACAGGACCTTTAAACGGTTCAACATAGGTGTAATAGAAAAAAAAACTCGTAAAAATGAAGAAAAGTCGGTGGATATCCCGCCAGGTGCTCCCTCTCAACGCTGCTTTTGTCCTCCCCCCTAAAAAGAAATGACAACACACAAGATATATATACATATATAACTATATCAATATATTATAAAACATGCATAATAAATTACACATAGTATTCTATTGTAATATCATGGTATATACTAAATTGTGCGTAAAGAAACAATTCACGTGTACAGACATGTTCTATATCCTGAGATTCTGGGCCGTCAGCTCAAAACGGATGGTTGCGCTACCAAGCCCCCTTCCCACTCAGCCGGGGAATCTATCCCATAGTCTTGGGGGTGGGATGAATCTCCGGGAGAACTCCCCGAACCCTTGAGCGGCATCCCAGAAATAAAAGACGGCACACCGTTTGGGGCCACTAAAAAATTGAGGCCAACACTGGAAAAGTAAAAAAGGTTGCATCAAGAGGTGTTTGTTGCTTGGGCAACTGAGCAAACAAACCCCTAATTGAAGAAAATTCTACCACCACCCCATTGCTTTGAGAGGACCCTCCAGTTGGGAAGCCGACTTTTTCCGGATCCTGCGAATGAATTGTTGGCGCAAAATTCTGAGGCTTCAACATCTATGTTGGCATATGGCGGGTGAAAATCCCGGTTAGCCCCCAGTGACCATCCCAATCCCCACTAAAGTAGGTTCTAAAATGGGTGGTGCACCTACCCAAAAGGGTACCATTGGTTTTGACCCACAGCCATATCTAAAGTTGAAAACCAGTGTATTTTTGACAAGGACCTCCTTGAGTTTCCCATGGTCCCCTCGCCGCACCCGTAGCTCCGTCGCTCCCCTGCCTTGCGCCGCGCGGGGCTTGCAACCACCTGCGAAACTGCAAAGGTTGGACTGCTCCCTGCATAACACATGGGCTGTCCTCAGATCCCCTGCTCAAAAAGAATGACCTTTGGTGGGTTAAATTGAACCTCCACTAAACCAGCTAGAATCATTTACGGGACGTAAAAGCCCATAACTTTTAGTGGGTCAAATGGAAACCCCACTAAAGCACCTAAAATCACTTACATACCTTCTGGCACGGCTGGGAACCGCCAGGTTTCAAAAGGGTTGTTGCAGCAAAGTTGCTCGAAAGAGTGGAATTAGAACCATTCATTGTTTCCAGGCACGGGAGGTGCATTCAAAACGATTTGTCGACGAGTAAGCACTACAAACACTTCCTGTACAAGTTGGAACCCTCCCAACCAAAAAAGAAACGGTAAAAGTTGGCACCCTTTCGCTGGGGGACCTAGAAGACAAGGCAAACCAGCGCACCCCACTTCCCATTTGCCGCGTTCCGCCACGAGCGCAACTCCTCGCCTTGGTGACCGCGGGCATCACCGAGACGTTGGCCGGGGGAACTTCCGCGTCGTCCTTCGCCGGCCAGGCGCCCAGCGGGGGCCGTGCAAAGGCGGACGAGGAGGACGTGGAAGCGGAGGGGTGGTGGTAGCACCAGCTCGTCACGTCCTCAGCCAAAGAACTCGGCCCGTATCCGGATCCGAAAAAAACAGAAAGGCGGCGGCTTTGAGGCGGCAGAAGGACAAACGGGGCCAACCGGAACTGGCATCTCAGATTTTTGAGACCACAGCTCTTGGGGGAGTTGTTTTTCGGAAGGGACAGATGCGCACGGCTGTGCGCTCGGACGGGGCCGGGGAAATGGGATCGACAATCTCGGCGAAGCCTGGGATCGAACCCACTCAGGGCCGTCCGCCACAAAATTTCTGGCGAGGGGCTGGTCCCAATTTCCCAATTTTTCCCGGGTGCCCTACTTTTTGCCGTACCAGGAGAACCAAACACCTGTTACAAGGTACTACCCCAAAAAAGCATTTATTTTTTTGTTTCCTGGTTGTTTTTCCTTTCTGGAAACACGAGGTTTTCAGATTTAGTAATTTACAGGAAATACCCCGTACTTTCCTTCTTTTTGCCGTAGGGGTCGTTCTCATATCAACTGGGGATTTCCTTGGTGCAGAAAGTCGCTGGCTCTAAGGTCACAGCAGAACCCACCCACACCAAACATAGGTACGAATTCCACAAAAGAGACATGTACAGTGCACATCAACCCCAGTACGCAAAGCAAACTTCCCTTCTAGGTTGCATAATAGGAGATCCACTCAGCATGGCATGTGCTAGATCCATTGAACGGCACCTGCATCTTTCCGGGTTGCTGTGGGCAAGTCCAGCGACTTCAGATTGCCCCTCAGGGTCATTGAGCTGAGTTCCGGTGGCTTGGGGCAGGTGTCGCTTGGAGCAGGCCCCGATTATTTTTGGCTTCACCCGTCGGCTGCCTTGCAGGAACTTGAGGCGGCTTGATGCCCGGGCGCATTTCGGGCGTTGATCCTCCAATGATCTTCGAAGTACATGATGGCATCTCCGTTCCTCAGCCAGCACTGGGCTGCCCTCAGATCCCCTGCTGAAAGTGACTAACTTTTAGTGGGTGAAATTCGATAACTACCCCTAAACCAACTAAAAGCCCCAAAAGTGAATACCTTTGAGTGGGTTAAATTCGGACAATACCACTCAACCAACTAAAAGCCCTAAAAGTGAATACCTTTTAGTGGGTCAACCAACAAAAAACAACTAAAAGGCTAAGTTGAACTGGACGGCTGGGGGGAAAACCAAGTGCAGGTGCCTCTGGCCATTGCAGGCCTGGTGGAATTCAAGGTGATCATCTTTTAGGGCTGACTGAAAGAGACCAAAGCAATTCAATGCCAGAGCCAGTTCATTTTTACGACTCGATGTAGACCAAAAAAGTGAGTTAGAACAAAAAGCGAACAACAGACAGCAACGTAAAGTGAGTCCCAGCAAAACCGCGATGTAGACCGACATGAAGTCAGTAGAGCAAAACCACAAAAGCCCAAAAGCAAATGCAGAGCTTCCGTCGACTCACCCTATACCTCTTTGGGATAACCCACGGGAGGTTCATCTGAGCTCAACTAGATTGACACGATGAACGTTCCCTGGAGAAACGAACAGGGGCCCTTCCCAAAGACGGGAGATATAACAATCTGGAATCCAGAAGCATGCCCACAACCCCTCCCACTATTTTGGGCTTGTATAAATATAGGGATTTGGGGGGTTGGATTTGGGGGGACCCAAATCCAAAAGTCTATGATAGAAGTTTTCACAGGGAGCCACCTCAAAAGTGGATGGTGGACATGAATCCCAACCTGAGACTGATGGCCACCAGAGGGTCCCCCAGTGAAATTCGTGCCCAGAACAATTGACACGTCCAGAGCAACTCGAAGCTGAACCTTGCAAAGCCTGAAAACTAGCTTCTCTCTTGGTTTGGAGTCGAGCACGGTTTGGAGCTCAGCAAGCGTTCAAATCCCCCAAACCACCCAGGCAAATGAACCCACAAGGCCTGCTCATGTTCATACCCCTCTCTCTTAAAGGGGCATATACCATCATATACCCCTTATAAACGTTACAAAGCGGGCAGGAAACCAGGGAAGCCACGGGGTATGTTCTTCCACACTTAGACAATTGGAGGAAATCCTCAACCAAGGGCTTCGCAAAGAAAACAAAAAAGGTAAATCGACCGAGCGTCAACTGTCGGAACTTGGGGTAGCCGTTGCAGTCTCCGACCCGCACATAGCTGCCGTTGGTCTTGCCGAAGGCATTCGCCACCAGGATGTAGGGCATGGAGACTACCACCAGCTCGTACCTAAGCTCGGTGTACCCGCATTTTCTTGGTTGACCTTGGAAGGGGAGCAAACAATATAATATCCTAGCAGTTAAGTGGCTGGATTTCAACCACTAAACCACAATAAGCAAAAAAAAAAAAAAACATGTTTCCCAACAACAACCATGTCTTTTTTTGCACAAGAAATATGGTTTCCCTCGAACCCAAACCCCAAGAAGAGCGCTTTTGTCGGACTCCCTCTAAGCTGTTTTTTGAAGAAGCAAACGCTGTACACCGTGTTTGTTTTTTTGTACTTTGCTTTCGCGCCCCAGCTGAAAGCTATGGGGTCGTCTTTGCCCAGAAATCGGCTCGTTCGGGGTAGTGCGGGGCAGCTTTCAGGGCGGGTTCAAATAGAGATTCGGCTCTTTTCGGGGGTTCCCATTGGGCTGCTGGGGATACCAGTTGGGGCTCCCTCTAAACCAACCCTCACGCATGTGCCACGTCCACTCGTTGGGGAGACTGGCCCAATGCGACCCGGCAGAAAAGGCGAACTCTGTAGGGGTGATTCCATTTCTCACTTGCCCAAACCCGAAAGTCTAAGCTGTTGGGACCTGAGCTGAAACTGGGAACCCAAATCAGAAACGAAAAGGTCAGATCCAGTCGATTCGCGTTGTGCAACTAATATCACTGAGACTTTGGTGGGGAAGCCATCAAACGAAAAGCTCAAGAGCGGGCAACCGGAAACCAGGCAAGTACGCAACCAGTTACTGGCCACCCCCTGACCCTTTTTTGTGGTGACCTCTCCCCGAAACCCAAGACAAAGAAAAAACAAACAAGCCCTGCGGCCAAAAAAAAGAAGTGCCACTTGAAATGTCGTTGAGGGCACCCTTTCAAACTTTGCTTCACTTACACAACGCAAACAATGATTCGTCAGAGCCTGAGACTATGGGAGATCTGAATCTTCACGCCAGTGGCCTTGCTGACGTATAGCGGTGTCAACCAAAAAGCTGCTCAGTCCAAAGATCCACCAAATCGCCCTAAAGTGAGGCTGCATCAGTCCCGCTTGGACACCCGAAACAAAACGAGCCGTGAGCCCGAGCTTCAGTCCCTCAGCACCCACACGATGTTTGCGCACGCCTCCTGGAGGTGCTGCGGATCCGTTGGGTGCGATTGGTTGGTTACCCCCCTCCCCCCCCCAAAAAAAAAGCACCATAGGTAAAACATATAGAAGCAATGCAGACAAAACTAAAAAAAACAAAATCGTTGAAACAACAAAACAGAGAGAGCAACACTCCAGTGGAGCCTATGATTTGGAGAACATGAGCCAAGCCACATCTCGTGCAACATGTTTATTGGCATCATGTTGAAACAACAGGAGTGGTCTCAAAACGCAGGCGCGTAGCGGTTCCCCAGCAATTTGCGGCTACGCCCTTAGCACAAAGATGTGAACGCGTGAAAAGTCACCTTCACATCTTGGAGAAAATGATCCTTCTCAACTCAGATAGCATTTGTAAGAGGTGTTGAAAGCTGGAATCTGCTTTTCAGCGGGTTCACTTGGCCCAAGCGGAGCATCCCAAGAGTTGTTACGTTGCTCATGTCATTCGATCGCCCAACAAACCGCAATGTGCCTTTGCCATAGGTGTCCTTTTAGGGGAAATAGATGTCCCTGGTAGATGATAAAACCACCGGGTAAACCAGGGACATCTATTTTTCTACCCAAACAACCAAAAAGGACACCTGTAGCCTTTGCTTTTCGGGCCCTCAAAGAACCAGGTTTTGAGGCCCCCACACACCGAAGCGGGGTGTCCTTCAATTTTCGGGGTCTGGGTCTTGAAAGTTTCCGGAGCCTCTGGGAAGTGACTGCCAACAGAGATGGGGATTCAAAGAAACCCATGCCGATGTTCCAAAAGTGAGGGACCCTCCCAATCGTCCCCTCCCTCATCCGGCTTGCGGCCTGTATTTGCATTCCTTGGGTGGGGGGGGGGGGGCTTTCAGGTCCTGGACGTTCGGGGGTGGGACAACACCCACCAGCCCAAAATTTGTCTCTCACAACCTGTGGATTGGCAACAAAAACTAATCTGTTTGCGTGCCACTTCAGTTGTCTTTTCAAAAAGTTTAAAGTCCAACCCAGATGCTCGAGGGGGTGTGCAATGCACACCCCGGCCCTGTGCATAGCACACCCCGTGGCTTGCATGCCAAACTGTGGGGTGTCAGGGGTCTTCGCTATCTTTTTGGGGGTGTCACCAGGACACCCCGAAGGCTGAAGTCTATGTTGATTCTGTCTAACGCGTCACAGGCCCTGCAGCTACTTGCATGCAGCACGGCCAGTTCGTCGAATCTGCTGAACATCAGGTTTTCACGGTTTTCATGGGCTGACTGCTGAGGACAACCCTGCATCATTGACGTGTCAATGTTGAGGCTTGATCAAGGAGCTGGTTTGTTTTTTGATGGTTGTGTTTCTCACCCTTTGCTGGCTGCAATTGAATGGTTTGCCAAACTCTCCTAAATCCGTAAATCTTGGGGCAGTTGCTAGACAAACGCAGTGCGAAGCAGCTCAGCGGCGCTATGAAGCACAACCAGACCAAGCCGCAGAAGCGGACATACGGCCAAGGTGATGGCCCGTAGGTTGATAATGCTTCAGTAGCTGCTAGGTGCAATCACTGTGCAGGGCAGGTTCGACAGAGCAGGCTCAGCAAGCCCCAGCCGATCTGGCTCTAAGACTAGTCTCCACTTGGGCTTTCCAGCTCGCCTTTCCGAAGGGTTGTGGAGGCCTTCGACCTTCATGGGCAACGCTCTCTTATAAAAACATTGCGAAACATCAAACACCACCTGCTTTTGCTTCCTGTTGCAGGGGTGCATCATCACGGGTCGAAAACAAGATGCTCACACCTGGTAAGAGTCCAAGAGAGGCCACAGCAAAGCCGAGGTGCCCACACATTTCAATCTGAAGCGGTTCAATCACAAAGTAGGAGCCGCCAGTGGCACTTGTAGCCTTTTCAGTCCAATCCAACTTGACCCCCCACCGTTGCACGCAATCTGGTTGCAGAATGTCTACCTGCAGGGGCGCGCGCGTGAAAAACAAGGCGTGAAGCGGAATAGAGTGTTGGCGGCGTTTCTGAACCAGAACCCTCTCCAGCATTTACCACCAAAAACATGTTGAACTGTCAGACGCACAGCTCTTTGCATGTGAGCTGGGGGCTTGGACAAGCGGTCGCAAGCGCGATTCTTTGACTCTACTGCGTGTTGCTGCCCCATTGTTTTGAAGCGTTCAGCAGGTTTCCGTCTACCAACGCCCGCGTTAGTCAAAGCATGTACGGGTTGGAGATTCTGTTTCTGCAAAGCTCTACAAAGGGCGACATCCTATGGCAACACGTCAAACATCATAGTCCCAAAGTCTCAAGTCAAACAGATCCTACCAAAGTTTTTTCATAAACTGCACTAGAGCTTCAAGTGCCCCACTAGGATCCAGCGGGTTGTAACGGGCTCGGGAACTCCAGCACCAGAATCCGACAGAATCCGACGGAATCCGACGGAATCCGACGCTCGGGGCGTCAAATCTCCTAGTTTCGACACCCCCTGACCCGAATCCGACGGAATCCGACGGAATCGCTTGGGGCGTCGATGCGCTTTTAGTTTCGACACCCCCTCCACCCCCCAATCCGACGAAATCTGACGGGATCCAACGCCCCAAGCAATTCCGTCGGATTCCGTCGGATTGGGGTCAGGGGGTGTCGAAACTAGGAGATTTGACGCCCCGACCGTCGGATTCCGTCGGATTCCGTCGGATTCCGTCGGATTCGGATTCTGGATGTGTGGGGGGTCCCGAGCCCGCGCGTCACAACCCGCTGGATCCTATTGGGGCACTTGAAGCTCCAGTGCAGTTTATGAACTTTGGTAGGATCTGTTTGACTTGAGACTTTGGGACTATGATGTTTGACGTGTTGCCATAGGATGTCGCCCTTTGTAGGGCTTTGCAGAAACAGAATCTCCAACCCGTACATGATTTGACTAACACGGGCGTTGGTAGACGGAAACCTGCTGAACGCTTCAAAACAATGGGGCAGCAACACGCGGTAGAGTCAAAACATCGCGCTTGCGACCGCTTGTCCAAGCCCCCAGCTCACATGCAAAGAGCTGTGCGTCTGACAGTTCAACATGTTTTTGGTGGTAAATGCTGGAGAGGGTTCTGGTTCAGAAACGCCGCCAACACTCTATTCCGCTTCACGCCTTGTTTTTCACGCGCGCGCCCCTGCAGGTAGACATTCTGCAACCAGATTGCGTGCAACGGTGGGGGGTCAAGTTGGATTGGACTGAAAGGCTACAAGTGCCACTGGCGGCTCCTACTTTGTGATTGAACCGCTTCAGATTGAAATGTGTGGGCACCTCGGCTTTGCTGTGGCCTCTCTTGGACTCTTACCAGGTGTGAGCATCCTGTTTTCGGCCCGTGACGATGCACCCCTGCAACAGGAAGCAAAAGCAGGTGGTGTTTGATGTTTCGCAATGTTTTCATAAGAGAGCGTTGCCCATGAAGGTCGAAGGCCTCCACAACCCTTCGGAAAGGCGAGCTGGAAAGCCCAAGTGGAGACTAGTCTTAGAGCCAGATCGGCTGGGGCTTGCTGAGCCTGCTCTGTCATTGTGCGCGCAGCAGGGCAGTGGGTTGAACTGGCGTCATCAGTACTCAAGCAAAGGTCCGGCTGGGTTGCGTCCAGCCGTGGCCGTCAGGTTGGCTGACAAAAGCGCAGTAATTGCCACCTCCAGGTTTCTTGCCCGTATGGCTGCTTCGCACAGCTTTTGTCGGTTCGCAGTTGCCTTCTAACAAAGTTTGGGGTTGTAGGGGAGCGGGGAAAACATTTCTGAGTTTGGAGTTCCACGGCAAGCAAATACACAAGCGCATGTGGAAACGCGAACCATCAAAAACCGGCCCAGCTCCCTGATCAAGCCTGACATTGACATGTCAATGATGCAGGGTTGTCCTCAGCAGCTAGCCCATGGAAATCTGATGCCGCAGATAGCCCTGACCAGTGGCGCCTTGATCCATAGCGCGCAGCTGGGCCCACGACGCGTTAGACGACTAGCCTTCGAAACGTCCTGGTGACATTCCTTCAGAATCCTTAAAGACCCCTGCCGCAATTTTGCAGGCTAGCGATGGGGTGCTGTTTGCGCACTGCAAACCCCTCGTGCAAACTGGGAAGTGAGTGAACTCAGAAACCTCGCCCCGATCATTCACTTGACGCCCCGCGACGCCCCGCGACACCCCGACGCCCCAAAATCAAATCGTGAGCGTCTGGGAAGGACTAAACCCCCCACAACCCCCAAACCTCTCGAGTCGGAGAAAAGGGTCCCCGAACAGTGATCGGCGCAAACTGGAGTTCGGCTTCAACCATCCTGGCCATGCCAACAGCCACAAAACGATACGGATGCCAACTCAATATCGCCAGTAAACCAAGCACATGAGAATTCGCGTTGGGATTCCTTGGTTTTTTTTGCAATATTTAGGGCATCCACTCAGCTTCCCTCTGATTGCTGGTTTGGAACGGTGGCTTTTTGGTGGTTTGGTGGTTTCCACAGGGCTTCAAATCCAAATCCAAACGAACCCCAACCTGAGGGGTTTGACCGGATCCACCGGTTCACACGACACCATACGACAGGCCCGGCGAAGACCACCAGCTAAAAAAATGTGCTGCCTCCGCCGTAGCCCACAAAAATATCCACGACATGGGCTCCCCAAGAGGGCCGACGTCAAACGACTCGAGGCTCGAGGCCGCGAGACGCCCAGGTCCTTGGTCCCAGCGCACCTGGACCCAGCCCGCTTCGGCGGCTTCCAGCGTGGTGCCTTCGCCCTCCTCCTTGCACGAAACGCCACTGGGCTCGTCGGATTTTTGTTGGCGTTGGGTATACCCCTTGTGTGGATTCAAAGGGAAACCAAAAGGAAAAAGTTAAGCCATTTTGGGGGGTCCCGCAAGAAAGACGCGTCGAGTTGGGAACCCCTTTTCTTGTGATTTTAATGGGAAACCAAAAAGGAACAGGTGAAGCCATTTTGGGGACACACCCAGAAAAGTTGACTTGTATTGGGAGTTCCCACTCACAGGGCAAACAATACACATACAACTCCTTGCCCCCTGATGGGAACCCACAAATTCAAGGCGATCACCTTTTGGGGCCGCTAAGAAGTGGGAACTCGACAGGCAACCAAAAGCTCAAAAGCTCGATTTGCTTTGGACAACGCAAATCGAACACCCTACCCAAAAACACCCCGTCGTTGTGCCAGTAGAAAAGATTGGCCACTTGGCTTGATTTTAATGTTTGCTGGCCTGCGGCCTGAGTAAAAATCGGTATTTGATTCTGCCTGACTTGGGCGCAGCTTATGCCCTCGCCTTTGTAACATGGACAAAGGCAAGGTCACACAGCCCCCCCCCTCCCCCCAAGCCCCTATGAAATACGATCCAAACTCCTAATGTTGAAACCACTTAGAAAGGAGAGGACGCCTTTAGCAACCCAGGGGAAGGATTTATCGCCTTCAAACAGCCTGCATAGAGAGCCTTACTCAATGCTGACTTTCCCGTGGTCCTTCGATTCTCGCGCGCGCGAAAACTGGAGCAACCCATCAAAACGGGTTCGCGTGCAACACAGAAACATATCCCCGACCGATCCCCGCTGCGTCCGATCGATCACCCGATTCCTGCGGCAGGCGCACGCGCACGTGGGGCTCCGGCCACCGCAGCAGCCGGCCCTCCGGCCGCTGCGGCGGCACCTGAGACGGGACTCGCTCTTCCGGCGAAGCGGCTGCGAGCCGAACCGGGAGAACCGAAACGGGGCAGCTGAAATGGGGCTGTGTTCTTCCCAACTGTGACCTTTTAGGGAAAGTGTCTGGAAAAAAGCAGCAACTAGGAGGCTATCTAGGTGATTTGTAGTGGAACCTTTGGTCTTGCTGCAATCTTTGGTTGAATTCTTCTGGAACCGCAACGGTGGATGAAGATTCACGTCCACCAGACACGTTTGAGGTGGTTCCCTGTCAAAAATCATGGTGAAGTGAGCTTCCTTGGGTTCATTTGGGCTGCGAAGTAGGTGTGCTTTTCTCTAAAAAGGTGGCTTCGAGCATCTCTTGGAAAGGCCAACTCATTGCCCCCATCTCTCCCACATTATCACGCAACCTGTGGTTCCAAGATAAAGAGTTGGGTGTGCTGTGGTTAGAGAGATGATTCCTGTTCCTTCGTTCGTCTGGTCTTTCCTCTTCTTGGAGTGATTATTACGGCTTGGAATTGTTGGAACCCTGAAGGCCGTTGGGGGTTGAAGGAGAAAACACACACACACACACCTGGTACATGTAGCAGGGATCCTTACATTATACACCTGAACATTGCAACTTGTAAATGGTGGTTTCCAAACTTATTTTGGTGGAAAAGGCAACATGTTTCAAATGCGCAAAGTGTATCTTTTAAGGAGCCCTGTGTAGATGCCCATTAAAACAAAGCTGGGAGAGGTTCCTTTAAACGTGATCATGAGAAACCCCTGGGACAAGTGTTGCAAAGTATGTGATAACTCGAAAGCCTGATGAGTGACCCCTAAGCAAAGGACCTTCATCCTGGTGAGCTCGGGTTACAAGAGCTTGAAACCCATTACGCAGACAAGTTGCAACGGCCCGTTTGTTCGACTTAAATTCCTTCGAACTTGAAACGGACCGTTCAACAAAGTGGAACCTGTGCATTTTCTGATCCCCTGCTGAAAGTGAGTTTAACCGTTAGTGGGTGAATTTCCTAAACTCAACCACTAAACCAGCCAAAAAGCTATAAACATCTCAGGTACCGGACGATTTGCTTGGAATTGGGGGAAGCTGACCATTCTGTGGATGGGCGAAAGCCCCTTACCAGTCCAGGTCCTCCAGTAGAGAGGTTAGAATAAGGATACCCTTCTTTCTGTGGTCCGTTTTAGTAGGTTGGACCCCTCCCAACCAAAAAAGAAACGGTAAAAGTTAGCACCTAGCTGGGCAACCTGGCACAGGGATCCTTACATTATACACCTAAACATTGCAACTTGTAAATGGTGGTATCCTTTTCTTTTGGTGGAAACAGCCATGTTTCAAATGGGCAAAGTGTATCTTTTAAGGAGCCCTGTGGCAGTTGCTATGAAACATGAGAAGCCCAGCAACCGGAGGATCGGCTGGGAACGGGGAACCGCCGTGAGAACGGGACCCACGGCGCCTGGCGTTTCTCTGCCGCCTTCTTCTCGAAGCTCAGCTGCGCGCCTTGGGCAAACGAAGCCACGCAAAAGGCGTCCAAAAGACTGGGCTGCGCTAAAAGATGCTAAAAGTGAGCTGAACTTTGAGTGGGTTGGCAACTACCACGAAACAAAGTCTAAAAGGCTGAGGGGATGGCTGGGAGCCACTAAGAAGACTAAGCCAAGGGGGAGATTCCCAGAAGTATCACAGAAGTGGGTGGGGCTAATCAACCACAACCCTGCTCAGAAGGGAATGTGGGAGTGAACCGTCTTGAGATTCCCGAATACAGGACATCACCCGTTGGATGGTTTATCTCGGGGTCATTCCGCTTCTCATTCCCTGCTGAGAACCAGCAAGTTCTTGTGGGAATCTGCTTTCTGATTTTTTGTTGGGCTGCAAACCGTAACCCTTTTTGAGGGCACCCCTTGTTTTGCGCCGTTTTCCAAAAACTTACCCCTTAAAACTCCAAGCCCTGGGGAAGTTAGTCTTTTACAGACATATAGCCCATGTTATCCAAAAAGTTGAAAAGTTGTGTTTTTAAGAGGTAAGAAAAACAACAAGCGGCCTGCACAGTTGGCTCAGGGCAACAACGCCGCTGCGAGGCGCCAAAGAGCCAAAAGGAGGCGATCACTTTCCCGCGGGGGCTTCAGGTGCCAAGAGATGCTGACCCCAGATGAATCAACCCCAGTGTGTTCATATGGGGGTGTTCCCCTTCAAATCCCCACTAAACCCAGGGACAACCCTTATTGATCAACTGGGGTTGACTAATATTTATCAATATTTGGGGTCAACGTTATATGAAAAGACCACCTGGCTGATCTGCACATACCACAACCTGGACAACACCCCAAGCTCGACCCCCAAACTCGCTCAGCGTGAGTCATGGCCCATGTCACACAAAAGCGAGCGAGTCACCAAGACTTCAGGGCCCCAAGAGGATCATGGAAAGTGATGTTCTTCTCAGTTGTTCAGTGACCCTAAAAAAAAATATCGGGGAACCCTTTTTTGGGGGCTTCTCACCATTTTAGTGGGGCCACTTTCAAAACAAAAGTTGGAAAACGAGACTCGGCGCCGCTGAACCACGGAGTCACTTGGATGGGAAAAGTCCGGCCGAAGGGAAGCCACCGCTTGAGCCCCTCGAGTCTGGATGGCGCTCCAAGATTTTTGGTGCTGCAACGGCCCCTCTGCCAAAATGTTTTGTGAACTTTCTGTGGGTTTAGTGGAAAACCACCCCTCTGCAAATGTTTTTTTTGAACCTTCTGTGGGTTTTTCGTGGGAAACCCCAACTTGATTTCAGCCAAGTTCAAAGTCTAAAGATCCGTTGCCCAATAGCAGTCAAGATATAGCACTATGATAGGTCCATGATTCTTCCTGGACCATCGACGTCGAGGGGTCTTCATCGGGTGCCTTGAGGTCTCCGGTGGATTTGTGTCGCCAACTCAGCTGCACTAGAAGCTCAGTGGGAGCAAGAGACCCCAAACAGTGTTGGGGAAGACCTAAAAACCATGTTGAATCATGTTGACCCCGGAGTCATAAACCAACCTGTTTCTCGATCTGGGGGCTGGTTTTTGGCCGACACCCTCTTCATACACAGGGGTTGATTCATCTGGTGCCAACATTGAGCAAATGGGCTTCACTTGAGCTCCATGGGAACCATCGAAGTCCAAGAGCTCCAGAACCTCGGGGTTCTCCGGATTTTTTTTGGGGGGGCTGGGGTACATGCGGGGAAGCTCCCTTTTAACTGTCCTCCAAACCACCCACAAAAACAGAAGAAACAAAAAGGAAAAAACAAAAACACGCACCCCGGTGGTTCTCAGGGAGGGGGGTTGCACCACAAACCCCAGCACCCTCCGCCAAGGCTTGGGCGCTCAAGGCTTTTGAGGTTCTTGGGCTGCATGAGGGCACTCTGAACTTTCTCCTCCGCAACCAGCACCTGGCGGCGTTTTTTCACCTGGACTAGACACTGGGAGTTGCACCTGGAGTTGACTGGTGGTTCTGTCCCGACATGGTCTCGACATGGTTATAGAGGATTGATGCTAGCTGCAGATTGAAAAACCCCTGAATGATTTTTGATAGGGACCCCTATTCATAGGAAAGGTTTATTAATTCTGCTGTCATGATATAGGAGGTTGACAAAACCATGGCCCCTTTTAAGACCCTGGTGCCGCTTTTTTGAGTACATATTCCCCAAAGGAAACCTCAAGTTTGATCTTGTGGGAACTTCAGGTGCTGCTTGTCCCCCATTCTCCACTTAACAACAAGCAAAGGCAAAAACAAACCACTGAGCTCAGTGGTAAATGGCACCTCCCCTCACATGCGTTTGGGTGCGGTTCGGCATTAACTGCCTTGTTTGCAGACCGGTTTCGGTCAGCGACAGGAAATGCACAAACACGCGGAGGGGCACCAAACAGTGCAGTGCATCAAAAGCATAATCCAGCCCTGCCTTTGGCAGGCTCACTGCTTGCTCTACACAAACAGCGCACTGCATCGTCCAGTTCTGGATCTATGTATGGGCTTGTTATTTTGCAGTTGCTTTTTTTCTGGGTCGTTTTGTGTTTACCTACGAATCGAGCCTCAACGTCAAATCACATCTCTTCGCTTTGCTTTGTTCTCGTATCTCTCTTTTTTGCTCTTTTGTTTGCTCTCTGTCTCTCGCTCTTTCTCTCTCTCCATCGAAAGTCCATTGTCCCAGAGGGAGTGGGATTTGTTGGGAATAAGCTTTGGTGTCATTCGATTACACTTGAGCACAAGCGTTAAGGCTCTGCATCCAGGGTCCCCATGTTTCTCCTTACGTCACCAGCAGACCTAAAAACGGATTTTCGAAACGGTGATGATTGAACCGCTCAACTTGGGTATTCGATTCGCCAAGGAAGTTGTTCGTAACCAGGTCATAACCCACTTATAAGTCCCCCGTTCAGTGGGGTTACCCCCGTTGCCATGGGTAACCACTTACTAACCTGGCCAAACCCCCAAGCAGAGAAATCGATGCAGCCCAGTTGTTGAGGTCCATTTTCCTGGTGAAACCTCACCGCTCTTGTTAGTTCTGTGCCAAAACTAGGATCAATTCTTGTCTTCCTTCTGGTTTCCCATTAATCCAACCGAAAAGGGTACCGAGCCCCAACAATCACACACGCAAAAATAAAACTATTTGCAGCTGTTGGATCCCTACTGGTTTGCACCCTGCAAGAACACACACCAACCCAGACGCCCACCCGCACAAAAACAAACAAACACACAAACAAACAAACAAACAAACAAGCAAGCAAGCAAGCAAGAAAGCAAGAAAGCAAGAAAGCAAAACAAACAACAAAAAACACAAAACACAAGCACACAAACAAACAAACACACAAGCAAACACGCACACACACACACAAAGGAAGAAACACACAGACACACACACACACAAAGAAAGAAACACACGCAAAAGCAAGCACGCCCACACACACACAAAGAACAAAACACACACACAGACACACAAACAATCAAACACACACACACACACAAAAGCAAGCACACGCAAACACAGAGAGAACGCGTGCCCTTCTTTTGGCTCACGTCCGAATCCCGAAAACGCCCCCGACGTTTGAAAGCGCCTGCGCTGACGCCAAGCTCTGCAGCGAGATGGCGCGCTGGGCCAAGACCTGAAACGGCAAACATTTCCCCCGAGCTTCTAGCAGAACTGTTGGTTGATCACCCCAGACCTCATTTGGATTCGTCTTTTTGGAGGACTTTGTGTTTTTTGGTGGAAAAGGGGTTCCTAAAATTTAGGTCCCCCAGTAGTTTCAGGTTAGAATAAGTTGGTACCCGCTTTTTCTGTCGTCTATTTTAGTAGGGGAACCCTCCCCCAACAAAGAATGGGGGGACCTAGAATAACTTGCTGGTGTGATAGGAAGGGAATGACCCAGGGTGTTGAGAATGAACTGGTTGAGTGTTTGTTTTTAAGGAAACCATAGGGGATGGTTCTGGTTCATGTCTGCAAAACAAAACAAAATGTGGTTGTCCTTTTGAGTTTCCCTTACCACGCAAAAGGGGGGAGCCTCAAAAAACGACACACGCAAAGGTGCCAATACTTAACTTTATCCCTTTTGCGAAAACGCATTTCTTGCTGCCGAAATGAAGCCATGGTTGAAACCATAACGTTTGCTAACTTACAGGGGAATCGAATCAGAACCCGGGGTTTCTGGTGCAGGATTTCGTCAATCCACAGTAGGGGGGTCCCTGCTTAGTCTCACTTCTTGAGTGGATTGGCCAGAAAAAGAAGAAATCTTGTTGTTTGCCACTAGAAGGGAGTGAGCAAAACTGGTGAACATGATAATTGTTTGATGGCAATCGAAATGAGAACGAACATAATCAGCCTTGTGCCCCTTAAGGAAATCCAAAGGATGTGTCAAAGCTTTGTGAAAAAGGACGCCCTGGTACCCAAATAGACACTCATGCTTAAACACCGAACTGAGAAAGGGATTGAGCTGCACCCGGCTGACGGAATGATTCCAGGGCTGCGACTCAGCGCCCATGATGGGAATTTTGTTTTGTTTCTTGAGAAGCGGGGCTTGCTGTGCCATACTGAAAGAGCCATCATTGGCATCACTTGCAACAGAAACTCATAATCAACATATTTTCCTCAGGGGAGCATAAGGGTCAACATATGCTGCTCGCGAAAAAGGTGCCATCACTCATGAGCATGCTTGTGAAGAAGAAACAATTTCAAGGGATACCAAACTCGGTCATCCCTATTGCTGATCCCATATTAATTAACCCCAGTTTATGCAAAGGGGGGGTGTCCCCAGGTGAAACGTGGGGAATCGGACCACTTTCGGAGCGCCCCCCACCCTCCAACTGAAATAAACTTGATGTATCTGGGGTCATCCCTATGGCTATTACCGAAAGACGGGTCCAATGGAAACGGGCGAACACGCCAAACAAGAGTCACCCGAGTCACAATCAAAACCCGGTATTAAAATGGTGCACCCAGAACCATGTAAAGAATTAAGAAGGCGGAGGCAGCTATTTGGCCATGGGTCAAAAGCCCGTACCCCCAGTGAACATCCCAATCCCCACTAAAATAAAGCCTAAAATGGGTGGTGCACCGAAAGCCCCAACATGGTACCATTAGTCTTGACCCACAGCCATTTATGGTTGGGAGTATCCATTGCTAACCTTCATCTACCCAGGCTTTGAGCACGTGGCTCACCCGGCCTGCGGTTCTCGGCCCGTGGTGCGCACCACGAAGGCACAGCTGGGTGCTGGGTCTTGGAAGTCCGCGCGCACCTCGTGGCGACGGAGTCGGGGGGGGGGGGGGTGGGGGGAGGTGAGAGGTTGGGGTGGAGCTGGGGAGGTCCGGGGGAAGGTCTGGGTGGGTTGAGGGACGGGAGGTGAGAGGAGGGGGCGGGGGGCATTCAGGTTTTGGGGTGTCAGGAGGGAGCTTGGGTTGGGGATTCGCGGGGTCGAAGGGTTCAGTGGGTTGACATTTTAGACTTCATCTTGCCAGCAACAAAGGATCATCAAATGTTCACAACTCATAACCATTGCCCTTTGAAACTGGCTTTTGATCACATGTCAAAACCAGTTGCACACCTCCAAACAGCTTCGTGTATGACAAGATCGCCCCGGAACGTGTTGGGTCAATTAGGGCGCGTTGTCACGAGCCACACGGTGAATCGGCCAAATCGAGTTGTCTTGGCCAAGAGTTTTGTATCACAACCAACCAAACTGAACCAAAATAAAAACAAGCAAGCTAGCAAGCAAGCAAGCAAGCAAGCAAGCAAGCAAGCAATCAAGCAATCAAGCACACAAGCACACAAGCAAGCAAGCAAGCAAGCAAGCAAGCAAGCAAGCAAGCAAGCAAGCAAGCAAGCAAGCAAGCAGGCAGGCAGGCAGGCAGGCAAGCAAGCAAGCAAGCAAGCAAGCAAGCAAGCAAGCAAGCAACACCAACCAAGCAATCAACCAACAAAAAACAACCAACCAACATCCAACCAACCAGCCCAAATCAACCAACCAACCAACCAACCAACCAACCAACCAACCAACCAACCAACCAACCAACCAACCAACCAACCAACCAACCAACCAACCAACCAACCAGCCACAGTCAACCAACCGACCAACCTGCCAGCCAACCAACCAACCAACCAAAATCAACCAACCAACCAGCCAGCCAACCAACCAACCAACCAGCCAGCCAGCCAGCCATTGAGCCAACCAACCAACCAGCCAAAACCATCCCACCGACCAAAATCAACCAACCAACAAAAATCATCCAACCAACCAAAATCAACCATCCAACCCAAATCAACCAAAATCAAGCAACATCAACCAATCAACCAACCAACCGAAACAGGGCCACACAAGTCTTCTTAGGCCACCCGATTGTTCCCCTTCAAATTTGCTTGGGTGTAATTTGTGACCATCAAAAAGGCTCGACTGGAAAATCGCTATGCAGCCAACATCCCGAACAAACTCATCCGCAAGTGGAAAAGCACAGGCGATTCAACCCCCGAACTGAAACAGACAGGAAAGCCAAACCACAAAACATGAGATCCAGCCAAAACTGACCAGGAACACCCAGAAAACACCAAAAGGAGTCGCCATCATATGAGCAAACTATACTAGGTCCTCCAGTAGAGGGCTTAGAATAAGTTGGTACCCGATGTTTTTGTAGTCGATTTTAGTAAGGGAACCCTCCCCCAAAAAGGGTAAAAGGGCACTACTGGGGGACCTAGACATTGTCAACCTCGGATTCATCCAGAGGACGGTACTACCTTCCCTCCCTAGCAGACAGGGTCCTTTGAGAAGAATGGTCTTCCACGGGCCTGCCTTCGCCAATTTTGCTGGAGGGGAGTGTAAACCAAGACAACTAAACCACCAAAACCAAAGCACCACACAAAAACCACTACACCACGTCACCAAACTCAACCGCCAAACCGCTAAACCACTCAACCCTGGAGCACCCATTGTAACACAAAGACGTGTTACCTCAAATTTGTGTTCGAGATTGCTCGATGCTTGTGGTCCTTGAAAAACAGCGCGGTGTGATTTTCAATCTGTTCGGAGGAAGCCGAGCAATTGCTGCCTTCTTTTTGTTTTGTTTGTTGTTCCTTTTGTTTAAAGACAAACACAAAGAACAGAAACAGCAGAATGCGCTGGTTTGCGGATACGTGCGCTCGTTTTGTGGATACTTGCGCTCGTCTTGCACTTCGCTTTCTGGGCGCGGGTTCTTTTGAGCGACCCATCATCTTGGACATCAGCTCGGCTTTGGGAAAAACGCTCGGACGGGAAAAGTGTGCGTTTACCACATCTTATTCCCTGTCCATACTTTGCAACCATCATTCTTTCCAAAAACCAGATCCGTTTTTCCTGGGTTTCCCGAGGTTTTTTAGAAAAATCCGTATCCCTGCAAAGAATGGAAATGGAAGGTACTCCTAGCTGCCTTCGAAAGCATTCTAGACTAGGTCCTCCAGTAGAAAGGTTAGAATCAGGGAACCTGATTTTTTGGTGTGACTCTTCGTTTTGCTCTACGCTTTGGCTCAGGGCAGATTATGTTTGGGTAACGAAGGACGCTCGAGGACCACGCCACCCAAACAAGAAAGCAGCACACCACCAAACAAAAGCAACTCGACCTTCCATTTGCTCAAGCACCCTGGAAAAACAACAAACATATTTCCAGTAGTGAAATCGATTCCATCTAAAACCAAGAGGGGAAATGAAACATATTCTGAAACGCAAATAGAAGAAAACAGGTTCCGCCTGCTAAAACTAATCCACCCAATACGAAAGATACCCTTGAAATCCATAATCCCATGTTCTTTCTTGCGCTCCGCCTGCAGCAAATGGAAGCCACCACCGGCCTTTGAGCAGGCAAGCCCCAGTTCTCACCACTGGGGCTCCCCAGCCCAGCACCGCCCCAGCGCCGAGGCCGGCATCGCTCCGCCCGGGGCGCCATCTGCCTCGACCCAAGCGCGAAAACGGGCAGGGGGAGGCTGGAGGCTGGAGGCTGGTGAGATGACTTGGAGCCAAAATGTCAAAACAAATTAGCAGTTCAGTGGTTGGATTTCAAACACTAAGCCACAACAGGGAAAAATGTAAAATGTTTCACAACAACAACCATGAACAGGGGTGTTCCAATTCCCCCAAAAGACAAAAACAGAGGAAGTGAGCCCGAAAATTGGTTGGATCTTCCTGCGATCGGTGCGAGAGATGCAGGGAATGAGAAATGGAGTCTGACCCCGAGATGAACCGGGACCCCGCTTTGGTTTCCTTTTCGTGAATCTCCAAACGGTGCGTTCCCAGCGCCCGGTCTCGGTCAGTCCCTACTGAGCACCAGCAAGACGAAATCCACCAGTTGATAGGTCTTCTATTTTCATAGAGCTTTATCCATAGTTGTTCGGTAGCCGTGCCTCGACGTCATTTGAATCACGCTCAACGCCTGGTGTCAAAGCGATCCAAATCCCAAAGCCATGAAAAGAGTCAAGAGGCCGCATCTGCACCTAGTAACGGCAGGCAGACTATCCCTTAATGGGAGAACCCCGGATTAAAACGCCCATCCGACTAATGTTTATCTTTTAGTGGACTCTCGGAAAAAAAGGCTCGCAACCCACTAAAAATCGGTCTAGGAATCGGTCTCGGCTAATCTTCATGGGTCTCAAAATAGGGGATCCCCCAAAACACTGGGCTTCTCAGTTGGTTGTTCCTTTAAACAATCCGCCCACAAAAGGTCCCATTGATCAACCCCAACTTGGAATTCCTTTCTTCCATCGGGACTTTCAGAACTCACTTCCAGAGTTCATGGTTCGAAAAAAGTCCAAACTGACATTGGCCACTAAAATGGTCTTCCCAAAAAGCTTAAAGTCCAGGAACTCAGGAAGTGAGTTAAACATATACCGTCTTTTGTGCGGGAAATCTCAAAACTATCCATGTGATGAAGCCTCCAGTGATGTTTCCTTTCTTCCATCGGGACTCTCTGCATAACTCACATCCAGAGTTCATGGTTCAAAAAAAAGTCCAAACAATTCTTTGCCACTATGGTCTTCCCAAAAAGTTCAAAGTCCAGGAACTTAGGAAGTGAGATCTAAAAAAAAGTATGGGGGAGGTTCTTACTAACTGGGCTGCCCTCAGATCCCCTGCTAAAAGTGAAGACCTTTTAGTGGCTTAAATTCGGAAACCACAACACTAAACCAAGTAAAAGCAACTAAAAGTGAATACCTTTTAGTGGGTTAAATTCGGAAACCCACCCACTAAACCGGGCAAAAAGCAACTAAAAGTGAATACCTTTTAGTGGTTTAAATTCGGACACTACCACTAAACTAACCAAGTAAAAGCAACTGAAAGGCTAAGTTGAACCGGACGCCTGGGGGCCACCAAGCTAAGTCAGCTCCAAGACGACCCTTCAGACTTCAGCTTTGGGCTTCCTTCGGTGGCCTGGGTGCCGGAGATCCCCACGAAGCAGCCAGTGGATGCCTCCGACAAAGAAGAAGAAAAAGAAAAAAACGCGCGCGCAAAACGCGGAAACGCCGGCGCCGGGATGTCCTGTATATATATGCATACATATATGTGTATATATATGTATATAGTGTGTATATATAGATATACATATGTATAAATATATATATATATATACATAAGTATGAATGCATATAAGTATATATATATATATGTGTTTGTTTGTTTCTTTAACTTCCTCTCGTTCTCTTTCAAGTTCAGCTCCTTCTATATGCGTGTCCTCTTTGCATTAAGAAACATATGTTTTGCAAGTTCGATCAAGAGGCCTGTCATAAAGGGTAATGACGTGCCCAAATTCCTCTTTGCAAGACGGAATTCAGAAATCCAAGTACCAAGAAAGCCATAGGAGTACCCCAATGTAGACTTAAACCCAGGTGGCTGGGGGTAATTGGAAAACGAAACCCTGTCTTGCACGTGCTAAGTATCAAAGGCTGAATCTTCCGCTGGAAGGAAACCTCTCCCCCCATGATTTTTTTGTTCGCAACAGGCGTAGCTCTACCAGAAGAAAGGACCACGTTTTCCCGGTTTTTCAGGACCACTCGCCCCTCGTGCACGGGTTTCGAGATTCCGTGGCTCATATGGCCTCTTAGATTCGGGGCTCGAGGAAAGGGGCAGGGGGATTCTGGGAGGGCAAGAAAGCCGAACTCGAGGCACGTACGGGTGTTTAGCCATTCACAAGTTGAGTTCACCAAACCAGATGACATCAAAGCACAGGTCTGTTCAACTCCAAGGCAAAGGTGGTCAGAAATATGTCCAAACCCTTGGTAAGTTAAACCCATCTTCGAAGGTCGGGCCCAGGAACCGATTCAATCGCCACGTAAAAACAAAAGGAAAAGAAAAAACAACAACAGGACAAGGAAAAGAACAGAAGACAAAAAACACGTAAAAACAAAAGGAACAGAAAAGCCAACAACAGGACAGGGAAAAAAAACTCACTGATCGGGAAGGAATGAGTTAGAACCGCTCCGGGTTTTTGTCGTTTTGGACTTGGGACTCTTCTGGGGTTCAGAAAACGACCAAAACTTTGGAGGGTTCCTTTTGATGAGACACACCAATACTCGGTTGCGAAATCTGCTCTCCTGCTAAAAGTGAATAACTTTTAATTTAGTGGGTTTAGTACGGAAAACCCATTAGTTGGCAAAAAGTTAAAGTCCCAACAGCCAAGCAAAATGCACCAAAGAATAGTCCGGAACAAGGAAGTTGCACGTCGCCTCACTCAAAGCACCAAAAAGGTAAAACCAGCATTTGGGAAAGGGACATGTAGGGAGCTCCAGTTGTCAAAGGGATTGTTAGAAAGAAGGCTCAGACTGGTTCATTGTTTGGGTGTTCCATTCACGGAACAAAAACCAGTTGATATCTGCAAGGTCAAGTTGCTTGGTTATGTCAGGCCTGACCCCTTTCAACTCCCCCATGCCAACAGGGTGTGGCAAGAATTTCACAAGGTTCACTTTTGCCTGTGGCTCGAAACTGGTACCCAAAATGGAGCTCTGCTAAATGAACAAGTAGCCTACCTGCGTCCTCCCAGTTCTTGACATTTCAGCCACTGATCTCTCCGGAAATCGAGTTGCTGGTCTTGCTAGGGTGCAACTGTTTTGGATAGCTGTGAAGTCATCCCGTTTCCCTCATTTTGCGAGATACTCGTGTCAAAACAAAAGGCAACCCACAAATGATGGTTTACTTTTGGGCTTCTCTTTTAACCATATCCAAATGCGAATGCTGCGAGCTCTGAAAGAAAACCTTCCACCTCAACTGGCTCCAACGAAAAAAAAATCAACTATTTGGGGAACAGTGCTGGAAACGCGGCGTGCGGGAAGTGTGCTGTTCTATTTCCTGGTCCCTCTCTTGCTACCTCAGCTGTTACCCGCATAGATTCTGATCCATTCTAACAACAACCACCCCCCCGCTTGAAAGGACCTCGCATGGTGGTTGATCTATGTTCCATTTAAAATTTAGGGCCCCCAGTTTTGACCATGCGTAATTGGTTTCCCGCTTCGCGGAACATATCATTTTTGTTCTTTTTTCGTGGCTTTCTAGTTGGTGGTCACCCCATGTAGATCACCCCCTCTGCTAACCTCCGTTTCGTTGGATAGACCGCGCTTCAATTGGGTGGTTTCCCCAAGCTCCATTTGCCTCTGTCCCCAGGAACAAAAAAAAGAAGAACACACAACCTGTAGTGATGTCGATTTCCTTTAGACCAACAGGAGAAAAACAAAACAACAACAAAAAAAAAACACAAATGGGATCTTCTTTTGAGGGTACCTCTTCTTAGTAGGTGTTAAAGGGAAACCAAAGGGGAAAAGCAAATGGAAGGGAATCTTGGTTGACGTTGGAAGGGGAGCAAATATTTTCAAATTTTAGCAGTTAAGTGGTTGGATTTCAACCACTAAACCACAATAAGCAAACATGTAAAGACTGTTTCCCAACAACAACCATGAACAGGGGTGTTCCAATTCCCCCCCTCCGAAAAAAAAAAAAAAAAAAAAAAAAAAAAAAAAGTGAGCCCAAAAAAATGGCTGGACACCCCAACCATGAATGGGACCTTTAAAAGGATCAACCCCATGCGGCGCTCTCTCGGCTTTTGTCGCGCCTGCAGGCAGATGGCGTCCCCATCCTTCACCGCGCGGCCGCGGAAGGTGCAGGCGTTGGCCTGAGAGGGGGGAAGGGGGTGGGGTGGGTGGGGGGGTTGGGGTGGGGTGGGGTGGGTGTAGGGGTTGGGGTGGGCTGGGTGGGGACAACTCATGCAAAGAAAGCAAGGGGAAAACTTTGCAAATACAACAATCCGATAATACATGTAAATAATGTTGTTGACTTCAAATGCTCTTGAATCAGCTCTAGAATCTAGTTCAATTGAATCGATCGTGATTTGTAAATCTTTACAACTACAAGCAATGCAAGTAAGTAGTAATACAAGCAATGCAAATAATACACTGCTGATCCCATAAAACAAGTAAATAATACAAAGGTGGTTTACCTCTATATCAGACCAATCATGCAAGAGGCTCAAGTAAATATGGCTGTAGCCCACCAGCTGATTCTGATAGGTTGGGCCTTACCTGGACCCTCAAGCTGCCCTCGAATGGATGCACCAACAAAGTCCAAACGTTGGTTTTCCTATTAAGCAATGCTTTCGCAAAGGGATGAAGTTCAGGGACTTAGGAAGCAGGTATGGGAACATGTGGGTGTGTCTTTTTCTTCAGGGTACCACAAATTTGAGGGTCCAACCTTGACACGGGAAAGCGTCGCTTGAACCCTCCAATCGCAATGAAGATCCTTGAACAAATGTGTCTCACACCTGAACGTTTAGGGGCTGCCTTTGGTGGGGTCTGTTTTCAAACGGGAATAGACGTGGGCCCGCTGCTGGCATGTGAAACGAGGCGACTCGATTAGGCTTGAGATAGGGAGAGCACACAGCCAGCCAGCCAGGCAGCCAGGCAGCCAGCCAGGCAGGCACAGAGAGAACAGACAGAACAGAGACAAGCAAACAAACAAACAAACAAACAAACAAACACACAAACAAACAAACAAACAAACAAACAAACAAACAAACAAACAAACAAACAAACAAACAAACAAACACGCCGAACTTGTTGCTTTTCCGCCATGCAGGGCGAGTCGCCAACTTCCGTGTCTCATTGTCCGTGGAGGGGTCGGCGAGCTGACGGCAAGGGACCGATCGGCTTTTGAAAGCTTCGATCTCGGGGTCAGCGAAGGGTGGGTACAGGCCTTTTTGTCGCACTATCCTGAGTGGATTTGCCCAAAAAAATCCATCCAAGCTTCCTGATTACCACTAAAATGGTCTTTCCAACAAGCTTTTAAAGTCCTTAACTCAGGAGGTAAGTTGCTAGATTACCCCGAGGGTGACGACAATGGAACCCAAAGGAGTGATGGAGCTTTTTGACACAACCTGTCCCTGGGGCGAGCGGCACTTTGTTGTGGCTCGAAGCACTTGTTGCATGTTCCCTGATTCTTTCACGAGCGCCTGTGTGTGTGTGTGAAGTGGCGACTTTGTGCGGCCAAAGGGCAGCAAGTCCCGTTTCGACCCAAAGAAGACTTCTAGCGACCAGGCTTCCAGAACAGAATGAACAGACGCACTTAAGGCAAACCGTCGCTTGGTGCCTCAACAGCAAGCAGGCTGAGGGAGGGAGGGTCGGGCCCCAGTTCCTCTCGCCCACAGAAGGAAACTCCACGGGTCGAAATTCCGCCTCCCGCAATTTGAATGTCAGGGAGGGGGGGCATCTTATCAAAATGAACTGGTCCCAGATCTTCACTCCGGAATGAATCGTGACATGAGCGTACATTTTGCAACAAGGACTTTCCCGTAAGACACACATTGCCTTTTTCTACGTTTCACTGGGCAAGGCATCTGGAGGGGTCACTAGTTTCTGCGAGAATTGAACTTGATTGGAACGTCAACACTTGATGTCATCCCACGGCACAACATGTGATGCTTGCTCTCATTGAGGGCATCCTTTTTTTGGGTGGTGTTAAAGCGACACCAAAAGGAAAACCACCACTTTCGGTTGGGGGAGGGGGTCCCCACAACAAAGACACACCCTGTTAATCTATCGAAATGGAACGAGGGCCGTCTGATAGAAAGTATATGGACCGCCCATGAGCAGAATTCGTCTACATGGAGAGGGTCCAGTCGATTCCCCCGTGGGGCATTCTTAAGGTGTGCGGCTCAAGGCGTTAGCAGCTAGCAGCCCTGGCGCCGGGTCAAATCAAGGAGCCCTCTGAATGGTGGTGCAGCAGGGATCTTTACATTATACACCTGAACATTGCCTTGTAAATGGTAGTCTCCCTTTATTTTGGTAGAAAAAGCCATGTTTCAAATGGGCAAAATGTATCTTTTGAGGAGCCCTGTGCAGGTTTCTGGTTTTAATCCCGAACCCGCAAGGTCTTGTTGGATAATATCCTCGGCACTGGAACAGTGTTCCAAATCAAAGATACCGAGGCGTCTTCTACCAAGATCTCCTTTGCAAAATCAAACACCGGGGGGGTGGGGGGGGGGGCCTTGTTCCCAAACATGTCACCTAGCTGAGATCGACACTGTGAAAACCAGAGCTTCTTGTGGCGGATCTGAGACCAAGCCCAGGCAACTGACCAGTGAGCTGGTTGGACCCAAACCGAAACTTATTTGACGTTGGAAGGGGAGCAGACTTTTGCTTTTAGCAGTTAAGTGGTTGGATTTCAACCGCTAAACCACACTCAGCAAAAATGGAAAGACGGTTTCTCAACAACGACCATGTAAACCTGAGTCATCAAGGTCTGCGGGGCCAAAACCCCTGACTTTGAAACGAATCAGAGCGGACGATTTCTGGTTCAACAGGTCCTGATTTTGGATCCAGTGGAACCAAGACAGGCACGTCATTAAAATGGACATGGGGCTGCATTCAAAGCGCGCTTTAAGCAAACAAACCAAAACCAGTCATGCACACGAATCGGAAAAGGAGTTGCTTCCTGCCCATTTGGAGGGATCCTTTTGAGAAACAACGAATCTCCATCTGCCTCAAATGCCGGCAAACACATCATAGTGCCAGTCTTATTCCCATTGACAACACCAAAAGGGGCAAATAATACAATCACCAAATCAATATGTTAGGGGATAGGGGAAACGGGGTGAGTGTGGCAAGTGCGGACTTTCCAGAGTGTCATGTGTGAAGTTGGCTAGTTTTCTAGAGTTCTCGTAATTCACATGTGTAGTAAACTTGGTAAGCGCTCCCCTCAAGACTGTGGACTATCTACTGGCGAGTTGGACGGAAGCGAATATGATCACCCAGGTGATCCATGCACACATACACGTGCGTGTGTGTGTGTGCATATATGCATAACAAACCATATGCACTATATATACACACATCCTAAACCTGGGAGGACATGGCATAGTAGAAATCGCTGTGGCCGAACCAAGCCCAGGTGTACAACAGTTGATGGGGTACGCGGTCTCCGCGCCGGCCTATCCTTCGTACCAACAGACACCAACCCTAAACCAACTCTAAACAAACTCCAGAAGGGGCGCCTCCAAAAGACCGCCCTGACACAGCAACTGGGCAACTGCAGGGATCCGTTCCTTGTCTGGAAAACCACCACATCCCCAGGGCATGACCTTCCGTGTGTTGTGAATGAAACGCAAGGCGGTCCTCAATTCAGGAAACCACCCGTTGCATAGGTTTTTCTCGGGGTTGTTCCAAGTCATGCTGAACAGCTGTGAATGCAGACATGTAATTCTAGCTCAAGTTTGTTTGACATAACAAGAAGGTTAACCTTTTGGGGCATGCCCAAAAATCAAGCCAACCTTAAAACTCTATAGATGAACAAGTCACACTCACCTTCCCCCCGACCTGAGCCTCTCGCACACCCCGAAGCGAGGTGAAAAAAAAACACCGTCGACTCGACTCGAAGGCGAATCGAGCATCGTCGCCTGTGCCGCGCCCATGAAGGGCAGAACTGTGAGCTCCGCCAGCCTTGGGCAAAACCGTTTAACGCCTTTTTTTAGCCCGCGCAGCGGTCGAGCGGTTTTCGGGGCCTTGGGGTCGCCCAATGAGTTTGGTGCTAGATGGTCACAGCGCATTTAAGATGTTGACCAATCTAGGCCGAGGACGTTGGCTTGTGGCAACCTAACACGGCCAAGATGAAACATATAAATGTAAACAGGCCGAGTCTTGAAGTAGCAAATCGAATTAGTGCAAAAAGCATAAAACCAACTCCACTAATCCCTTCTTCCCATTAATGCGCGTTCCATGAATACAATACCCCAGCTGACGCCAAACATTACCAACAACTAGTTTACTTACCCATTACTAAACTAATACTAAAGTCTCCGTGCATATTTGGGGCGACCCTTCCAATGAAAAGTAGGGCGAGCAATGTTCTTACTTATTAGGGTCACAATTAAAATCCCTCCATAAGGTCTTACACACAACTTGCACTTGTTTCTCTCAAACCAAAGGGTTGCCTTGCTATACCCCAAACAGCTACTCCACATCCTGACATGTCCTTCTTTATATGGCTGCTCTCTTCTAAGCTTCGGGCGTAAACTCAATCCCTCCCTCAAACTGTCTGGCTGCCTTTTTTGTATTCGTTCAGTGGCGTTTGGTTTGTCCTTTCTGTGCTGACTGAATCCCCGAACACTACAAAACATCATCTCGTTTGCTTGTTTCTCTGCCCAGGGCGCCCTCTGACAGCCTATGCCTATCTGTTTTGTTCATTAACTAACCAAGTCATTCCTACCTACTACTCTGCCTGGCTTGCTGGGAACTGTCTGCAACCAGCTTCTTTCAGGGTGTTGCGTTTTCCGGGTCTAGAATATGATCGCCACCAACTTTGGCATTTTGCACAGCCCGCCCAAATAACAACTCCAAGTATGTTGGGCCTCAGAATTTGCCAACCAGGTCTCCGTGGGCGGCATCAGCTCTGGCCACTGCCCGCGATTGACGCTCCGCACTCCGGTTCCACGATTCTTTGCAGCGCGAGCAGTCGCTTCCAGGGTCGCCTTCTTCGGACCTCCGTGCGTCCTTCTCTTGCGCTGGCAAGTGCAGCTCCGCCTGCGAAGTGTGTGCCATCTGACTGAACTAATTCACAAGGCAACCCCAACCCCAATCACAAACCCAAACCGGATTATGAGTTGCGGCTCCATGAGCAAACCGCTGTTTGTATTCTTTAAGCAAACAGCGGTTTTGTTTCCCATTGTCAGGGCCTCCAGCTGGGAAACAATGCTTGTTTACATTCAGCTTTTTGGGTTCAAACATGGGCGCGAAGTTCTTACTCAAAAGTTGCATTCTGAACACTTGTTTCATCAAAGTCACCCCTTTCCAATTTCAGCCCAACCAACGCAGTCCGGCTGCTCAAAACCGGGGGGGCCCGCAAAATAAACATTTTAGACGGGGGGACGGCTTTTGTCCAGAGGCAAGGCATTCGCTAATGTTGACCCAGGATTAGTAAACCCGTCCCATTAGGGGTGTGTTCCCTCCAAAAGTGATAAATCCCCACTAAGAGGGGCCCCTATTAATTAACCAGGGGTTTATTAATCCGGGGTTAACAGTAGTAAAAAACAACACCATCCAAAGCGGGGAGCAGAGGGCCTACAGAACCAGCAAACATGCGCACATCGGACTGTCAAAAAGGGCGAACAAGTGGTTCTAAAAGCAAATAACACAGCTGAACACAAGGGAATCACCAAAAACACACCCACACACAAAAATGCTGCTGCTGGTCAACAAGCGTACAAACACTTCACAACCCTTGGTAAACTTAATTTTTTGCAGCCCCCTACTAAAAGTGAACAGAACCAAAAACCAAAAAAGCAAAAACACGCCAAGAACAGTGGAGAACAACCTCCAGAACCAGCTTCGGGAACCACCGCCCCCGAACGGAGGCCGCCGGAGCTCTCGAGCGGCTTGGGGCCCCCGCTGCGAGGTGCCGGCCGCGAGGCGCATGGCCTGACCCTCCACCTCGAAGAGGCCGCGGTCGCCGCGGAGGTACCTCGGGCCGGAGGCGCGGAGGCGCGGAGGCGCGAGATGGTCGAGGCCCTTTTGGGGCTGGTAGATGAGTAAACCACCTGGTAAACCAGGAATCGCCATCTATTCGTGTGCCAAAACAACCAAAAAGGACACCTATGGCAACGCGTGGTTTGCCAGGAAAGTTAACCTGCTCTCGGTGGCGAAATCTGCGAAGCGTGGTTTGCCAGGAAAGTTAACCTGCTCTCGGTGGCGAAATCTGCGAAGCCCTGCTAAAAGTGAATCACTTTTAGTGGTTTAGTACGGAAAACCCATGAGTTGGCAAAAAGTTGTTCAGTCCGAACAGCCCTTGGCAACATGCACGAAAGTGTTGGTTCTTCGCATGGCTTGGAATCCCTTTCCGACACCCGGAAGGTCCAATTCCGAACAACCATCGGAATAGAACTAGCAACTAGGTCCTCCAGTAGAGAGGCTAGAATCAGTTGGTACCCTTTTATATTTTTCTGTAGTCTACTTTAGTAGGGGAACCTTCCCCCCAAAAAGGGTAGCTGGTTCTCAGCATGAGTTGGAATGACCCCGAGAAAAGCCATCCCTTTCACTCCCAAAACCCGGAAGGTCATTCCCGACTAGATTCTTGCAGCTTCGCTGTAAAACGGTCCCCGAAACAGAGGCACCCTGAAAAGGGCACCCGGAAGCAGTTCAACAAGTCTGCGCTTGTCTCCCAAAACGCAAGGGGCCGATTTACGAGCAAAACGGAAGTAAGACACGCTTGAAGAATCGACTCAACCTCGCTTCACCCGCGCAAACCCGGCAAAGCGAGCCACACGTATTGGTCAATAACTATCCTTGCCACAGGCGCGTGCAGCGACTACGCGCGAAAACGGATGCGCGGGCTTACCACGATTGCTTCGAACAGCATTGAACTACTCCGAAAATGGAGGTACGACGGGCATACTTGAAAACACAGCGAATAACTACTAATGTCTTCTAAAAACTAAAACGATACACGCGTGTCTTGGAAAATACTGGCTTTTGATATGACTGTGCGTTTTTGTAAGCAAACAAGACACTTTGTTGGGTATATTGAAATTGCACAAGATCGATTGCAGACGCCTGGTTCACGAACTGGCCACCAACCCCTCCCCCCCAAAAAAAAAACAAAACGGTGGAGCCTGGAAAGGGGGGGGTGGGGGCGCTATGGGCTCACGCTGACGCCTTCGCGCTTTGGTGGCAGGCGACGCGTCTTGCAGCAATCTGCTGACGGGGGGCTGCGCCAAAGGCTGAGCGGAATGTAGCAAGGCTGAGCTCGCGCCGACAGCTCAAGGCTCGTCTGGGGGGACGGCCATGCAGACTGGGCGCGGCCACGTGGTGCAGATTGAATGCGCGATGGCGCGCGTGAGGCTGGCTCGAAAAACGGCAAGTGTGGCGTGAGGGTGGCTTTTAGGTTCCCTTGAAGCTCCAGATTCCATCATTCGAGAGCCTCCTTTTCAAAAAAGCAGGGACTCCAGAACCAACAAACTTCCTTTAACACTGCCTCTCCGCCCCTGAACCCCAGATTCTAGAGTCCCCATTTGTTCAACAAAAAAAAAGGACTCTAGAATCGGGAAATCGTCCCTTACCACATGTTTCTGGCCATTCCAGACTCAGTCCCCGTTTTGAAAAAAATGGCAGGGACACTAGAACCAACAAATATTCCCTTCCCTTTTGTTCGAAAAGGCAGGGGTTCTAGAACCAACAAGTGGATCAAAGTGCACATCAGAAGACCGTCCACATAGCGCACCATGATAACTCCAAATCCAGAAAAAGCTCTGTCCATCTTTGAAAGGCTGGATGAATATGTCCATATATGAACTCCTGGCATGAACCCCTGGTTTACGGGCGGCTTGATTATGGGAAATCTGCCCTCAGAGGGTCCAACACGGCGCTCAATCTCAGGCTTGACGTGGGAGGCGATGCCGGAATAGCTGTCGAATGCAACATCTAAGAGACGATTTGAAAATATTGTCAAACGGCCACCCCAAAATCGCAAAACCCTCAACCCCCCAACTCCCAAACCCCCGAAACCCCGAAAAACCCTCAAACCGAACCCCACACCCCCAAACCCTCAACACCCCCACACCCCCAGACCCCTCACCCAGAAGCCCAATCCACCGTGTTTGTCCGCTTAAGTAACTTCCCCATTCTTTTCAGGGATCCTTCTAGAAAACCACCAAAAACCCTGGGGAAATGGCTGGTTCTTGAAAAGAACTGAAAATAATGGAAATGGAATCAACCCCTAGAGCTTTGGGCCGCTTCTCCATCCTGCTTTCACCTCTCAGCTGAGCGGCACGGTGTCTCCCAATCTGATGGCCTCGTCTGGGGGAGGAGGTGATGCCTGCGCCGGGAACGCTGGGTCACGATCAATTCTCTCAGATGCCCAGTGGATTTCCATGGGAAAGAACTTGGTTGACGTGGAAGGGGAGCAAAAATCTAAATTTTGGCAGGGAAGTGGGGATTTCCCACTAATCCATGTATCATGTTTCCCAACAACAACCATGAGAAGGGCTGATGTGTTTGCTTGAGTTTAAAGGGGAGCTCATGTTGACAGCGGCCACATTAATCCATTGCTGTGGTTGGAATCCCACGGTCCAAACAAAGGTTTGGTAACCGGTACCCTCGGGAGTGATTTTCGAGGACGCCAGGGATTTTTGATTTTTTGGATAAATTAAAAACAAAGAAACACCGCAGCACTTGTCGGAGGGGAACCATATCCATGTCTCGCAGGAGCGAGCGAGCCGGGGCCAAACTGACCAAAACGGCAGTGGGGAACGGCACCCACAGCTCATTTGGCGCGGGCAGGGCGTGAACCGATCCTCCGGGGAGCATAACCATCCCGAGCCTTGGTAGCGTTTTACCTCCTGCCCGTCAGCAAAATTTTGATTGGTGGTTTGGATTGGTGGCTTGGAGGCAACCCAACCACCAATTGGGGTCAATCTGAACAGGGGACAATGGATTTTGCCGTCAGGAGTTTTGGCGTTAAACGAAAACTCCTGGAGGTCCAAACCTGGGCAATCCATTTTCAGATCCCCTGCTAAAAGTTTCACCTTTGGTGGGTGAAATTCGGAAACCCAACCACTAAACTTACTAAAAGCCCCTACTAGGTCCCCCAGTAGAGAGGTTAGAATAAGGGTGCTCGATTTTTTTTTCGAGTCTATTTGAGTAGGGGAACCCTCCCCACCAAAAAAGAAACGATGAGAAAGGGCACCTAGCTGGGGGACCTAGACTACAAGCAGTTTCACCTTTGGTGGGTTAAATACTACATGTCCTCACATCCCCTATGGTGAAATTCGGAAACCCAACCACTAAACCTGCTAAAAGCGAATAACTGTTGGCAGGTTAAAATTGGAACCCAACCACTAAACCAACTAAAAACCACTAAAATAAAAACCAACTACAAGCCTAAGACCGGATGGCTAGGAGCCTGCCGAGGGCGCCTTGGCCCTCCTCAGCCGCGCGCTGCTCTTCGTGCGCTGCAACGTCGTTATGGGCGTGGCCGGCGCTGCCGTGCGCGGGGAAGGCGCCTCGCACCGTGCTCGGGGCCGAAAACACGAGCCGAAAACGGCTCGGCAAACCCAAGGATCAGCTTCCCTCCACTTCTTGACGTTGGAAGGGGAGCAATGCAAACATTTAAGTTTTAGCAGTTAAGTGGATTTGGATTTCCCACTAAACCACAAAAAGCAAAAATGTAGCACAAATGTAAAATGTTTCCCAACAACCATGACTTGATGCCGTGGATTGGTTTGGAGGTGTTCCGGGGGTAGGTTTTTTTTTGAGCCCGGGGTTCAAATCCAAATCCAAACCACCAAAAAAAATGGTGTTTCAAATCCAAATCAAAATCCAAACCACCAAATTATCCAAATTCAAATCCGAACTGAGGCTACCTGAAAGAAAAGGCTGAAATAAAGGCAATCAAAGCTGAGGTCCACAGAAGGCATTTCAACTATTTGGCTGCCTTTATGATTGAATGGAGAAGACATCTGCCAACAAAACGTTCAAACTTGCCAACTCAACAGGAAAGCCCAACATGACCCCCTTTTGGGTGCAAGAGGTCCAGTGGTTGTCAAGGCAACTGCACCCCAATGCTAACAGTAAATGCCTTTCCAGCCCCAAGGTCGTATACTTGAGTTCCAGCCTCATGTTGGGGTTTCTCTCGGTTGGGTTCAAACGGCACCAGTTGATTTTAAGATGACGCAACACTTGCCGCACCAATCACGCGCCTTTCATTGGGCCAAGGGCATGATTTGCATCAAGAGTCGAGAAGCGCCTAACTCGTATGCTGACAACCAACAAAACGGCTGAAAACCTTTGGAGCCAAAGGCAAGCATTCCAAGAAGTCTGAAGTCTGAAGAGCACTTCAAAATGAGACCGACTTCGCACCTGTGCATCAAGCACACGAGCGTGTGTCTCCAACTTATCTTGATCAAGCACCGAAAGAATCGCTTCAACGCTTCAACCGGCCTGTGTAAAACCTCCCTGAAAGGGACACGCACATATATATATATACATATATATATATGTATATGTATGCATACATATATATATATATATGACTCAACCACAAGTATGGGGCATCATGGGCCCAAGGTCCCCAACCAGAACCCATTGGCAACTCACGTCAACTGGCCCAGAAATACCGGGGTCTTTTTCGTTGAGCTCAAAGCGACATCGCAATGATGTGCCAATAATTTGGCTAGCTTTTTGCACTCTCAAGACTTTTGCCCGAACATATTGCATGTGATCCCCCCCCGCCCCGATAAATTCAGATGCTGGACTCAAGAAACAAGAAATGTAGCATGGGAAAGACTTATACTTGGCTACAGTTGGCCATTCTTCAACAATAGTTGGACTAAGTTACACTTAGCATGCAACTTCAGAACAATAGCATTGCTGCTTTGTTGCTCATATTGCTGAAACAAAAGTAGCATGCACATACTTTGTTGCGTATGTTTTGGATACCCTCTCCTGTGCCCCCGCATCAGTAGTTTTTTTTCTTTTTCGGCTTCCGAGGGAAACTAGAGGGAAAGTGAAGCAAACCTTTGGGGACGTGCCATATCTCATTTTGAGACAGACCCATGCAAGGGTTGCTCGAAAGGGCAAAAAAAGGCCGTTTTCAGAATCACGGATATGATATAAATTTGAACTGGACACTTTGGCAAACACTGTTGGAAACAAATGGAAGTATTCCCCATTCAACGTCATGCCCAAGTTATGGTAGTACAGTGAGTTTTTCCAAAGAGGGGGCAAACAAAGGCCCCTCATGATCCGTCCAACAGGCACTTTCATGTAGGAACCTACTTGGGCGCCTCATTTGAGTCAAAATCAAAACCCGGTATAAATAATGTTGACCCAGAACCATGTACAGAATCAAGAAGCCGGCCGCAGCTATTTCTGGCTGGGATCGTCCCTTGCTAACCTTCATCTACCCGGGTTTTGATTGTGGCTCACTTTTGGATATAAGATACATGGATTTGAAGCCTTCGAACAGCAGGGTTAAAACCGCTGCAAGCAAAGAGTAGGCCTCCGTCTCACCGAGCCCGCCGTACTCCGCCTACGAGACGAGATCGTTGGTTGAGCGAGTCGAAGACTAGGCTTTTTAGGTTTAGTGATTGGAATTCCATTGAAGCTGATTCCTTAGCGTTTCTGGGTGTTTCGTTGGTTTAGTGGTTTAGTGTGCCATTGAAACTTTTAGCAGAGGATCCGAGGACAGCCCAGGGCTGCTTCATCCTTTTCCAGCCGATCGCTGCTTCAGCCGTCTTTTTCAAAAACCGATCGCTGGTTCCCCCTGGCTGTTTGCCGGTTTCCTGGACAAGAAGGATCCCGGAAAGCGTGGAAAGCTCCCCCTAGAGCATCTGGCAGATTTGCTCGTACCTTTTGGGGATGACCTGCTTGGGATCCCCTGGGAAACCAGAGGGGGTGGCTAGGAGGCATCAGTCTCTACTGAAAGCCAGCAAGAAAACCAGACACCGAAACTGGGCTCCTCATGCGAGCCAGGCAAAATTAACCAAGAAGACACGGGACAATTGGACCCGCGAACTAACAATGCAAATAGGCTAAGCCAGCAACTCCGTCAGTGGGTCACATCTCCAACCTCATCACATCACAACAGGGGGACTCAATCAATGTTGGCTTTCGCAACAGGTGACCAAGACATGGGGAATTTGAGGCCCCGTGATGCAGCCGTGGGGTTTCGACACAGTTGAATCAGGTTAAGACACCCAAAAAAAACGGAAGTCTTGAAGCCACCCAAAACGAGACCTCTGTGGTTTGCGCGCTCAAACAGATCTTGATGACTTTGACAAGGCACGGCATCCCCGGCCGCCCTCTCAAACTGCCGTGACGTTTTGCTTTCGGCCCCTTCCGGAAGTTGAAACCACAACCAATCCTTCAACACCGACCTTAAAAAGCTTGGCCAGACATAGACCCCGCTGCAAAACGAATCAACAAGAACAGTCATAAAAAGCTAAAGGCAGGTCTGGAAAGCGAAAAGACACACCCAACACCGAACCACGCTTTGGACATATGAAAACAAAAGAGTAAAACTGACCCCTGCAAAACCACTTCCCTCCCCCCCCCCAAAAAAAAAAGGGCAGGTGGGGGCGGGGGGGGAACGGCCCCTGCAAAACCACCCCCCCCCCCGCAAAAAGAAAGAAAGAAAGAAAGAAATAAACAAGAAACGCGGTGTTTGGGGGTCCCCCCCCCTCTCACGCCTTGGAGGGCCAGCGTGGCTGGCTTAGGCGCTCCAGCACCAGCTCGTGGTCCTCGCAGAAGCCTCACGCGCAACGGAAACGCTGCTGGGTCGGCCCTGGGAGTGGGGGGTGGGGCTGGGGTGGGGGTGGGGGTGGGCGTGGAGGTGGGCGTGGAGGTGGGGGTGGGGGTGGGGGTGGGGGTGGGTGGTATTGACAGGTAGGGAATCTGGGAATGAGCCCAGGAATTCCCTGAAGGAAACCACAAGGGATGAACCTGACATTTCGGGGTCCGGGTTTGGACCATCTTTCTTTAAAATGGGCCACCTCTGGTGGGTTCCATGTTCGTGGATGGGAGGAGAGCATCCTTTTCTGGTTGGTTAGGGAAACCAAAAGGAAACCACGATTTGGGTCCCTATTTCGGCACAAAGTGGTTGGAGGTAGTAGTAAACTATAATCAATGATTTGGCCCCTCAAAAGTGTTATTTTCCTTTGTTGATTTTAAAGGGATTCGATTTCACTACCGGACATAGTTGTTCATTTGTGCAGGGTGCCTAAGCAAATGTAAGGTTGGACAAGCAAAAAAAACATCAACCACACGGGGAACAGTTACCCATGGTCAAACCTGTGGGCCAAACGGATGATTGATCAACCCCCATACGTTGTTTTTTTGTTTGTGTCCCCCAGACTTGGGCCTCTCTTGAATGCAGCAGCCGCCAAGGATTACTTGGATGTGTCTCTTTTAGAGTTGGTACCCCTTTTTTGGTTTCAAAGGGACACCAAAAGGACACCAACCGTTTTCTTGGGCCCCCTAAAATGGAGACATACCAAGAAAGGACACCACATTTGTTCTTTTTTTTCCGGGACACCGAAAGGGCACCACTGTTTTTAGGGACACCAAAAGGACACCACGTTTTTTTTCTTTTGGGGGGTCCCTCCAAAAAGGACCAGCCACCCATGGACAAGATGTGGGGACAGGCTCAACCCACCTGATCGCGACGATAAGAAAGGCAAAGGGGCCGCAGCCCGGTTTTGACAAAGGCAGGGCTTCATCTTCCTTTGGAATTTTGAAGGGTGATCAGCAGGCAGAATTTTGGAATTTCGCCTTGGAATTTTGGAATTTTGAATTTGGAATTTTGAATTCCTTTTGGGTTTTCCTGTATCTTAGGTAAACCAACGCACCCACAACCGTTCTTCCTACAGGGTGAAACGTAGGTTGGGAGTTCTGTCCACCGGCCACTTTTGAGGTGGTTCTCTATGCAACATTCGTGGCCAAATGATCACAATACATATAAGATGATTCATTTGTGACGAGATGTGTGGCAAAAAGACACAATAATAGCTATGTACTCTACAGGCCCAACAAGGTCCCCGTGGAACCGCGTCTTGGAAAAGATCGCCACGTGGCCTTTGCTTGATCTCTTCACGGTTCAGCGTCGTGACAACAACACCCCGTTTTTCTGGGTTCGTTTCAAGATGCCCCCGAAACACCTGGTTCAGGCAACCTTTTTGGCTTGGAGTGGTGACTTTGGATTTGGATCGTGAAGCCCTGTTGTTTTGTAAGAGGGTAGAGGTTAAACCACCACCAAACCACCGGGCTCCCAGGGAAGCCCGGCGAAGGAACGGGGGAGTTCCGGGGAAAGCCACCATCCTGAGTGGTTGGTACGGGTCCCAGCTGCATTGAAAGGCTAGGTCCTCCAGTAGGTACGGGTACCCGATCTTTTTCAGTTTTGTCTATTCTAGTAGGGCAACCCTCCCCCAAAAAAGAAACGGTGAAAGGGCACTACTAGAAGACCGAGAAGGGAATAATTCGGAATAATTCCATGGTTGGGTAACAAGAGCAACGTGACGGGAAGTAGCACGGATGCTACCCCGGGATTCATTCGCCCCAGGTTAGTGGGTGTAATCATTTCCTATTCATCCACCAGGTTGATTTTTGCAGGGTCGACATTAGTTGGTCTCCTCCAGATTCATCTGACGCAGCTTTTTCCAGGGCATGGGGATCCAAGGGCCACAGAACTGTAAAGGGATCTGCGTGAGAGAGTCATGGGGATTTCACCGCCTTTCTGTGGATGGCTTCGAAATCCGGAACCGCACCTCGACATGAAGGCTTGGTTGAAACCATAACGTTTGCTGGTATTTAGAGGGGAATCTAATCATTACAGGGGTCTCTTAAGTGGGGCATGTTTTCACCCTTCCACAGCCAAAAGGGTCCCCTTTTTCTACAACTGGGCAACTTGGAAAAGAAAAGCAAAACAAATGGATCTAACTTCAATCAAGACCCGTTGGATCTGTCCAGGCGAAATCCCATATCCTTCCTTCTTTAGTTGCAAACAGCTGTTGGCCCTTGACCGAAACCGGCAAGCGAACCAAAGCAAACGGACCAGCTTTATGTTTCAATTTGTTCAAGATGTTGAGTTTAGTTTTCCGTTGTGGCTTTAACGGGAGTCTATCACTGCTGGATGTTTTCCCCAGGGGACTGAAGCAAATGGAAGACAAGGGGACAGTTTATTTTCTGTTTTTGCTTGTTGTTGTCCATTCTCGTTCTCATGATTCACTCCTTTTAGTCGATATTTTCCATCGGGCCCTACCGGTTGCCACTGGGGTATGTGTTTTTGAGGGTATCCCTTTGAGGTTGGTTTAAAGCGAAACCATCAACCCCCATATCAACTTCCTGTCCATTAGCTTCCCTCTTAGACTCTTGCTGGTTTGGGTTGATTTGGAGCTTGGGGGGTTGCCAAAAATCCATTTGCCCTACCAACCAGCCAACCAGGCAGGCAGGCAGGCAGACAAGCGAGGAAGCGAGGAAGCCATCAAGCAAGCCGGAAACCAACAAAAGCATAACACAACCAATCAGTCAACACGCAAACAAGCAAAAGCAAACCAACCGGGCACTTGACCAATACTTGAAACTAAATACACACCAATATCATACAAACCAAAGGAACAAAACCACCCAACAACCAAACCAAACATCCAAAGCAAACATCCAACCACCCCATTTCTGGTTGGTGGTTTGTTTAAAGGGGACCTGGGGCGCCACTGAGCAACTGAAAGCAAGCCTCGACTCCAAAGAAGAATCCCGCGAAGGCCCGGATCGAGGCGGGGGCCCGCGCCAATCTGCCGAAGCTCCCCGGGCGGCTGCTTGGGCTGCATGGAGAGGTGGTTGTTCTCAGCCGCCAGCATCTGGCAGATTCGAGTGGGAAGAGCTCACCGTGAGCTCTTCCCCTTAGGTCTTCCCCAATCATTTTCGATCAACCCCAGTTTTGTGTTTTATGCATAGGGTGTCCATGGGTGAAAATGTGGGGAATCAGACAACCTTTGGAGGGGCGCCCACCCAATATTCTTATTTGTCTGGGGTTGACTTGTTTGGGGTCAACGTCAAGGGGAAGAGCTCTCCGAAACCCCTCCGAACCATCCCTAACCATGTTCCCGAGAAATCACTTCCTGACAGGACTGGCCAAGGAGGCTCCCGAACTTGCGGTTTACCACCAAAATGAACTCTCGAAGTGAGATCAAGTTGCGCCCAACCCCTTGGTTGCAAGGCTCACACTTCTCATGCCACACCGAACCGAACCGAACTACCCCCCCCCCTCCAACCCCCCCGAGAAATCCCGCGCTGATAAATTTCAATAAATGGATGGCTCCTCTTTCTTTAGATGCGGACCTCCCAAAATGGCTTCGGAATCCTTTTGGTTTCCCCTGAAAACTCGATAACTCACTTCCTGAGCGTATTGGCCAAAAAAAGTCCGAACTTTTAAAATTTGCCACCGATATGGTCCAAACCAAAAAGTTGTTAAAGTCAAGGAACTCAGGGAGTGAGAAAAATGGGGTAAAGGCAATTCAAAAACCCCCAAGCAGCCCAAGGTTGAGTCTCCTTCCCCAGAGTCAATCAAAAGGACAGACCCAAAAACAGACAGACCCAGTGTAAAGTCCAGGAACTCGGGGAGTGAGTTGTTCGATTTCCCCGAGGTGATGACACTAGAACCCCAAGGGGGTGAGAACTTTTTGACCCAACCCCCAAAAAAAATGGGCGCCTCCAAAAAAATCGGGCAGACCCAAATCCTTCGGAGCTGTGGCCTGTGACGAGGCCAGGGATTGCAGGAAGATCCCGCGGCCGTCCAGCACCTTCGATCCGCTGCGGAAGGCTGAATTTGGAGCTTAGCTTTTGGTGGGTGAAATGGAAACCTAGACCCGAAAACCCTAAAGCCCCTAAAAACCATCAAAACCAAAACAACCTGAAACCCCTAAAAACAAACAAAAGACATTTAAAAACAAAACACAAACTAAAACCCCTAAAAACCAAAAGAAACTACAACCCTACAAACCCTACAAACCCTACAAACCTAAGGAGACGGCTGGGACCCGCCAAGGCAAGAGAAAGTCCAAACCAAGGCGCACCCTTCGGGGAAAAGAACACGGAAGCTGCTGGGAGCCGCGCCAATCAAACACCGGGCATCAAAGCGTTGCCAGCCAAAAGGATGTGAAAAGTCTAGGGGTACCTTCAAAAGGAAGCCCAGCGTTGCGTGGGGAATCACTTTTGGAGGGGAACCCCTATGAATAAACTGGGGTTGATTAGTATGGGTCTAGGGGTGCCTTCCATTTCCATTCTTTCCAGGAATCCTTCTTTCTAGAGAAGAACCTTCAGAAACCCAGGGAAAACGGATCTGGTTTTGAAAAGAACAATGGTTGCAAAGAATAGGGAATCGACCCCTGGTACAAGTGAAAACCCACCTGTTGAAGATGAATATAGTGATTAGCCTTGGGCAGCATTCAAAAAATCACGTCGCATCTCTTTCTGTTGTCTTGACCCCCTGAAAAAATGACTTTCCCATCTGCTCGACCTTGTCAAGCGACACACTCGCAGCCCTAGCAAGGACTGCGGAAAGCTTCAGAAAATGGTGAGGCTGGATGTTTGAAAGGAAGAATGATGGACACCAAAACAGCAAAACGTCGAAAAGTATTGCCTGGATGGCCAAGTTGCTGCTTTTGAACATGAACTGGCCACAGTGACTGAAACTCAATCACTTGTTGTCCCATCGCAAAAAGTGGTTGATTGCCAATATGTGTTTCTGTTCACCAGCGCTGGGTCCCATGGTGAAATCAAGGTATGTGCACTTGCGAGCCCGGAATGGCAATTCCAGACATACGTCCGAGCTCAAAAAGGCGGAGCGCCCAAACCTTCGTCATTTCGGGGCGAAGAAGTTGGCGAAAAAAACACACAAAAACATGACCTACGGCGATCCAAGTACATTCTTACAGGACCCTTTTGTGGATTGGGGCCATCGGGGGCTTTACAGGAAACCGCCAACCAATGTGCGTTGCATCGAATGGATTCATGCAGGTCCATACCAGCGTTTTGTGTTCCTCTTCGCTTCCTTCACACATGAACAACAGACCTCTTGGCATAACGGTGATCATCTTTCGACATGACAAACATGTTTGCCCGACATGGTTCAAACCAGAAGGTGGACTTCAGTATGTTTGCTTTCTAACAAGGTGACTTCCATGTTCAAACAGGATCTAGGTCCTCCAGTAGAGAGATTTCAATAAGGGTACCCTGTTTTCTGTAGTCTATTTTACTAGGGGAACCCTCCCCCCCAAAAAGGGTAAAAGGGCGCTACTAGGGGACGCAAACATTATTACAGGGCCCGTTTTGCGGATTGGGGCCATCGGGGGCTGCTGACGGAACCCAGTTGTGGCTTTACAGGAAACCGCCAACCAATGTGTGTTGCATCGAATGGATTCATGCAGGTCCATACCACCGTTCTGTGCTCCTCTTCGCTTCCCTTCACGCTTGAACAACAGACCTCTCGGCAGAACGGTGATCATCTTTCGACCCGACCAAACATGTTTGCCCGACATGGCTAAAACCAAAGGGTGAACTTCGGTATTCTTGCTTTCCAACAAGGTGAGTTCCATGTTCAAACAGGATCTAATGATGGAAAGTTATTCATCCAAAAGTCTCCAAGGTGAGCATCTGAGCCTACGAACTGCCATGGAAACCACAAAAAGCTCCAGTGAGGTTCAACCGACCTCAAGCAGGCACCTATCCCACAGGATCCCATGTAAATTCTATAGCGCGTTTTGGTGTTGGGCCTTTGCGGATCATGAAAGCTAGAACTGCAAGACAATCACAGCTGTGTGCTTTGGTTTTCTGTTGTTTTGCTTTGGTGCAACTGCATTTCTGCCACAACTGTTTGTTCTATGGGTTATTTTCAAGGGTTCTCCCTGAAAAAGCCAACCAGCAAGGGGTCACCTCCAAAAAAAAACAAAAAACAAGCCACCCATATTCCACTCATGGTTCTTCATTATTCTTGAGGGATCCTTGGTTCCCATGCTGTGTTTATTCAACCGGTCCAACCAAATTGCGAGCCTGGGGCCGCTCTAACCAGACAAAACGGTTTTTGCGTTTCCCTCAAAACCAACTCCAAGAACGGATGCCAACTAAAACAAACAAAGAAAAAAGCAATGGGTCTTAGACAGCGGCAATCCGTGGATGCCCCGACTTCGGACCCCGTTCTTCCGCTCCCCGCCCCCTCGCCTGCTTCTGCCGGGGGCCATTGGCCGTGCGCAGCACGAAAGCGCAGGAGGGCACGGCGCAGGGGAAGTCGGCCCTCACCTGCGACGTTTCAGCGAATGCGATGGCCAAAAGGAGAACCTGAGTCACTTGCTCAAAACCGATCGGTACAAACATGGCGAACCCAAAGCCAGGTATTAAAATGGTGAACACAAACCTGGGATTAAAATGGTGAACCCAAAACCAGGTAAAAGTTCAGAAAGGCGGATATCCGCAACTCTTTCCGGCTGGGACTGCCGCCTACTAACCTTCATCTACCCGGGTTTTGAGGACGTGGCTCACCTGGGTCCAGCGAAATCGCTTCCCGTACCAACGGGAAATAAAGATGAGAACTTAACAGATCTTCACACTTAGGGTAGATTGGGTCACTGGTAAAATGTAAAGAATGTATCCTAGGTCCTCCAGTAGAGAGGTTAGAATAACGGTACCCAACCTTTTCCGTAGTCTATTTTAGTAGGCCCAAAAAAGAAAAAAAAGGCACAGTAAAGGGCACTACTGGGGGACCTGGGAGAACCCGTGTCCAGCGAAATCGTTTCCCTTTAAAACCAAGGGATAATAAAAGCTGCGAATACGTCTGAGAGTCCGGCCAAAATGAGAACCTCTGTCCAGCGAAATCGATTCCCGTTGAAAATTCAAAACCAAAAAACAAGAATAATATCTTGATTTCAGCAAGTGCAAGCATGGACAGCTGGCTCGAAATGGACACCATGTTCCGGGCTCTCCGTTTTCAGATCTGCTAAAAGATTGAACAACTTTTAGTGGGTCCAAGGCTAAGGGGATGGCTGGGAGCCACCGAGTTTTGTCTGGCTGTCCTTTTGTTTTTGAACAACAACTGCGACATGAAAACCTTAAACTACAAATATGATATTGGGTATTTGTCAGGACCCCAAAAACCGTAGTTGTCCTTTTGGTTTCCTTTTAAGCCACTCACCAAAATGGCACCCTCTGACACTTGGCTGAAATCAGGCCCCCAGCAAAAACATGTTTTCTGCCTGGTGAGTGGGAAAACAGGGGACCCCACAAAAGTAAGAAATGAACTAACTCCGGGAAAGAACAAACACAGAACCCACGGGAGGAAACCGTCTGGCAGACCCATCCGGGGCCCTCCGCCCTCCCCAGTTGGTTTTGAGCCTCGTGTGGACCGTGCGGGCCCCTGTTTGACTTGGGAACTTGGGTTCAAATCCAAACCACCAAAACCACAAATTATTGGTTGACGTTGGAAGGGGAGCAAAAAAAAAAAGCAGTCAAGTGGGAATTTCCCACTAAATCACACTACGCAAAAATGTAAAGTGTTTCCCAACAACAACCATGAATTGAGGGTTGCCTGATTGTAGGAGACGCACCATTTTCTGTGGTGTTAATTTTGGTTTTGCTTTAGCGCCACAAACAAAACAAGGTAGCCTTAAAAAAAAGACACCCACATGAAACTGTCCGTCTTTTTGCTTTAAGCCTTCTGCTGTATTTGAAAGCCAAAAGAAAACCAGCCATGAACTTGGGAGTCGTGATGGGAAAATCATTTTGCACATGTAGCCAGTTGTATTAAATGAACCGTCCGTCTCATTTGTTTTTGTCTTTTAAAGCTGTGGAACAAAGCAGCAAGCCGAGGTACCTTGCTTCCTGGAAGGTTGTCCCTTGGTTTGAGGGTGATGTTTTCACCGGAAGTCCCATACACGGCCCTCCCGGCTCCACTCCCCCACGTACTCCCCTCCCCTTCTTCTTTGCCAGGATTTGTTCTTAGGCATTCCTCAAATCACCTCAGAAGTCGAACGAAGGTATGTCATATCCGTTTAGGTGGTTTCTCTTGGGTTTCCCTTGGTTAGTTGTGGTTAGAGGGCGACGTAAGCGCCGGCCTTTTCGCTTGGCTAGGTGTGCAATGATCAATAGTGGCCGTCATCGAAGAAGATGACATGGGGCAAACGGCTCACCAACACACCAAACCTTTGGTTCTGCCAACATCCAATTGGCGAAACACAGAAGGAATGTCGACACTGGCCCAGGTTGGTCCCTGAAACACTTCAGTCTCACCCCCACCTTGTAATTACCCTGAGCATACCTTCAAGTCAAAAAGCTTCTAGGGGTAACTTCCGCATTCTTTCCAGGGATCCTTCTTTCTAGAAAACCACCAAAAACCCTGAGGAAGTGGCTGGTTTTTGAAAAGAACGATGGCTGAAAGAATGGAGAATCAACCCCTAGAAAGCTCCACTCCGTGCTGAAACAAAATGTGGGGCCCCAGGCAGGCCCTGTCGGTTTCCGAAAAATACCTCTGAACGTGGCAGAAATTGCCCTCAGAACCTCAAAGAACGCCCTGACAAACTCTGGCCATCCTTTAACTCACTTCCTGAGTGGATTGGCCAATCTCACTCTGAGCTTTCTCTGCCACCAAAAAGGTCTTCCCAAAAAGTGTAAAGTCCAAGAACTCAGGAAGTGAGTTCAGCACATCCTGTCCTCCAATGATGATTCCTGACGCTTCCCGCGGTTCCGGGTATGCTGGACATAAATGGGCTTCTCTTATTTTAGGACACCCTACTTGGGGGTGCTTTTAAAGGGACACCAAAAGGAACACCACCACATTTGGGGCGGTTTTCTGCACCTACATGAATTCGTGATAGCAACTATGCACGCAGACTTTAGCCCCTTGAGACCTGATTGGATGAACATACATAGGTGTGTCTTAGAATAGGGTGACCCCGAACATATCCTAAAATCTAAGTCCTCCAGTAGAGAGGTGAGAATAAGGGTACCAACTTTTTGTTCTGTAGACTATTTTAGTAGGAGAACCCTCCCCCAAAAAAGAAACGGTGAAAGGGCACCTAGCTGGGGGACCTAGTCCCTGTTTCCCTTGCCCCAACCAAAAGGACCGAGCCACCGAGACCCGAAAATACTTCACTCTGGCCAAGTGGCATGGCGCCGGCCGGTCTCCTGGTGCTCAAAGCACGGATCGACCCGGGCGATTTGAAAGGCGGGCGCTTGGGGCGAGAAGCTCAAAGGGGCCAGTAAAAAAGAAAACGATTCGTGGGAATATATGAAACAGGTTGTATACCAAACTAATAGTGGAGTAGTTTTGGATGCTAGGTGAAGGGGGAAAAGCCTAAGGGCTCTAACCAAATCCTGCATCACGTGGCACTTGGGATAAACCCGAAGGATATATACCAAGATCCTTGGCCACCAAGTAGGTGCAGGAAACTTTTTGTCAGGAACCATCCTGTTGGGCAGGACCCTAATGATTAGCCAACCCGACGATGTTGAAGGAGATGTTGAAGGACGTGTGTGTGTGTGTGGGTGGGTGGGTGGGTGGGTGGGTGGGTGGGTGTGGGTGTGTTTGTGTTTGTGTTTGTGTTTGTGTTTGTGTTTGTGTGTGTTTGTGTTTGTGTTTGTGTGTGTGTGTGTTTGTGTTTGTGTGTGTGTGTGCGTGTGTGTTTGTGTGTTTGTGTGTTTGTGTGTGTGTTTGTGTGTTTGTGTGTTTGTGTGTTTGTGTGTTTGCGCTTGTGTTTGTGTGTGTGTGTGCGTGTTTTGCAAGTCGCACCAGGCAGCGTCATATCTGGCTGTCCGGCGCTCGCAGGTCAGACAACACCACTCAGCGTTTCGGTATGTCATCAACGGGATCAACTCGCTGAAGACTCAACAAAGCCAAGCGAGAAACTTTGGCAGGCCGTAGATAGCACCAACAGCAAACCTTGGCAAAGGATCTGCACAGCGAAACAGCCAGTACCTTTTGGCTGGCTCAAAGAGGTCAAAGGGCAAGGGGCGAGTGTCTGGAGCACCCTCCCTCCAACAATTGAAGCTGACCGGAGGGTGTTGCATGACTTTTCTTTTCCTTTCGGGTGTGGCTCCCTGTCCACTTCCATTTGATAGAAAGAGGGTATGAGGCTTTGAACCAAAAACCAACCAGCAAGAAGCAAAAGAACAATCCCTCCCCGGCGCAGATGTCAAACACATAGACCTTCTCCAAAACGACTCCCTCCGCAGCAAAAGAGCGATCCAATTCTCCTTTTCCGGGCGCTCAGCATCCTCCTTCTCCTGCGAGATTCGCAACCGCAAGCCAGCGCTCCACGCCAATTTGATTTTGCAAGCTTGTGGGGGTGAGATGGTTTGCGGTTTTCGGGTGCGCGCTTGGCCCAAAAAGGCTGGCGGAAACTAGGCCAGGTCGATTTTCTGAACCATTCAAAGCGCACGTGTGGTCCCCCTTTTTGGTGTGTTGAAAGGAAACCACCCCAATTTCCGACTTTGACAACCCCAGAAACGGTCAAAATAAAGACCCCAGCATGACTGCAGTAGAGGACACCACACCAATAAGTTTTTGCCCAGGAATGGCCATCATACCCACAGATTCCTTAGCTTCTTGTCTTGCGGCCTATCCCATGCTGGAAGAAATGCAAACCAGATGATTTCTAGCCTTGCATTGCTTCTGGGGACTTTGGAAAAGACATGTGTCAGAACAGCACATGTGCCACATTCAGATTGCATCGTTCAATTGATTGGTTGGCTTTCTCCTGTTAAGTACCTGATCAGGCGTTCACCTCGAACTGGCCATCATTGAGGTTCCTCATGTGTGCGTGTAAAACGCCGCCTCTTCAAGAGGTAAATTTACTGCAGGTAGGACCAACAGGTATTCAACATGGCTGTTGAAAACCCCTGGAGCCCTGGTCTTGCTTTGCCAGCACGCCAGAATGAAACTACGGCTCGTGCTTTCTTCTGGCGCCGGCTCTCCGCAGTTCTTCCGGCGGTTCTTCTGGGCCATGTGAGGCGCCATCCAATTTCCTCTCCGCGAACTGCTTCTCCAAGATCTTCCGCTCTGCCAACATGCGCTTCAGCGCCGGCACGTCCCCCCCCGGTACGCGAGAAAGGGAAACACCCGGCAGTTTTTGCGACTGTGACCTCAGAGAAAGGAGACCTATATCATGACCTCAACATATTTGGCTGTGGGTCAACACCAATGGGATCCCATTTTGGGGTAGGTGAATTCACCACCCATTTTAGAACCTATTTTAGTGGGAATTAAATCGGATGTTCACTGGGGGTAGCCGGGATTTTGACCCATGGCCATTTGCCAATTCGGGCAGGACGCTTTTGGGTGAAAAGCTTTCAGGGAAGCCACTGGGAACCCACCAACCTTTCTTCTGGGACTAAAGTAAAACCCCAGGTAGTTGTTTGGAAGAAAGAAGCAAATGAAAGGCACAAAGTGAACAACATGTGGAGCCAGTCCCATGACCGACTCCGCCTGGCGGTCCAGCTGCTCCTTCAGCACATCCACGCCTCTGCTGAGCGGTCGGAGCGGTCGGAGCGCTCGCCCCGCGGTCCCGGGAGTGACGATGGGGTGACAACTCAGCGTTTCGGTGATCAACGGGATCAACGCGCTGAAGACTGAACAACTAGGTGTTCCAGTAGTAGGGATTAGAATAAGTTGGACCCGATGTTTCCTTCGGCTTTGTCTATTGAAGTAGGGTTGTTTCTCCCAAAAAAGGTGAGAAAGGGCACTACTGGGGGACCTAGTGTGCCTGCTTCAGCCCTTTTTGGGGTGGCTCAAGGAAACCAAAAGGACAATTCTCACTTCCGATCGATTGGATTGCCTGGAACTCGGTAAGTGAGAAAACCGCCAGATTGGGAGAGGCAACAGTCTCCTTTCGGCCGCAAAAGGCTGCCCAATTTCCAAGCATCATTCCAAATGAAGCTACGTCTTCCACAAGGTGTCTGTTCGCTGTGTTTCTTCTTTTTTTTCTCCCGTTGGTGCATCCAGATTCAAAACTACACCTCATGCAGACACAGGCAGGCCACTGAAAAGCATAAACAAAAGGTCTCGGCGCCGCAGCTGTCCCAAAGCACCACATGGAACCAAAAGATAATCCCAACGACAAACAGATTCCCGTAAACAAAGGAGCCTTCAAGATCACATTCAGTCATGATTGTAGGGGCAAACGGTTAGTAAGTATTTAGCCCCTATACTAGGTTTCGGGCACGGCATGAATCTGCAGGAACAGCATGTGAGCAAGCATGGAAGGGCACGCAAACACATCTACACATCAAAACAATGCATCCTGTGTATACATGTGATTCGGGCACGAGCCTGTGCCCAGGCGATGGGTAAGTTGGGGTAAACAAGCCACAAAAGAAAGGTTCCCCAAAAGCAAACCAATCCCCGGTCCCAAAGATCAGGGTTTCCCACACACCAGAGAACAACAACCAAAAGGGAAATACCAAAACAAGTAAACAAGTACCCGCAACCTTGATCGACGATGAACCGCACGGGCGGACCCCACCAATCTGCCCCGGGCCGATGTCTCTTTCTCCACCGACACGAAGGTGATCGACGCGGGGACCCGGCGACGCTCATCCGAGGCGCGACGGACCCGCAAACTTGAGCCAAAGTGGCACCGGATAGTTGCTATCGCAACATGCCGGTAGTCACCTGAAATGCATACCACCCTCACGAGGAGTCCGTCATATGACGGGCGGAGCGTGCCATTTACTGATAGGATTTAACTGCTCGCATGTGTCCGCAAACAGCTGGACACTACCGCCGTCAGCGGTGGAGCAAACCCACAAAGGCAGTTGCGCGACATCCCGGGCATTAAATTCCCGCCACCACCCCGAATTAATCGGGGTAACGCTGTCCAACATACCTTGTGAAAGAGTCCACATGACGGCACTAGGCCACAACTGTTTGCATCAACAATGCAAGAAGTTTAAATCTTATCAGAAGCCATGAAACAAAGGATAACGTATGTCCATACCCTGAGCATCGGCTATTGATTGTAATCGATAAAGTCATAGGGTTTTTTATTGATATTGATTAGCGACTTTTTAATTGATTTTTTCAATAACAAGCAGGAGGCACAAGACTGAAGGTTTCTATTGATTTTTTTTGCATAGATACATGGAATTACTATTGATTGTGGTATTGATTCTTCTATTGATTTGATGTTCTGGTGCGTAGCTGGAAATGCATGGTGATGGCATGTGCAATGCGTGTTAGCTTTTGGCTCCAAAACAGGTGAGATCAGTCAGCCCTTGCCAAAAGGGGCTAGCCCTTGCCAAAAGCGGCTCCTTTCCAAGGCAGTTGCGCCCCTAAAGTTCTGCGAAAGCCCTTGGGCAAAAGGGTGAAAAAGTGCTTGGGAAGAGGGTGAAAGCCCTTGGGAAAAGGGTTGGCCATGATTTATTCTGGCAAAGGTGGGGCCAGACATTTTTCAAAACCAAAGGTGGACGAAGGCATTTTGCTCAAAATCTTCGCGAACCATGGCCCACTACTTTCTGACTTTGGTGCGTATGAAAGCATCAGCAGGAACCAAGCCTGCCACCCACAGGGGCTGATCCATGTGTTGGGGCTGGTCAATGCCCTTGTGGCAGTAGAAAAAAGTTGTGAGATTCACCAAGGAGCAATGAGGGCAGCCATGGCTAGAGCCTACCAAGAAGAACCCTCCCTGAACCAAACCAAATTCAATGGAGGGGTTTGGGTGGGCCTGAAAGTGGAGAGGTTGAATGTCATACTGTACCACATGCGAAGGCTCAAGAAGTCTGACCAGGAGCTTAGAGTATGCTCTTCCAAGCTCCCAAGTGCAGACTTCATTAGGTTGCAACAAGTGTTGGACCTGATTGACAAAAAAAACCCTGCTGTGCTCACCACCTCAGAACCAGCCCTTGACCAAAGGGATTCCACCGCTAAAAGGCTTAAGAAGGAAGTGAGTGATGTTTCACTGGATAGTGAGGGATACCCCAAATGCTGGCAAACACCTGCAAAGAAGGAGAATGATAGCCCCTTGTCAAAAGGGAGGAAGGAGAATGATAGCCCCTTGTCAAAAGGGAGGGGCAGCCCCTTGTCCAAAGGGGAATTGGGATCAAATGCCGATGGCCTGTTGGAAGAAAATGCAGCAGAACAACCACAGCCTCTCACACAACCTTCCTTCTTAAGAAGAAGGCTAGGGAAAGGCCCTGCAAAGCATGCCCAGTCACCTGCTTCTGGCCTGAAAGAACAACTGGGGTTTGTGCATAAGAAGCCTGCAGCCCTTGCCAAAAGTGCCAAAAAAAGACCCAGTTCCCAACAAGATGTTGCCCAGGATAATGACCCCACCAGCAGTGGGGCCAGGTTGAAGTGGGTGAAGCTAAACAAAACACATGCAAAAAAGCCTGAAAGAGCCTACATAACTGGCACCCATGTGGCTGGGGGCAAAATGAAGCTGGTGGTGGAAATTTCAAGGGCCAGGTCTATCAAATATGCAGAACACATCGACACCATTTTGTGCAAGTTGAATGCAAAGAACCTAACAAAAGAGGAAGCCATCCAGCTCAGGGAAACTCTTTGCAAACAGGATTGACCAGCTTCTAGTCCCTTGCCAAAAGGGTTCTAGGCTACTCAAGGGCACCTTGTCAAAAGGTTGAGCCAAAGGTTTGCACATGGAACAGTTTCTGGCCCCTTGCCAAAAGGGTGCAACTTCTAGACTAAAAACTCCTTGTCAAAAGGCCTTTGCAAGAGCATGTTCCTGCTGTTAACCTATGCCCTTTTGACAAGGGTTCCTGCTGTTAACCTATGCCCTTTTGACAAGGGTTCCTGCCGTTAACCTATGCCCTTTTGACAAGGGCTTTGTTTTTTATGATTCTTACACATGCATGGCACCATTTTTGCCCTTTTGGTGCATGTTTCACCAACCAGTTTGCAAACATGAGCAGGACTTGAAAAAGGCAGGGGGTCGGGGGGGAGGCGTTTGACACTTAAGAAGGTCAGTCATAAAATCAAAGTTGTTGAGCCCAGGGACTTGGAACATGCTCACTGTGTTGTTGTAACTGGTCATAACTAATGCTTGTATGTGGTTGCTTTGACATGGGCATGCTGTTTGCTTTTCATGTGCATGAGTGTTTGCAGCTGTTTACCTGGCTCAAGACATAGCTAGATAACACAACCCCTTGTCAAAACGGAAGTGTTTTAACCCTTGGCAAAAGGGGAGTGCACACATGGCTGACTGGGGCAAGTGGGATGGGACCTACAACTGGGATCGGCTGAACAACAAGAACAGGCCCGCAGGGGTTGG